GGGGGGGGGAGGAATGTACATCAGATACCACCACCAGTTCACGAACAGTTGCAGATGCCAATTAGGAAAAGAAAGCCTTGTGTTTTTTTCGTCATTTTTCTCTTTGGTCTAAAAAGACTAATGCTGCTACAATTGATTAATGTATAGATGATACTGTAGGTAGGTATGTAACCCGCGAACTGAATTGAAGTGACTTTTTGGTAATATCATCATCATCATCATCATCATCATCATCCAGTATATATATAAATACGATCACGATAATTTCCGATCTCGTACTTTTTTTCCTTATTTCTTTATTTATATATATATACTTATTATCTTCTTTCGTTTTATGGCTGAGCTGGACTGACTGCCGAGGTGGTAGTGGGCAGGAAAGGCTGATGACGATATGAACAAGATGCGTGATGATGTTGAATTCGATTTGATTTGATACATACAACATAATAGAATAATAGAATAGAAAGTACCAGGTAGGCAATGTGAAGTGAAGTATACTGAGAGAAAAAAAACTAAGCTTAGGTAGGATCTCTGCGACGAGCTGGGCGTTTGTTTGTTTGGTTGTTTTCTTCTATAAAGAATCCCGATATATCCATCTACGTATTCGACAAATTGGACTCTTTTTCACGATCTTATCTCACTCTTACCGGAAGCGAATAGGACTTGGGGAGGTGGTGTACTTCGACAACACCAACAATGCTGACATGATGGTGATGACCACTACCACCAGAGGTAAAATTTTCACGAGTCAACTCTCTGGCATGACAATCTTGCCAATACCATCCCATCCATCCTTTGCACTCGCCGCGACTCTCTGAGCAAAGTCGTCCAAAGCTTTCTCTCCAAACAACATGATTGTCTCGTTTTCTTTCAATGCAATTAATGCGTTGGAGCTGTGCTTCGACTTTGCTTGTGCGGAAATTTTCGTCGCGTATTCTTGCAGTTTTCGGACATGTGCGAAAGACATGGCGTGCAAGGTGGTGATTTCGGGAAGTACAGTTCCAGAGGCGAGATTGTTGCAGGTTCGGACGATAATGAGGAGGAAGTCGATGTAGACGTAGCATGCGTGGAGAGTTTGAGCTAGGGGGTCGTGGGAGGCGCAGAGGGTGGAGATGTTGAGTTTTTCGATTTGAAGGGTGAGGAGGTCGATGTCGTCTTTGGTGGGCGGCTTCGAGGCTTTGATGGCGTCGAGAATGGGAAGGAGGGTGCAGACGGCGTGGGCTGATAGACGTTCGGCTTGTGTGAGTTGTGCCGTGGCTTTTTCGTCGTCGAGAGCGGTTTGGAGAGTGTCGACGAGGCTGTCTGTGATGAGTGGGATCTGTTTCGAGGCGAGGGAGTGGGCCTGGGATAAGAGGTGAGCTGAATTCCTGATGCCATATTTCCCCGTATGCGGATCGCGCTAAACGCATGTTGTAGTGAGAGAAGAAATGCAAGTGCTTACCTGATCCATCGCCAGGTTGTACACTAGCCACACTCGCCCGGGCAACATGCCAACATGTTCAGAATCAGCACTTCGCGTCTCGTTGCCTTGAAGAGCTTTCTCCACGTTGAAGCCAAAGTTGAAAGTGGCATTGAAGTCTCGGTTGTCTTTCAGATTCGTCCAAGCAGCGATCACTCTGGGCCCAGTATCGCTTGTGCCTCGACCATATCCTTTTCCCGAAAGACGAGCTAATCGGCGATGTTCCAGCAGCGTGACTCTCCGCATGAAGCTGAGCCGGATCTCATCTCGCAGCCCATTCAGCTCAAAAATCATGCCTGTTTGCTTGTGTTCGAGCACAGCAGCCTCAGCTTCGAAGAGCTTATTCTCGTGTCGGGGCGGCACTTGGAGTGCCTTGTTCGTCTTATCATGCGGCTCGAAGAAGTGTCCGTTCGGTAATGCAGTCCGGAAAGGATGTGTTGTGCTGATTCTTGTGAACAGTGTGTGGCCCACAGTATCATATTGGACTTCCTTGATGCTCAGCGAATCAAACAAGCGCATCGCTTCGCTGCCTAACCCAAGTCGCATGTACAAGTACACTAGGATCAGCCGAGCCTCATGTACCTCTGGCTCGAACTTGAGCAGCTGCTCTGCCAGAAAGGCTGCTTGGAGCAGGTAGGCCTGTTTGCCTTTGAATTCCGAGTATAGCTTGACCAGTCCAGAAATGGCGAGATAGCAAGGCTCCGCTGCTGCCCTTTTGCGCACACCAAGGTCCAAGGTAGTAGTCGCGGTATGTAAAAGCTGGATTGCCTTAGCCACAAACGCCTCGTATCCTTCCACAGCTGCATCAGTATCAAGAAGCTGCTTGAAAGCGGCCTTCATCTCCTCGGCTCTGCCCTCGAGCCACTCTCTTGGCGATTCGGTTGAAACATTCCGCGAATCTGCAGAGTGCATTAGTGCATAGCAATGATTATCACTGCATAGTAACACCGCTTGCAATAAGTCAGGCAAAGCAATCGCAGTACCTACCGCTCGTTATGGGCTGCTGCTGTCGATGTAGCTGCAATGCATCATAGACCTGCTTGCTTTCTCGGAATGCCTGCCGTTCTCGAATACCTTCGAGATCCTGTTCACTCTTCTGCAGAGCAAAGATCTGCCCTGCCACTCTGCAATCAAGCGTCCGATCGTCATCAAATTTTTCGCTCACTGCTTTCCGAGCCAGTCCCAGTGCGAGCTTGGATTGCAAGTCGTCCTTGGTAGTCGAAAGAAGCTGGGTGTAGGCGGCATGGGCCATGTAGACTGCGCGATTCTTCGGCTGAGACTGCTTGAGCTGGATAAGTGTCTGTTGCACATCCTCTATCCGGTTGTCGTAGATGGCTCTCTGGTAGCGGAGTGCCAGGAGTTCTGATCGATAGTGGCCATTACTGTTGGCCTTGTATGCGTTATCCCAGAGCTTACGGATGACGGGCCCTAGCGTTCTCGGAGGTGGGTAGGTATTGCTGAACGAGTCCGCAACGGCCAATTCGATCGACACTAGGTCGTTCAGGTCTTGAATAGCAGGCTGAGTGGCGACGAGTTGGTCGAGTATCCGAGGTCCTTCGGGATCGTCCGGTCGAGAGGCACATATCAGTTGCAGTTTGGTGGTGAGCAGGGTCACGTCCTTGGGATTCTTCTTGAGCAGGTCGTCGCAGCGTTTGATGCCTTCTTGGAACTTTCCATCCTTGGCATATTCCTCGTACGTCGGATACCGGGCCATGGCTGAGATGGTGTAAGAAGTCTTCAGCTATCCATGGCGGGTTGTAGCCCCGGCAACTAGGTCTCGGTATTTTCCCCCTTTTTGTTATTCCCCTGAACACTGCGGTCTTTCTGTCGTGCTCGCTGGTGTTGTTCTCGGAGTGAAGAACCGATTTGACGTGCGGCTCTGCGGACGGATTGAGAGGTGGAGACGATCCCTGTCTAGCGCCATGCATGTGCATTTGTAGTTTGGACCCCGAAGCTCTCCTTCGTCGAAAGGACACCTTCACATTCACATCATCACTTACGCTCCACCTCATATACCACACGACGAACCAGCAGTCCGTCTTCTGCTGCGACGAACCTCCTCGAGACTACTCCGAAACCACTCGAGCAGAGACGACAGCCAGCCATCACAACAACTCCTGATCCGACACAATGGTATGTCTTCCACAATATCACTGTCGCCTTTCTCGCGGTATGGGGGACATTTTGTTTTGAGCATTCACTGACAAGCCTGGCTGTTGCAGGCACAAACACCACAACAACGGAGAGCGAACAACGCATATGCTGCTCGCGAACAAAAGAAGATGGGAGCTCCACAGGAGGTTCGAGAGTCATTACAGGCTGCAAGCACAAAGGCCGCGAAGAAGGTCGAGAAGGCCCCTATAAGCAAGGGATGGCTATGTAAGTTCGTCCGATGCAGGACCAGGAAGATTGAGAGAGCACAGTCTGGTCGAAGGAAGACGGGATCTCGGGCTGGGTATACGATACGGACGAACCGCTGACTGGAACCCTACAGATCTCATGGTCTTCGTTGTCTGCGGCGGCTTGATCTTCGAGCTTCTCCGCATTATCTTCAGCTACTTTTAATCAATCAACTGAACTGCGATTTGCAACAGTCCCAGGCGGACATCAGAAACTGGTGGTCGAGTTCGAATTGTACTAGCCTATATGCGAGCATACGATTCATCTTGACCGAACTGAGATCTTATAAGCTTGAAGCATGGCTGGATTATAGGAGAGGTGTAAAGGATCTGGCACAAAAAGCATTCGGGGAACATGGGCTGAATCAGCGATGGTTTCATTTCAGGCTCAACATTCACCACAGTTCAATGAGCATTTCAACACCAACCCCCAACGTGTTCTGCAGAGCTCATACTATCCGCCGCACCTTTGAAGAGGAGACCTCTCTTCACGATTAAGCACCGGGTGACGGCGCTGACCGGTTGACAGATGTAGCATAGATAATGCGACCACGCGCGGCTTCAAAGAATCACTCTGCCCTGTCCAGAATAGTGGCGTGTGAACAAGCCTCAGTCACCACACCTTTCCTCACCAGGCTCACTTGTGCGACGTTCAGGTGAGCTTGCAAGATCCGTATCGTTGCCAGTTATGCGGTCCCGGACATCAAGTTGGATTGTGACAAGATGATCTACTATCACCACCACCGCCACCACCACCACATACCATCCCGATCTTCTACTCTCTTCCGCATTATGTCTGCGAAAGCTCCGATCTGACTCGAAATTTAAGCAAGCAATTCAATCCATGATACGTATCCCTCTCACTACACCGACAGCCGAACAGCCGAAGATAGGATTATATCCGAAATGAGAGATAGATTTTCAGTGCAGTAGTTGTGGTTGCTTACTTACTTACTTATGCGAAGCTCTCTCTCTCTTACGCTTTTTTTTCTTTTTCCTTTTTCTTCTGTAGTTACTATCTACTGTGTACTATGTGGGGAAGTAGGATGATGATGAAGGGGTATGGTTTTGATTTTGATTTTTTTATGATGATTAGAGAAGGCGTGGATAAGTTGTTAGAGGCAGAAGAAAGATATGAAGAGTCTGATTTGGGATTTGAGGATTTTGTTGATGATGATGAAATATGGATGGAAATTATTTGTGGATGATGTTGAAGAAGAAGTTATACACGCGCCGGACTGGATGAGGATGAGGATGAGGATGAGGATGAGGATGGGGGTTTGTCGAGAGGTAAGATGATTTGATGGATGGACTTTTTGTGGGAATGGGAAAGAAGAAGAAAGAGAAAGGAAAAAAAAAGAGGAAAAAAAGGAAAAAAGGAAGTCAGTGCTGATAATAATTATATGAAAAAACATTGTCGTATGCACAGAAAGACCCGTCCTCATACCTCTACCAAAGGTATACCTCTTCCCAATTCCATCTCGGGTATACATCATCATAAACTCATAAAAGCCACCCCCAACCCAACCCAACCCAACCTCACAACTTCGCCCTCACCCCTCCACCTCTTCCCATCGAATCCCCATCCAACAAACTCCTCATCTCCGCCCTCGGCCAATCCGGATTTTTCGAAGCATCCGGTCTCTCACGATCCCAAGCCCATTTCCGCACCAATTCCTCCTCTAATTCTCCCTCGAGCATTTGCACAATATATTTGCCGAGCACGGGGAAAAATTTCCAGCCGTGGAAGTTTCCGCATGTGGCGATGTAGAGGCCTTTTGCTTGTTTTTGTCGTTGTTGTCCTTGGGGAGAGGGAGGAGGGAGGATGCCGCGAGTGTGGGGTGAAATGATAAAGTCGGCGGAAGTGGTGAATGCGTCCCTGATTTTTTGGAGAAGAAGAAGGAGGTTAGTTATTCGTGAGGGGAGATGGGGAGAGATGAGAGAAAAAAAAAAACACATACCAACAAACCCTATACTTATCAAATTTCCAAGCATCTCCCTTTTTCCCATAAAACACCTTCTTCGCAAATCCAATATCCCCCTTCATCCTCTCCGAAACCTCCCACTGGCGATAATCTTTTCCGCTAGGCGGAGCAGAAATAAATCTCCCGGGAAAAATTTCCTGATTATTGCTAAAAATCGTTTGACCCCACCATTTCAATTCTCGAGAATTTTTCGTCGGGGGAAGACTTCCGATGAAGGGGCCCGTGGATGCTGTATACCCTTGGACGGCGACGGGCATATTTTGGAATTGGGCATAATCGGAGTCGGAGAGAGTTGTCATTCCAGTGGTAATTCCCGCTGCGAGAATTCGATCGCCAGAGCGGAGGGATGGGTTGTTGCTGGCTTGGGCGCTGATTTCGAGGAGTTTGGAGGTGAAGGCTCCTGTGCAGAGGATGGTGTGGGTGGCGGTGAGAGATGTTCCATTTGCAAGTTTGACTCCGATGCAGTCTTCTTGGTCGTTGAATTGAAGAGTGGAAACTTCCGAAACGACGTATTTGACGCCCAGCTCGATGGCTTTTTTGGTGACGGCGCGAAGACAATCTCCTGCAGCAGCCCATCCACTAGTTTTGTTCAAAAGAACTTCTTTGACGCCTTCATAATCTGCTTCGTTGAAGAGTCCTCCAAAGAGAGTTTTGGCCTCTGCGATAGAAACGGCTTTGAGATCTGCTTGTCTACCCAATTTCTTATAATTGTCGAGAACCAATTGCGCATAATCACTCCGACACGCCCACCAAATTCCCGTTTCGTGGTAATATGGTTTCCAGAGATCTTCGGTGCGGAAAATGTCTTGTGCTTCGAGTGCGAGTCTGCAGTATACAATGTCGTCGTAGTCGGCGCGGACCACTTTGTTCCAGTCCCAGGAGGCGGCCACTCTGCTTTCGGCGTCGTATGCGTCCCGGTCTACGACGGTGATGGACGCATGGGGATATTTCTTGATGAGGTGATAGGCTGTCGAGATTCCAAACACGCCCGCTCCGACGATGAGATATGACGACGACGACGACGAGGCCATTTCTTTTTCTTTTTTCTCTTTTTTTCTGTTTCGTTTCACAAAAGGGGTGCAGCAGTATATTTTTGAATTTCTTCAAATCTCATATATATCTATTTACGAAGAGGATAATCCAGCTGGTTTCCTTGCCCAATTATAGAAAGGCGTCCCCCCCCGAGTGGGGCCATGACAGTGTCTATCCCACCAATCATAGCCGAGTACAGCAGTGCAAGTGAGTGACAGAGGGAACATGATACCAGATTTGCATTTTTGTCCAAGGAAAGACAAGAATGGCAGCACTGCGGGAATCGTCGGATTGTCGGTGAGAGAAGAGGAAAGTGTCCCTTTTGAGGAGATACGACGATAAGAGAATGAGAGGTATGGCCTGATCGGTAGGAGGCTACCTACCTGGGTAGAGAGATGACTCAGCATGCCAAGTTTTGTTGGATTCACTTTCACTCAGCCACGCTACCACTAGCCACCACTATAAGCCCCACATTCGCTACCCTACCTGTCACTCCCAAATACAACTGAAATATCACGACAGCAACAACAACAACAACCATATCCCAAAACAAGCAAACAACCAAGCCTCTAGCGCAACAAGAAAAGAAGAAACCCCCCAAAAAATGCCCCAAAAAATGCCCCCCCAAGTCCGCGTAGGAGTAGGAGTCTTCATCCTCTCCTCCTCCCCCTCCACCTCCTCCTCCTCCCCCTCCCAAACCTCCCCCAACTCCAACCCCAAAAACCCCACCTTCCTCCTCGGCATCCGTCTAAATTCCCACGGTTCAGGAACCCAAGCCCTTCCCGGCGGGCATCTCGAATTCGGCGAAACGTTTGAAGAATGCGCCATCCGAGAAGTGTTGGAAGAGACTGGCCTCCAAATTACGAAACCGAGATTTTTGACTGCGACGAATGATTTTATTTTGTCATCATCTCCATCGTTTTCGGAAAAGAAAGAAGGGGAGGAGGAGGGGGAGGATAAAAAGGAGGATAAAAAACATTATGTGACAGTGTTTATGACTTGTGAGAGATTGAATCAGGAGGATGAGCCGGAGAATCGGGAACCGGAGAAATGTGGAGGGTGGGAGTGGGTGGATTGGGAATCTTTGGTCAAGTGGGTTGATGATGGGGAGGAGGAGGAGAACAAGGGAGATGGGATGCGGAAAAAAGTCTTTACTCCTTTGATTAGTCTGATTCGCCAACGACCGGGCCTTGTGCCCAGCACTGCACTGTCTGAACAAGATTGACTTTCTGTTCTCACGCAAACGGGCCAAGGACATGAGAGGAATGCTGCCTTTTATCTTCTCAGCTTTCATGCAATCATGGATTTATTTTCTCATCTTCTATGCAATCACCGACTTGTGCTTCACGCTGCAAGATATAGCCTCAACTAACAATAGTGTACGTGTGCAAGCGCTAAAAGCCTCCAACGTTATTCGTCTCACATCATTCGTGTCACCCCGTCTGTCTTTTATTCCAATGTGGGCCTCAAAGGAATCCATCCGCCCAATTCAGCTTCTCCATTACCATCCTCGTCCATCAGGGGCGCCGTAGGTCGTCTGACAGGCAATGCCGGAGCCTTCTCGTCGTCCTTCTCAGCACTCATTTTCCCGCCATTTTGGAAATTCGTCTTCACCGGCTTCCTAGGTGGCGGAGGCAGAGGAGCGGGAATCCGTTTCTCTGTATCGCCATTAGCTCGAGTCGGTGGAGGGGGAAGTATCACGTTTCTAGTCATGGATTGGTGAGGGGCATTATGGGCCCGTCTGGATTCGGGCAATGGAGGAGGATGGACAGACTTCACCGAGGAGGAAACTGAGGACGTCCCCGAGGAGGATCGCAGAAGGTTAGGCTTGGTAGGCTTCGGCGGGGGAGCAGGCTTGCGTAGGGTCTGCCTGAGCTGATGATCTCCGTGACCATCCATTTGTGTGCCCGCGAGGTTCGTAGGATGTTGGGCATTCTGCTGTGGTGCCTTGAACGACGGAGCGCTCTTCCTAGGCACGATCTCGCCACGAACACCTCCCCTGCTGGGACTACGAGATAGACTCGCTGGATGTAATGGTGGGGTATTTCCCGGAATGTCCACTTTCACCCAATCTAGCTCATTACTTGGTGTGAAAGGATTCGAGAGTCTTGCTGGGTTGGGAATGTGACTCGCACTGGGTGGCTTCACAGTCGATTGTGCCGGCAAACCATTGTCCAGCCACCACTTTCTATCATTTGAGCTCGCAGGCGGCAGGCCAGCTTCCACTGACGTATATCCGTACAACGACTCGTCATCGCTGTCTGCCATATCGCCAGCGGTATGGTTGCCAACAACAGCTCGACGCTTTGCATATAACTCATTGCTGATTCGCTCCTTCTTGGCCTGATCCACAACGCAGACCTCGCACGAAAACAGTCCCCATACTGGTTTGTGGTCCGAGAAGCGCAGTGGCGCAGAGTCGTAGTACAGCTGTTGAATGTTGTCGCCCTTGATCAGAATCCTGTCGCACCAGGCAGGAATCCGGGCTTTGTCAGAAGTATCGTACTCATCGGTTCCAGGGTCGAATTTGTATGTGGGCAGGAATGTCGGTGTCCGCTCCGAATAATGTAAAAAGACTTTCCCTCCAATCATCTGTAAATTCAGCTGGTCATTCTCATACAGCTGGCCCAAGTCTCGCATCTTGATCAGCTGTCGGGCACGCTCGTTGTGAAGACCGATGCGGTAGTTGAAGTCCCCAAACCAGATGGCCGTATCGTGGTCATCAATGCATTTGTTACGTTGGAAGCGTAGTCCCGAAGAAATCGTGCGGTAATCTTGGTTTCGCTCGTCGTAGTTTCCAAACCCAGCAGCCAGGTGGGCAGTAACCAAACAGATGGAAGTGTCTGCGAACTCCATGCGAATTGCCACAGCGCCCTTGTTGCCCGCCATGCCACTGAGGCCCGTCTTTTTCACGGCGCCTTCAACATTGCGGATCATCGGCAGGACGCTGACCTTGACGAACACAGAGAGCGAGGCACCGACGAGCTGACCACCTCTCAGCATCACATACTCTTCGCCTCCATACTTCTGGGCTTTCCTGTTAAGTGTATCTCGGACAGCGGTCTCCCACATTGACCGTCGCAGTGGGTCTGTTGACAAAATCTGATTGACATCAAGATCAACAATTTCCTGGAACGCCACGGCAACTATTTCTGGTGATCGATACTCTTTCTCAACTTCGGGACATAACCACGGACTCAGATCTTCGCCTAGGCCGTGCGTTCGTCCATTCAGATTGAAAGTTCCAGCCCAAATGTTAATCTTGTCGGTACTCGTGTACTCTCGGTATCGTCGGCCCAATTCTATCGTGACCCAATCATTGATCGGATCGTACAAGTGCACTGGAGTCTGGCCAACCAAGCGACCAAGCAGCATATCCATAATCGTCTGTTTCCGTGGATCTTCGATGTTGTTGATGTAGAGCCTCTGTGCCGACTTCCTGATATCGGCCAGTGTTCCTGCAATCGACATTTTGCCAGATCTCGTGAAGGACGACTTGAGAGCTCCTGTGCCGGCGTATATCTTGGAGAGTTCGTCACCATTGTCAGCCCAAAGTATACCATGTCTTGCCCAAAAGTCTGATGTGGGCCTGGGTTCGCGTCGCTGCTCCAAGAACAACTCAAAAGCAATCTGCGAGATGATGGTCTGGACCAGGTTTGTGCGGTCGAGGCAGTCCAAGCAGTTCGTCCTGAATACACCAGCTTGCTTCAGGATCTCGTTCTGTACAATGGCGGAATGTTTGCGACCATTCTGATTAACAATGCCCGGTGCATCTTCCGACAGGTAGTACTCAAATGCGTCTACAGCCTTCTCAATCGATCTCCTGATTCCGCTGGCAGCCTGGTACCCGTTCGGCCCCCGGGTCTCTGCGTGGAAATCGTAGTTCACCGGAATGACGTGCTTGTGCTCGGACTCCGCCCCTTTTGCGTGAGTGTTGAGCAAGCTGTTGTCAATATGATGCATATAGAGTCGCGTCAATTGCGTCTCTTGCGGCTTCTCCTCGCTGAGGAGGTTTACAGCCACGATATCGCCATAGGTCTCCGAAAGCCGCTGCATGTGCTTGTCAAAAGCCGGTTGCGTCGCCTCAGCAGACCGAGTGATCTGGATCTTTTGCTGTCCTGGCAGGCCGGAAGCCTGTTCCCAGAACAAAGGCACGCTGCCTCTGCACTGCACGTAAGAATAGCACAAACGATCTGTGGTGAAGATCGTCTCGGTCTCGGAGAAGTTGGCCACGTTCCCATCATCATCAATGCCTCTCGAATTGAATCGTGTACCGGCTCTTCGGCATGACAGCCTGGAGATCAGAGTCATGTTACTAGGCAAGCCGCTGGTCTCGCCTCTCGCAGGTGAACTTGCGGCGGGAATTGCAACAGTGTTCGCATAGCCTCTTATGGCAGATGTCAAGATCCTGCTCTCGTCCAGTGCCGCCTTCTCCCTGCCGCTGAGCCTGCTTCGGAAATCGACCAGTGGCTGAATCATGTACGTATTCCACAGAAAGCCGCCATCCAAGCTGTCAATGGAGACCGTGGTAGTCTCTGCTGGACGATCCTGAACGCGTTTCGTGAGATCAAAGTCGGCAGAATAGTAGAATGTCCCTTCCGAGAGTAATTTCTTCAGCTTCGAACAGGGATGTTCGAGCAAAGCATCTCGATGCCCGCCTCTATCGTAAGCATCGGCGTCCAGATGGTCCGTCGGGAAAGGGTTGACCTGATCGTGAAGCAAGTGATCGTACTGATTGGAAGTCAGGCAATGGAAATCGACTCCCATGATCTTGTTGACCCGTTCTCCCGGTCTGACCTCGGCAGCCTTTTTGCTGGAATTCACCACGCAAAGGAAGACGTCTCCATTGACCGTCACCAGACCGAGAGTGCCCTGGATGGACAACGAGGACAGCGTTCGATAGCCCTGCATGTCTTGTTCGCTCCATGGCGAGAATTCGACGATGCATCGAGGTGTGCCGGAAGCAGTGATGGAGGTGGAAGAGCCAAAATTGGTCTGCTGTCCGGTGGTGGTAGGACTATGTCGGAAGAGCAAGACATGCGAGTCGGTGGCGAGGGCGATGGATCGCTGAGAGCCATCGCGGAGGAAAACACGAATGGCCATTCTTCCTCGGGCGGCGGCTCATATTCTGTTTCTCCCGTCAATGTCGATGATTTATTGCCGCATCACGGACGAACAAGGCGTTCTAGTGGCAGGCTGGTGAGAATGCGATGCCGGTGATGCTGAGAGATGGAATGGATGGAAGATTGTGGTGATGTCGCAGGCTGTTTCAGGTGTGAGAGGTTGATGTTATTGTTGTCGTTGTTGTTGTTGCTGATTCGTGGCATGGCTCCAAGGTTGATGGCAAGCGCACAGCCGCACCTTTCCATTCGAAAAAAGCGATCAGTCACTAGAGACCAGTGGCGTCAGTCGTGCATGATCACATGCCGCCCGGTAGATCTGTCTTCATCATTACAGTAGATAGAGTAGTACATGCTTTTCTTTTGCGGCTATATACATATAATACATAGTTCTTTCTATACATAATCGTGACTAGACTGCCTTATAGCAACTGGGACAAGATCCGCTAGAGCCTAGAACTATAGAAGTGTATTTACATCTAGTATAAACAATACAGTAGGGTATGTATACCATCGTCTATAGTAAGTAGGTATAGAAGGCAAGAATGTATAAACATTGAACGTATTTCGGGACGACTACAATCGTCTATAGTAAATTTTATATGCTCATAAGGCTCGACCGTTACCCCAGCTCTTTTAATCGCTTGCTCGCTTGCTTTGCTTGAAAACATTGCAGCTTGCTCGAGTAAAGCCAGACACGCTCATACGCAAGATTATCGCATCAATATATAGTGGAAACGTCAAAAGCAATTACACTCTCTCGTGCGAAGAAGCCGGCTTTCACAACATATCTTAGCGTCTAATGGAGATCTTCAACTCGCGGTCAAAGCTGTCTCGTGGCCCGGGAGCTCCAGAGTCACGCCTACTGCTAACACTCCTATGCCTGCTGTGCGCAGGGGGCGGTGGAGCGTCGACGTATCGATACGTCTCCCAGTCGTTGGCAGGCCGGACATAACGGCGAATTTCTCTCTCTTTCTCATGCAGCGAGTACTCGGTTGGTGGCGGCGCGCTGGACCTTCGGCTGCCCGATGTCTTGTGTGTATAATTTGATTTGGCTCCGGACATTACGCCGCTGCTAGCACTACTAGCGCCATCTCCCTCGCTTGTCACTTCGACATACGTGGCCTTGGACTTCTTCGACCCGGCGTTGCTCGCAGGTGCAGGCGGAGGCGGAGCTTCTGTAGGCGCTTTGCTCTTCGCTGCGCTCGGTGCGGCGGATGGTGCTTTGCTCTTTGCGGCGCTGGGGGCAACGGAAGGTGCCTTGCTTTTATGTTCGCTGGGAGCGGCCGACGGTGCCTTGCTCTTTGCTGCACTAGGAGCTGCCGATGGTGCCTTGCTCTTGGGAGCACTAGGAGGCGGTGGAGGCGGTTCAGGCACAGCCGTGGGTGCCTTGGATGGTGGCTTGGTGGGAGCTGCTGAGGGAGGCTTGGTGGAGGGTGGGTAGACAGAAGGAGGCGGCGGAGCTGACAATGGCGGTGGCGCTGGCAGAGGTAGAGGCGACGGTGCTCGTCGTATATACGTGCGTTCGATGCGACGCACTGGAGGAGGAGAGGGCGAGTATCGCCGAGTGTATCTTGTTGTCTCTTTGACGTAACGAGGAGCCGGGGGCCGGTAGCTGTCAACTCTCGTAGGCCAACACATCGGATGAATGTCCGTCCGTCCGCTGGCTAGAATTATCGTATCGTCGTCGCGAGTCTTGCTGTATAGCACAGTCCAGGACGATCCGATAGTAAGGAGGTATACCTTACGGGGAGCAAAGGGAGGGAGGGTGCAATGAGGAGGGCGAAGGGAGGGGAGGGGACGATGGTGTACGACCTACACTACCTGCCACGCGGGCGCTGGGCGTGATGATATAAAGGGCGCCGCATGTCCTCGCGGTGGTGTGGCAGGATTCTTATGATACACATGGATAGCATGTCGATGGCTGCGTGGAGTCCGCCTTGATTTCGCAAGACAACAAGACGAGACTAGACTACTCGCAAAGAGTCCGGGATATTGGGCTGCAGCTCCGGAGCGTCATCGCCCAGTGACCAGTGCCCGCACCAACGGCAAACGGCACCCAACGGCACCCAACGGCACCCAAAAGACACTGCTCCAGATCGGTGGGTCAGATCGGTATAATGATGAGACTACTGTACACTGTACACACACTACTACTGTACAATGAGTTGCATAAACCATAACATATCACAATGTGAGCCCGCAGAGCCGGCCACATTGTGAACCTTCTATACGTGGCTCCACTCCGGCAGCAAAGCAGCATGTGAAACTCAATACTGACCGCTGGGAGCCTGGGGGAGGGGAGATACGAACCTACCTTATTTCTCACCTACGCACCCGTTGACGACATGAGCGGCCGTTCCACGCCCACGCTGGCCAAGCCCCAGCACCACAAGCGCAACTCCTCTGCCTTCGACGCCCTGAAGAAGGTCCAGATCAACGGCGCGCGAAGTGATAATGTCTTCAGCTCGCTGCGGAACACGCAGATGGTCGACTCAAAGCCCGTCTTGCCTGCCGAGCTGCTCGCAACCATCCTGGACCATCTACCCGTCTCGGATCTATGTCGATTCGCGCAGGTCTCCCGCAGGTTGCGGGAAATGGTATACGACGATACGCGATGGATCCAAAAGCTGCACTCTATGGGTGCGTGGAGAGAGGCCGAGGCCAGGCAGCGCGCAGAAGATGCCATGAAGAGGAGGGCGGAAGCACAATTGTCCAAGCAGGGTGAAGAGTCGCGCCGGACGGGAGTTCACCAGCCCAGTAGTGCGAATGGCACGTCTGGAGAGGGTCAACGGCATGCTGGCAGCGTGACCATGTTCGATGCGGGCATCGAGGAGGCGAGATACAGAAATTCGATCGACGCACAAAAGCAGCCGCCCAAGAGGCGAGAGACGCTCGCTGATGGCTTCGACGAGCTCACCGTGAGTGGCACTCCTGCTTCACCGACCAAGCCGTTGCAGCAAGCAGATCCACAAATGGCACTGCACGTCTTCGAACGAGTGAAGTCCATCCGTGGCTATGCGAGGCAGGAGTTTGGCAAGATATATGGTGCGCTGAGTCCACTCTACCTCGATCTCGCGCGTACAACGGCACACTCAGATGCGCAGTTGTTTCGCACATATCGCGATCCAGAACAGCAAGCTCAGATACTTGGCAATCTCAAACGCTTTGCGCAATGCGACATTTCCTATGGTTGGGAGCAGCGTGAACAACGACTCGACTCCATGATCAGTGTATTTGAGAATGCTGTGTTACAAGAGTTCGAGCAGGGCTACCATGCTGACGATGTGACTGGTCGCATGCATCGATATGCCCATGTACTCGTGACGCTGAACGGTGGCAGCTCTGTTGTCAATGCCTTCATCTCCAATCATCCTATTCTGACCAGAACAAAAAGACTCGGCCAGCCGTTAGACTGCTTGGAAGGTTGTGCACCCGGTCATGTCGACTTGAACCCGGCACAAAGATTTTTTGAGGGCTTAGCGGCAGCCATGGCTCAACAAGCCCATGTGATCGACGCAACATTCCCAGCCACCGTTGATGTGCTGGCGGTGTTCTGGACACGACTCTGCCAAGATGTAATTGCAGAGTACCTTACCGTCCTTTTCGACGAAGCCCGCTCACGCGGCGCTGAAACTTATGTGAAAGCTGTCGCTGGCACGTTCGGACAGGCTCTAAGGCTCGTCCAGTCACTCAAGCCTACGAAGGCCTCTCCAGCGGACTTTGAAGACGCCTCGAAACAGATCTTGCTGAACTGCTTCGACAAGCACATCAGCTTGTACTTGGCCGAAGAGGTTAATGTCTTTCGCACCAAAGCAGAGTCGGCCGTCAGTCTGTGGGAAAGGGAATTGTCAGAGCAAGAGGCGTCGACAGAGGCATTCTACATGTCCAATGTGAGTCGCCAAGCGGCAAAGCGCGACTTCTTGTCGTCGTTCAAGAAGGTCGTCATGATGCCCGTGAACATGTTCCCTGCTTCCACGACCACCAAGCCTGCGAATGCGACTGTGGCCAACAGATCATCTGCAGCTGTCAGCTCAGACACTTCGTATACCGGAGGGCGGCCGGCTTCCCCGGCTCTTCCTGGGGCATCGGCATCGCCTCTACGACCAGGCACGCCGGCTCATGATCCTCCTACCACTGAATTGGCGGCCAAGACTGCCATCCTCAATTCACGACTCGAGCGCATCAAGTCGCTCTTCAGCATTGAAGTGGCCCTTGACCTCACCCGGTTCGCCAAAGCCTCCATTGATCGTGCTGCACTCATGATGGCAATAGGAGGCGCACATGGAGTAGAAGCGAAGAACCAATGCTCTGCCATCTTCGTTTTGCTGCTCGATATCCTGGGCACCAGACACGTGAAGGATGGCTTCGATAAAGCAGTCGGACATCTTGGACAGTACAATCCTCGCGAAGTACGCAAGTTCAAAGAGGAGAGCAAACCAGATGGAGGCGTTCCCGCTGCGTCATCTTCTCACATCGGCGTAGAACCTCTGGTCACCTTTCTCGAACTCGTCAACGTCGGCGACCTCATCCAGCAAATGATTGACGTCTTCTATTCTCAAGAACTCGTCGCAACCAAACTCATCGATCGAGACGATTTTCTCGATCCCGCTGTCAAGGATAAGAAGAAGTTTGAACAGATGCTCGACGAACGTGTCGCCGCCGGTCTCAACAAGGGTATAGACGTCCTCATGGACGAAGTTGAATACATCTGCTCGACCACCCAGCTTCCGTCGGACTTCAATCCCGGGCCCGAGAATCCCGTGGTCGACATCGGCCCGTCCGCAACCGCCACATCCATCGTGGACATGGTATCCGGACACACCGGCATGTTAGTCGGCTCGACAGACAAAAACATGCTGGACGTCTTCAACCAAGAAATCGGTCTGCGACTCTTTGGCGCATTGTGCAAACATTTCAAACGACAACGCATTTCCGTCGACGGCGCCATCATCCTCATCTCCGACATTAACCACTACTCCCAATTCATCTCCTCCCTGCGCCAAAAACCTTTACTCCCATATTTCCACGCCCTGCGCGAACTCAGCCAAATCTTCCTTGTGCACATTGACCCTCCCGCGAGTTACTTTGGCAGCAGCAACAACAGCGGAGGAAGCGGAGGAGGAGGAAAAAATTCCAGCGGCAGCGGCAACAAAAGAGCAAGTATCCTCAGCACCAAAGCCACCAGCACACAAATCCAAGCCAAAGAATTGGCCACGCTGATTGCAGATTCACAACGATATGTGGGCATTTTCCCCACGGAAGAAGTCTATGAATTTGCGGAACGGAGAGCGGATTGGTATATGGTCAAGGGAGATGTCGAGAGAGCCATGTATGGAGTGGGATGTGTGGTGATGTGAGAAAGTAAAAATTTAACGCATGTGGGTGGGTTTGGGTTGTATGAAGGAGGAAGGGAAAGCGAGGAGGAAAGAAGAAAGGAAGCGAAAGGAAGCGAAAGGAAGAAAGAAGATTTGACACGGGGAAAAACTGGACGAGGGAATATGTAGTCTTGAACGTGACAGCGTGACAGAGATGAATAGGATGTGAGAGATTCGGGAAACAGATTTCCTAGGTATCTATCAATCAATATGAAAATCGAAAATCGGGATATCCAGGCAGTTGGAGTGTGCCAAGGGAGGTAGATTTTCAAAGCAAACATGTCTAAATGGCAGAACAAAACGACAGTGCACGATTCTTTGTTTTTCCTTCGGCCACAACGACTACCTGAGCTGCGCCGACGAGCCATGGACAAGAATTCACTCGCTCAACTGGAAAATTCTGGCAAACTGCTTTGGTTCGCTAATCTATGCCTGCTCTTCTACCGTTCATGTCATATCCAACCACAATGCAACTAGACTCAAGCGCAACGCTATGCAAAACATGCAGCCCCTGAACACCCTGCTAAAACACAAGTCCGTAGTCCAAAACTTCCCTCAACCGCAATGCCATGCCGTCTGCTCAGAATCCAAACACAAGTACATCCCATACCATTCGCTTCATGCAAGCGCCCCGCCAACAAGCATCTCCTTCAACAGCTCTCCCGCAGGCCCATCGAGTGCATCATTGAGCTCTTTCAGACCAACGCTACTCGCAATCCTTCTCTCCTCTGTTAAAGCAGGACCTGCGAATCCATTCTTCTTCGGTCTTCCAGGTGTCCTGCTGGGAGTCATCGGTATGGCAAAGCTGCCATTCTTTCCTCCATCGACGGCGCTCACCAAAGATAACGTCTCCAGCCCCGAAACCACATCTCGAAATTCTACAGAAGATAAAGCGTGAAAAAGGTTCTCACGCTTGCAGAGAGTCGAGTATGCATCATATAGTTGCTTGATGCTGGGCGCAGAGCTGTTCGACTTCGAGGGAGTGGCAAACATCGTCCGATCGACCTGGGTTTCCCGTTTCTTTCTTTCGAGAGCTGCAAGAGCGCAGAGTACGGCCTTCTGTTGCAAGTTCAGTGTGCCGAGACGCTGTGTTGTACCATGTGAGAACGCCTGTGCCGTAACTTTGGCCATATGTGCTATGGTAGCTTTAGGGGCAGTGTCGATGGTGTAGACTGTCGTGATCTTCTGAGGTGAGCCTGCGGGTGACGAGAGATTGACATTCTCCATCAGGGGTGTTTTCGACGGGCTCAGTTCCAACGCCGAAGCTTTGTCGCGCGTTTCTATGTCGATCAAGTCGATTGCACGCTTGCAAATATCGAATGCCTTTCGCAAGTCACCAGTCTGTGCTGCAACCTTTTTCGCGCAGAATTGGATGGCAGCTGGGTGGAAAAATGGAAGGGCTGTAGAGTCTGCAGGTGCCAGACTTCTGAGTTTTGAGGTGATGACTTCGACAATCTGGGCTGCAGTATATGGCATAAATGGCAAGAGGTCCGGTTTGAGGTTTCGAGCCTTTAGTCGAGGAAGGAGTCGATCTGTGAGATCCAGCGCGTTGGCGATTCCAATCAGAATGAGTCGAGAAGTCGGCTGCATGGACCATTCGAAGAGGCTGTAGAGCAGCTCAAGATCCAGATCGACCAGAATATCCACTTCATCCAGCACAACCAGATATTTCTTCTTGTCCTTCGCCTTCTCACGCACAAACACTGACTTGAGATAATCGAAACCCGCATCTTCTCGCAGATCCAGATCATTTGACAGCTTCTGGCTCAAGTCTTTCGTACTCCGCACACTCATGCAATTGACGACCGATACTGGGACATTCCTGTCCTTCGTCTGCTCCTCGATGATCTCATTCAACAGCGCACTCTTGCCCGTCCCCGGAGGTCCAGAAACATACAGACATCCTGAAGATTTTGACCCAATCGCAGTCGAGACAAAAGCCGAAAGCTCATCGCGCTCGCTATCGCGTCCCACCAGTTTCCCAGGATTTGAGCATCGCGCAAACAATTGTCGCGCCTGGTTGTAGACAGAGGCTTGAGAAGGTGTCGATGGCGTCCGGCCTGATCGGGGAGTCGCCTGACTGGCAAGCACTCGGTGTCTCGGAGTGATGGGCACTTTCTTGGAAAGCGCGTCGCGGTGTCTTGGTGTTTGGGGCGCGTTTTCCTTGTCCTGGTCAAGCTTGCTCTCTTGGTGCACGCCGCTCTTTCCCACTCGGAAGTGCGATTTGACAAGAGCAGGAGACAGATCGATGGGAGACTGTACACTGGTGTGTTTGGGAGTCGCCCTCCGCGCTGACGAACGCGTCTTTTTCGTGGGCGGCTCCCGCGCGTCAAGATCCTCCTCATTTTCGCTAGCATCGACATGCTGGCGTTTGTTCGTGAATGGGTTCTCGTTCTCGTCACTAGGGGCGTTGACTGCTAGTCTTCGCTTTGCGCGAGTGGTGGTGGTGGTGGTGGTCGTGTCTAGATGCGTATCGTCAGGTCCAATGCGCCTTCCCATCGGACATGCTATGGCCATCTTACCAGCAGCAGCAGCAGCACTTCGAGTGCGCTTGCCGAGGATGGTTGTCGGTATTCTGGACATCGTAGCTTCTTGTGTCTGAGAGAAGCGAAGAAATCACGATGCAATGTGTGTATGGAAAGTGCGATGTATATGTGTGTGTGTGTGGAAAGAGAGAGAGAGAGAGAGAGAGCGAGGAAACATCGCGGGTCGCGCTTGCTATACTCGACGCGTTTCCACTTCCGACTTTCGGCCGTGACGCGCTTTTCGCGTCCTTCGCCAAGAATTATAGAATCGCGTTCCCCAGCCATCGTAACGGTCTCTACCTATGTATTTCACAGATGACAGAATTCCATCTATTCCACCCGAAGCACGTGAGAATTTATAGTGTTCGAAAGCATATGACAGTGTCTGGAAAATCATCATATACTGTCAGAAGCACGACCACATCGGAAGAGCAAACATTGGATTTTATTGCTTATCCATGCACACATTCCATGACTTCGTCTGTTCTCGTTCTCGTTCGTGTCCTGAATCAACACCGGCGTGGGTGATGTTATATGGCCGTGTGCCTCCCGTATAATGAACTCCACGCTATGCCATCACCCTTAACCTCATAAAACGCCGTTTCCCTCACATGAATCCCAAAGCAAATTTTCTCTACCTCGATTTACTCCGATCATTCCGAGAGCCTCTGGAGCCTGTTCTGGTCGTGGGCACCTTCTCCTCGCTGGCATTTCGAGGACTGAGCGATAGTCTGTGGTCCTTTCCGCGAAATATATGCAATCCCACATCCTCCGCCGAGTCGGAATATCCCTGCCCGGGCTCGCCGGAGAGTCGTAACCGCATCTGACCTTCCTCGATCAAGCCCACGTTCCTCATTAGATCGAAGAAGACTGCTTCACTGTCGTGCCGCGTCTTGGTACAGACGGCAATGACCGCTTTGGGAGACCGTGTCACGAGCGTCACGAGCATCCCTACCAGTGGTTCCAGCGTATCTGTGTTGTATGTACATTCCGAGACAATGATCAAGTCATTTTTGCGGTTCTCAATGTCCGAGGGCAGAGGCTCAAGCCAATCAAGGGATTGGAACCGAGCGGTGGAGGATATTGCCGGATTCATCCTCTCCAGGTTCGCCTCTACTAAATCTTTTGCTTCGTCGAGATCGGTGAGAAGTACATCGCAGTCGGTGATGGATTGTGCGATACTGATGCCGACAGTACCACATCCACAGCCGAGTTCAATGATATGCGTTCTCCGATATGTTGCGGATATCAGAACGTACTCGAGGAGGGGGAGAGTAGTCGGGTTATCGAGCGAGATGATGTTGTCGACGTGCTGTGCAAGAGCCTGACTCCCATCCCACAGATGCCGAGCAATGCTGTCGCCAGCGTCTTCCAGTAGTGAGAGAACTCGTCCAGTGTTGGATTTGAACCGGCGCTCCACCCGCCTGCCCGAATCGAACTGTCCTTTGGTTGGATTCAATGCACCGCTCCATACCTCAACGAATGGCGGCATGAAATCCGTGACCTTGGTCTTCCTGACCGCTACTCGTACGCATGCGGGCCATTCCACATCTTGACGAGACAAGTCCAGTGAGATGTTCAATGAACGTGCCCCCGCTGGCCATGGCACTTTTTTCCGCAAGTATATGTCTCCATCGTCTTCCTGGCCTCGAAGTGATACCACCAGATCCAGATCGTGTGGGTAGAATGTCTCGCCAAGGTCGGTGGTGATGGTAACGACAGCTTTGAGCAAAACTGTTGCGCGATCGACATAGATCTGCGGCGTCTTGAGGAAACGAACTGTTTGCGAGTCAGTGAGACGGACATTTCTTTCTCGTCGTCCGGGTAGATCAATACTGACTGTAATGCATGTCTGAGTTCCTTTGTGCCTGTATGTTAAGACAACCGCATACAGCGGCGGGCTCTGGGAGCACAAGATTGTATGGAATAAATTGTCCAAGAGAAAGAGTAAGAGAGAGAGAAAGAGAGAGAGAGCGCAGAGCAGAGCAGAGCCACAAAAGCTAAGTGGCAGAGCTTACCAGCAGGTACTTAACATCTAGAGTTTCAGAAGAGCGAACGGTGATGCCTCCGACTTCGACACCGCGCGAGACGGAGACAGATACAGAGGGAAGAGAGAGAGAGAGAGAGAGTAAGGTAGGAAGAGAGCCTCGTGTGCGTACAAGTCTAGCCGGTCCCTCACCTGGAGCTGGTGCAGTGCGGCGCAACGCCCGCGTCTCGATGTTCAACGCGGCTGGCGGTGCGAAAAGAAGTGCGGCGATGCAGCGACGAGGCGAGAAGCGCCCAGCGGTAGGGCCCAGACCCGCCGAATCAACGTCTAGTTCTAAATGATTATCCCTCTGTGGACGCGAACAACCCTAATTCATCGCGCGCCACGATCGAGACTTGGTTGGTAGGAGGTACCTGTATTTCTCACCCGTGTGACATGTGTGTGTACCTCCTCAGTGTGTGTGTGTGTGTGTGTGTACTTGCAGTTGTGTGTGTATCTGTCTCCATCACGTGTAGGTACCTGTACCTCCTACCTGTAGTGGAGGTACGGAAGCGATCTAATGCCGAGCCATTTCCACATCTCCGGTCAATGTATCGACTAAGGGATTTCCATCCAGTCAAGTTCAACTAGCAGGGCAGTCATCTACTATTGCAAGCGTTTCGGTTCCCGTACGTACAAATGTAGTCGCATCATCCATCATCCGGAAGATACTAATACTGTACCTAGTAGTCTGTTACAGGTACCTACCTGATTCATCAGTAGGCAGGTATGTATACCACCAGCATCAACAAAGACAGCCCGATAAACGAACAGTAGGTAGTGTACCAAAGGTACCTAGGTAGGCTCTACCTACACCGGACAGGCACCGCAATACCTAACCTTGGAGGTAGGTATAATCCAATCCTGATATATGCCCGTAAAAGCCATGCAGCCTACCTATGCTGTCATGTGGCGGTGGCCGGCGCTACACCTCCTCACTCCTCGAGAGTTGGAACACGTGCTATGTGGTATGACAGAATGGGGGCGCGCGTCTTTCGTGGCTTGTATATGTAGCAGTAGTGTTCCTACCTGACCTACATGTACCTGATGCAAAGTATACATAAAAAAAGTCGGGTAATTCTCCGATTGAGAGAGAGAGTTTTGAGGCTTTTGTGGAACCATGGTTTTTTCACACCATGTGTCACGCGAAAAAGAAAGTAGGTATCGTAAGGTACATGTATCTATCTTGTACAGGTGCTCGGAAGACGAAAGCTTTTGCGAGGGAAGCTGTGATTTTAGACTTACAACAACAACAACAACGACAACCGGCAGCTGATCCATCTCATCCTTTGTCCTACACGGTGCGCCCACACACACACACACACACACACACTCTCTCTCTCTCTCTTCCTAGGTATCTTACACATCACTCGGCTCTCTCTCACCAGGCTTCCTTGTTTCATCCACAACAACCTGTTTCTGTTGTTCCGCTGCCGGCACCTCCGCCATCTTCGTCTCCTGTGCAACTTCCGTCTCCATCGTCTTGGTGACCTTGATGACCTTCACTTCAGGCTCAAATCCATCGTGCACTACATCGTTCTGCTTCTTCGCTTCTTCTAGTTTCTGACTGTCCTCCTTGGATCGATCCTTCTTTCGCTGCCAACCAGTCTTGAACAGCTTCCCGAGTTGAAATTTGGGAAAAGGATGAGCTTCGGTATTGAAGACCACATCGGTGAGTGGTAAGATGTCGTTGCTGGAGAAGAGGAGGTAAAAGTATTTGAGCGTTTCGGCCTGTGATTGTCTAGTTAGCCTTTCTCTCTTTGCGAGAACAAGAACAGAAGGAGTAGACATACCAGCCAGAACGACTCCATATTATCTCGAAAGTGGACAGGATCTTCTTCCACGTTGGAGATGCTCGAGAAGCCCTCGCCGTCCGGCACCGCGGAGTGCTTGATGAAAGCCTGGAACATCTCCCAGCCCCAAATACGATACTGCTCATCACCAGTGATGCGCCACATGTAAAATAAGCTCTCGACTGTTTCGGGTCGTTGCAGGTTGTGCTTGTCCGCAGGCTTGAAGACGTAGTCCTCGCGCACCAGATCGACTGTGGAGCTACACTTCGGGTCTGCACATTTGACAAAATCTGGCGGACTCTGTGGGAGCTCGTTCGGCTTGAAGTCGTTATACATGAGGGGTGGATCGTGGATGTTGAAGTGTGCAATCTCGGGCGCCAGTCCAGTCGTAGTGTGATACATGCCCATGCACGTTTTGGTGAGCTCATGAGCGAGTCGCATATCTTCGTCTTGCTTTTCGGTCCAGTTGGGCTGCTTCTTGGCTTGGGCCAGGGGGAGGCCACCTGTGGTGGCGAGCGCGATCGTGCCGCCCATGAAGCAGACGAGATGATCCTGCTTTGCTTCCAGACTTTTGTGCAGACCACTGGGTCGCTCAGCGATCAATGTGAAATTGTTGGGGGAACTGTAGGTGATGAGATTCTTCTTCACGCCTGCCAGAGTTTCATTCCACATTTCCTGGTAAATCGGCTCTTCCGCCGACGTTTGCAAGTACTGCTTGATCAGATACTCGTAGTAGCTGTCGCCTCGACTGCCAAGTCGTATGTTCTGTCCTCGGAAGGTCCCTTTGTCTGCATAGATGAAGATGGGCACCAATCCATCTTCGGCTTGATTGTCATCCACCACGCGCATGACACGTTCTGTGTGCTCCCAGTAGTGCGTCTCGCCAGTCAGCTTCGAAAGATACTTCATCTCCAGCTGCAAAGTCGTGGCCTCCGCCGTGGAAGAAGCACCTGCGTCGGCATGTGAGGGGATCCCCTTGTGCCTCGCCAAATTCACACTTGCGAACGGCACGCCAGATTTGCTTTCATACGCTCCCAGCAATCGATCTGCAAGGTCCGTGGCCTTTTCGACATACAAATCGTCGCTGAGGTGATCATCCACGGATGCATACTTGCCATCGAACTGTGTGCTCAAGTAGTGCGCGCTCAGCAGTCCTCCCAGCATTCGAATGGTCGTCTCAAAAGTGTTGACATCGTGATCCTGATCATAGGTCAAGTTTGAGTAAATCCACTGTCTCGCATGTGTGAGTTCTGTCGTCAAATTCATGATCATCATAGTGTCCAAAGCATCAACGATGATCCAGCCCAACCCCTTGGGTGTCATGAATTTCCCAGTATGGCTGACAGGATGATATTCGTCGTACCCTGTGCACGTTCAGCATTAGCCATTTCTCCCATAGACCCTCCAGGACATACTGTGTCTCGATACATACCCCAGCCATACTTTTCATACCCAGACCAACTAATCTGAAATGCCTCCTTTACTCTTTGCGCCCTATCGTCCCAGTTGACAGGCTCAGCTCCGCTGAATAGTCCCCATCCTTTCGTTTTACTTGACGTAGACGTAGTCGACTTCTCTTCACTCCCGCCAGTGATCCAAGACAATGGACTCAGGATCCCAAACCACCAGCTCAACAGCGCAAAGACACCCAACACTCCCCCCAGTGTCCTCTTTCTCCTCATCCACTGCCTCGCATTCCTCCCACCAGCCCCATAGAAGTTGCTCGGTTTATCTTTGTACATGGGCAGACTTTCCTTCCTCCCGTCACGGAACATACCCCCAATTGTATCTCCCACTTTTTCGCTCAAGCCCGGATTGGTGCTCGAGTCGCTGTGATTGCTGTGCTGGAAGCGTGATCGCCCTGAACTTTGCCACCCCTCAACGCTATGTGAAGCCGCGCCTACATGGGGAATGCCATATCCAGACATCGTGGGCGCTATTGTATGCGCACCATGTGGACTATGTGTAGTATTTGTATCGATCGATAATAGGGGATTATTCGTAGCGCGAGTCGAGGGTGATTCTTGGTGTATGCTGGAGTTGGATGTCGACCGAAAGAGTTGCGAGGCTGGGGACTTTCTTCGAAGATTGAATGGGTCCCGGTTGGTGTTCATTCCCAAGGAGGAAGATGATACATGTATGTTACAAGAAGATGTGTGTGTGAGAGAGGGAAACGTGAAGGAACAGGCAGGCACGACAGCTGTCTACATAGATCGACACGCGGTCGACCCCTGCACGTACTCCAACTCTTAGGCGAAACGCTAGCGTGCCTACCTCAGGTACCTTACCTCAGGTACCTATACCGTCATACCGTCTTGCACGCGCGTGCTTTTCACATGAGGATAACGCATCGTAAGATCGTTGCCTGAACCAGAAGTATCTACACCTATCCCCATCGACCTGGTATATCAGCAGTCCAGCTCCCTAATCGCAAAAATAGCCATCAAGTACCTACTGTACCTTAATTCTCCTCTCTCACTCCCACTCCCCCGTCCGCAAAAATGTCCACTCCCATCGACAAAGCCCTCAACTCCAAGAACCTCTTCATCGGCTTCGCAGCTCTCATCACAGCAGCCACAGCCTGGTACGTACATACCTGAGGCCCCTGACCTTCCACAGACTACAAATTCCCCGATATAATATCCCCGAAAACCTTTATCTGTCCCCTACCTACCTACCTACCTACCTACTGTAGTATCTAATAACACCTATCCGACGAATTTTACTCATATCACCAGGTCAGTATGGGGTCAAGATATGTTCCCAGCAGCATCCTCCGACTCGAAATCGGAATCGGCAAATACCACCACGCAACCGGAAACTTGGAGTGAGGCGGAATTGCGAAGGTGGCTTAAGAAGGTAATTATAACAGCAGCAGCAGCATCTTCATAAACAAAAATACACGAGTCGCAGTTTAGGGAATGCTTTTCGCTAATGGCATGGTGGGATTCTTCTTTTCTTGAAACAGAGGAATTTGCCGATTTACGACACAGAGTCGCGAAAGGATTTGTTGAAGAGAGTTCAGAATATTCTCTCAAACCTTCACGCGAGTTCTCCGCAAGGGGATGCAGGGAAGCCGGCATCAGATGGGGAGTGAGAGAAGCGTGCGTGGATGATGTTTCTGTGTAATGTGTGATGAAGACGCAATGTGATGTGGTTTTTTTCAATTTCACTCTGGTATTACTTCAGTTTCAGTCTACCACCACCGACCGTATGGAACCTGCGTTGCTCGTGAGAGCTCGCTCTGTCCAACGCTTAGTGCGCAGCTTGATCGCAGCATGTTCAAGATGCCATGCCGCAGAAACAGAGTATCGCAAGTAGTATCAAGCCTCTCGTGTGAAACCCCCGTCCAACGCCAGACTTTTTCAAGCAAGAATCGACATCGTGCCCAAGCCGGAGTCGCAAAGACAGAGCCATCTAGTCTTCCTCGCTGTCCACTCCACCCTGAGAGAATTTCTCGACCTGGACGCCTCCTCCAACAGAAATTTAATCGCCGCCAGCGTCAGAGTCGGGGGCATCCCCGTCCTCCTGCTCACTGTCTTCCTCATCGTCTTCCTCGTCATCTTCATCAGCAGCAGCCATCGCTTTCAGAGCTGCGATTTGCTCCTGCTGAGCGCGCTCTTCCTCCTCGAGCGCCTGTAGCTCCTGTGCGTTTGCCTCGTACTGGGCCTGCTTCTTCTCCGCAGCTTTCTGCGCCTTCTTGGCGGCTTTGCGCTCCAATCGCTCCTGATGCTCCTTCATGAGCTTGGCGGTCAATTGACGGGTTTCCTCCGCCTTGCGACGCGCCGCCTCCACAGCGGCAGTGTTGTCGACCAACAGCCGAGCTTTCTTGCCGATGACATCGGGAGTGGCGGATTGGGAGGCCGAACGCTTGAGAACATTGGCGGCTGCCGAAAGAGCGGGACTGGGCATTGGGGTGGGCGGTTTTTCGACAGTCGGCGCAACCATGGGTGCAGGTGGCGGCTTGTTGCGATGCTGTTTCGGCATGACAAAGATGGTGTCTTCTTCGTCTTGCTCATGCGCAATGGCTGGCGGCATGTGTTGATTTCTCAACGTGATCTGCTCGGTGGCTTCTTCGAACTCTGAGATCTGCATGATTCGGGAGTTGTATTCCTTCCTCAAACGCATTCGGACTGAGCCGTTGGGTGGGAAGCCTCGCTCTTTGGCGATCTTGTTGAAGTATTTGCTGGTTTCAAGCCGAGTGCACCCGTCCGCGCCGATGAACTCAGTGAGTTCAGCCTGCGCTGGCAACTTGCCAAGGTGCTGCTCAAAAGTGGCCATATCAAGTGATTCCGTTACTGGTGGCATCGTGGTGTTGCCTAAAGAAAAAGGTGTGACTGAAGAGAAGCGAGTGACTGAAGGAGTATCAGTCACAAAAAGTGAGTCGCTAGCGTCGTCTTCGCTGAAAGAGGCTGCGCGTTTGGCTGAAGTGAGCGGGTCCAGCCAGCGCGTGTTGCGATCACTTGTTGCTAGGTTACCTGTGTTGTCAAGTCTGTGTGCGACGCCATAATATTGCCCCTCATCATTCGATTCTCGACGAGCAGGGCGGCCAACTGCCTGAAGGGGCGGCTGCTTGTTAGTTATCTGTGCGCTGAAGTCACCTCCAAGCTTAGAATACTTTGTCATGTTCCGCAAGGCGTCAGTCGCACGGGGCTGCGCATCCCAGGCCGGCGCATCGATCATCTCGACGGCCTCGGAAAGGTCTTCTTGGGGCGGGTTGAGCTCGCGGAATCTTTCGGTACGCAGTATGCAGCCAGCAGCGTCAATGCTAGCCTGCTTCCGATACCAGAAGATGAATCGGGCCCATGGCTCGATGCCGTATCGCGTTTCTACGTTCCAGTGATTACGGTGAATCCTGCTTCGCTTTTGCGGGATCTTGTCTGGTCCGGTATGTCGAATTTCGATGGCGCAGTCAGGCTGAACTCCGCTGGCGCGTACAGGCTGTGCGCTGCGTAAAAGCCAACCTCCTCCATTGATATCCCACTCTGGGTCGAAACGGTGCTCGTGGCTCTCGTTCTGCACGTTTGCCAGGATTTGAATGCTGCCCACGCCCGGCCGGTCAAGGCTATCATCCTCGTACTCTATAGCTGATAGGTCCACCATCTCCCCAAGTTCCTCCACAAACATTTCTGCATCCCAGATATCCAGCGGCCCTTCGATCCGCGAGGTCCAGCCTGCCTTCTCAGGAGGACAGTCGTAAGCTCGCTCGAACTCGAGCGCACGGTTCGAGTACTGAGCAGCTTCCTTTTCGAGGATCCTCTCATCACCCACGAACGAGCCGTCCACAACCAGATCGAAAGAAGCCGCCAATACTGTGCCGATGAACCTTCCTTTGATCACGAGCTTCTGCATAGCCTCCACAGGCACGAAGCACTCCACAATGTTCTGGTCGGTGATGCTGCCAGGCAAGACGTATTCCTTCAGTAGCTTGCCATCCGCGTACATGGAGAGCTCGAGCTGTTGATCGCTACCTGCGCGCACAGCCTTCATAGCGGCGGCGTGCGGTTTTCAAGACTGGCGTGTAATAGGCTGGCGACAGCAAGTATTCGAAGAAGGTGTTGCGTTCGTTTGCGTATTGTCCAATGTAGCAGTGCAAAGATTTTGTTGTTCTCGTCGAGGATGGTTGCTGTGGTTGTAAAATTTAGGCGCCAATCTGGAGCTCACAGCAATAGGAGGAGACACGCTTCGGCAATTACCAACTTGTACCCTCACCGGGTTATGCCGGGCAGCCAGATGAATGTCAGATCACAATTCACTTCTAGCTCCAGCTTCAACCGCATGACTGTTGAGATCGGTTCACTCAATCGCGGTACATTCACCGGTCCAAGTGAGCGGTCTGTGTGAGCCCCGCCAGGAGCTACTGATTCTGTCTCCAATCTCTTTATCCGCCGGCAGATTACTCCACTGCTTGGTCGACAAGTCGCTAGGACTAAGGACCGCGAGAAGAAGAGGTTAGCCTCAAGCAGTTTTCAGTGCAACGCCAATCGTGCGCGCGTCGTCTATGCCATGTTTATCCTGAATTCCACGATGGGAGGCAACCACTTTCAGGAGGCGCTTCATGTTCCAACTGAGGTCATTACTACGTGATCACAATGCTCAAGACCGAGTTCTCACGCATGTTTCAACAGTAAATGAGGAAAAGTGTCCCAGTTGGATGATCCTAGAGGCGCAACAAACATGCTGCTATTCGTGCGGAGGTCCCGTTCCTTGCCTGAGCACGAGATCCCATCCCATCCAGCTGGTAGCCTGCGCCATGAGACATAACTTTGATGATAGACATACATGTACATGTATGCTCATGGTAATGTCCTCGTGTCCTCCTTTTATGGTAGCCATTATGCAGCCTCGGAAACTGTTACTGCTGCGAAGCGGAACTTATGCTACCGCAAATGCCGCGCTCTCCTTAGACGTAGCATATCTCTGCATGACTAGGCAGTGGAAACTGAGCGCTTCAGCTTCAGCTTCATGTCTGCAATGCTTCCCAAAGTCCCAAACGCAATTCATGCGTAGTCCATTTCCACAGCTTGCCTCACTGGCCAGCTCTCTCGGGCGTCCATTGTATGATCAATATCTAGCGCCGTAGCAAGGCTCCTTCCCCATGCCTTTCCATATCCTTTTTCATGAGATTCCATGCCAGGCAATCTGAATCTCTATCCTGCAGGCTCTCTCATACCACGAACCGGAAGTTCTGCATCTGAATCACCCAGGGCCTGCCCTTGCCCGCAGGTTCCTTGCCTGGCACAAGCACAAACTCCTCGCTGAATCCTCTGAGCTCTCCCTCCTTCCTCTCGTTCAGTCTCACATAGCCGCTGACTTGCACACCGATACTGACGTTCCTCTCTAGGTCCCTCTTCCGCCCTTCCTTTGCAACTTCAGGGTCCAAGCTTGGATTGATGATCTGACTGTTGAGACTCTGCACCTCGAAATGTGTGTATGGCATCTCCGAGTACTTCTTCTGGAAGAGTTGTGGATCGTTCGTCAAGTCACCGTTGTAGTTGATGATGGGCAAGTTCCTGGAGGGTGTGGTTCCTGCGAAGGGTGGGCAGTAGAAAGAGGCGATGGTGTTGCGACCACCAGCTGTTTTGAGGGCAGTGTAGTAGGTGTCGATAAATGACTCGGCGGTTTCTGTTGCGACTTTGGTGAGGTCTGTTTGGGAGAGCGGAGGTACACAGACCGGCGCCTCCATGTTGAGTTGTGCTGTGTGGGATGAATGGGAGGTAAACACCATCGCCGTTTCCGTTTTCATGTGAAAGACGCGAGTGAGGTGGTCAAACTTGTGCCAAGATTTCGAGCCCGAGAATCTGCCGAGACTGCCGTTCCCGCACTCTTCGATTTTGATGTGTTGCTTGATTGAATTCGAGGCCAGCGACGTCGAAATATACCAATCTCACCCCACCCGCACATCGCCCACCGAACCGCCATCATGCCTCGCGAAGTCACCGACATCAAGAGCTTCATCGAGATCTGCCGGAGAAAGGATGCTCGCTGTATGTCGAATCACCAATTTAGAATGTGAAAAAGTGGAGGGAACAGAGGATGGAGGATCGAAGAGAGAGAGAGAGAGAGACGAGAACACAGGATTGAAACGAGGACAACATGCTGACAGTGTGTGTGTTCCAGCTGCTTGCATAAAGAAGAACAAGAGCGCCGGTGTCTCGCAGACCAAGTTCAAGGTCAGATGCCAGAAGAGCCTCTACACCCTTGTCCTCAAGGACACCGACAAGGCCGACAAGCTGAAGCAGTCGCTCCCACCGGGTATGTAAAGATCTTCTTGCAAGAACAAGAGAGAGAGATAGAGAGGACGGACCACAATACTGATATTATGATTTGCGCCAGGACTCACCATCATCGAGACACCCAAGAAGAACGCCAAGGGCAAGCGCGTTGCTCAGTCTTCGTAAGCGCATACGGGCGGGCATAAAGGGAGCAATTGGCGTTGAAAACGGACATGGCGGCATGACGAGGAAAGCTGTATACTCACCGGCATGGAATCGACGATTTGAGCGAGCGCCGAGCTGGCATTGAAGCTAGCTGGTAAGATGAGATAGCCTACGTGAAAATGGCAATTGCGACTTGATCCTGCACACACACAACATGATTCGTTCGCAACCAGTCTGGACATGTTCTCATCGACAGGACACACATTTTGCAAGCAGGCACAATCGTGTCCAAGACATCTCACACCATGCCCGAAATTAAGCTGATGCCCAGCAGTACCTCCTACTCCACGTAGAAGTCCCCAATTTCACCCTCGTATGCCTACAAGAGATGTTGCATATTTAGGTAACGCTTTCCACAATCACTCCTTGTCCGTCCCGTCTCAGGGTACATGTAAACTTACTGGCGATGGCTTGATGATGCACAATGCTCAAATATGTACCTAGGTCCCTAGGTAGCCTCCCTCAATGAACGCTTTTCCTTCAGATATACGCGGGAGGGATGAAAAATTCCTTATGCCCCTTTCCGAGAGGGTGGAATGTAAAGGCATGATAATAATAGCAGCGAGAAACTGAGAGAGAGGGAGAGAGGGAGAGAGGGAGAGAGGGAGAGAGGGAGAGAGGAGAGAGAACATCCCATCTACTTACATAAGGTATTCACTCAACCCACATAGTAAGCAAATAAAGTAGGAAGGTAGATATCTTCCCATCCTCCTCCTCCTCCTCCTTTCCAAAGTAAGAAAAAGGCTACCAAGGTCTTTCAACCTATATACCTATCAAGTCAAGTCCAAGACCATTTGAAAAATCTCAAAAGTCCCATATCTACATCAAACTCGTCCTCCCCCCAATCTCCGACCCGCCCTGACCATCCTGCAAATCCCCATTTCTGCCCACCACAAATTCGCGATAAATCCTCGCGAGTCTCTGTTGTTCTTGTGCGCTAATACTCGCTCTTGTCTCGCGTAAACTCGATTCGACGTGTTTCCAACTAATCACCGGTTCGGAGTTTTGTGCGCTCGAGCGATCACCACCACCACCATCAGGAAGTTGTCCATTGATGTGATCCGGATGATGATGATGATGATGATGACTCATGGCACTTCCAGGTCTGGCAGCGTGGCGTTCAGCTTTAGCTTTCTTTTTGACCAGTTGAAGATTTTTTAATTTTTCTGCAATGACGGCTCGTTCGGCGGCTTGTTGGGCGAGAGCAGCAGGAGAAGAGGTATCCTGAGAGATGTTGTTGTTGTTGACTTGGCCTAGTTTGAAGTATGTGAAATCTTGAGGATTGCGACGACCGGATTTGGATTTGCTCTTCTGTTCGGATTCGAGGCTGCTGCTGGCTGTTTCTGCAGAGGGACCGAGAATGTCGTGGATGGCTTCGAGGTGCGCGTTGTACATTACTGCTTGGAGATCGGCTCCGGAGTAACCTGCGGTGCGGCGGGCGACTTCGTGGAGTGATTCGGGACCGGTGTTGTGTTCATTGGAAAGATCGGGGAGGAGGTGAAGTTTACTGCTGACGGCTTGCAAGATGTCGAGACGATCTTCTTCGTTGGGCATGTCGCATATGAGTGACTTGTCGAGACGGCCGGGACGTAGCAAAGCCGGATCGATCAGGTCTGGCCGTGATGTTGCAGCTAACACGTACACGCCAGATAAGCCTTCTGCACCATCCATCATGGTAAGCAGCATGTTCACAACACGATCTGTGACACCGGTGCTGTCATGTCCACGCTTGGGTGCGATAGAGTCGAACTCGTCGAAGAACAGCACACAGGGTTTTGCGGCTTCTGCACGCTCGAAAAGATCTCGTACACTCTTCTCCGATGCACCAATGTATTTGTTCAGGATTTCAGGGCCTTTGACCGAGATGAAGTTGAGGCCACACTCGCCAGCTACAGCAGACGCGAGCAACGTCTTGCCACATCCAGGATATCCATATAGCAGCAGACCAGAGCGCAACCGCAGGGGACACTTGGCAAAGAGGGGCGCGTAAGTAGTCGGGTACTGCAGAGTTTCCAAGAGTGTTTGTCGCGTCTCCTTGAGGCCACCGATGTTGGCGAATGTCGTAGTTGAGGAATGCAGCGTGACGCCCCGCAAAGAAGCTGGGGTGAATCCCTTCAACGCCGAAGTGAAGTCTATGTCGGTCAGACTGACTTCATCGGAGAAAGAGTCCTCTTTCACTGCCCGCATCAGTGCTTCGCTACGAGCACGAGAGACGAGGACAGCTAGATCACCAGGCATATATCCGTCAGTCTGTCCAGCAACATCCAGCAGATCCAGATCTGGGTGCTCCTCCTCATCCTCCTCCTCCTTCTCTTGTGCTCCCCCTAGCCCGTATGCGGAGCTCGGCCTCGATTGCTCGCCATCCGAGTCCTCCATCCACGCGTTGAGCTGTCCACCGTTCTGCACCACAGTCGCTGCAGCACCACCATTTCCCGACTGGTTGGCTTTTTTGACAAGCAATTCGAGCACCTTTCTCCTCCCGTCTTTGCTCGGTGCTTTGAGTGCGACAATGTCGCGGACCACATGTCCTCCGATCACGATGTTATTGACAGCCTCTTTACTCTGCGCAGTAGCGAGCATGACCACGCCGCTGTCTCTCGTACACCATTGACGAACAATCGAGCATAGCAATTCACTGACCTGCTTGCTGTTGACGTTGCTTTGCTGCTCGAGTTCGGTTTCCACGGGGCACATTTTATCCAGGTCGTCTAAGATCACGAGTGCGCGGCCGCCAATCCGAGCTCCCCAAGACGCTGAGGCAAAAACCCGATTCAGGGTTTCCTTGATAGTCTTGACTCGTGTTTCGTCGCTGAACATGGCTCGACAGGGAAAGTAGATGATGTTGAAAAGATATTCACTGCGAAGCTGGTGTGCCAGCAGATGCACCAAGGAAGTTTTTCCAGCTCCAAGACCACCAGTCAGCAGTACCGAAGAAGTGTGCAGTAAGCTCTTGCGAGTTTGCTCAATCACGGGATCTATGCCGACCATGCTTGGAATGGTCTCCGGCAAGTTCTGGCCGGGTGGCCATTGGGGTCCTTTCTGCTGTGCCGTCATCTGCTGTATCGACAGCTCAAGTCTCCTTTCAGATCCAATCAGCCAGTTCGTCTTCGGCTTCGAAGGGTCGCCCGGTGGCGGAGGCTCAAAGTCCAAGATACCGCCAGGCCAGCTGTCTGAAGGAGGAATGTACATGCCATCCGTCAGAGGTCCCTCTAGTATCTTGTTCGCTGACAATGCCTTATGCACTTGCTTTGCACTAGCCTCCTTTTCTGCTTGCGACTCGCCACCAAATTTGAGACCTGTCGCCTTCTTCTCGGCTGGTGACTGCGAAAAAGGGGTAAGCCGCAGCTTCTTGACGATTGCTTCTTTGCTCGCTTGAGCCGATGGATCCTTCAGCGCAGAAGCAGTTCGTGGCAGTGGTGCTGGAGCGGGATCAATCCGTACGATACCACCGACAATTCCAACGGAGTCTAACGCCGCACACAGCAGCGTAGAAAGCGCGACATGTCTGCTATCTGGAGCATCGTCCCACGCCGATAGCTTCGCAACCACTTTCTGAGCATGTTGCTGATCAGGTGCAGGTCCACTCTGCGGATTCACCGGCTCTTGCAAGCCCGCGGGCTTGATTACAGATACTGCCACCCAAGTCACGCCTCTCAACGTCTTGGAAAGCAGATGCTCGCGATCAACCCAAATCTTGAGCCCCTCGTCTTTGAGACTGTCGCCACCGTCCTCGAACCACTCGTTCTGGAGCGATCTGGTGACACCTCGGAGAAAGATTGGAGGTCTCGACTTTTCAATCTCCTTCTCGCTCTTATGCCTGGCTTGACTGGTCGTGCTTCTGCCGCCGGCACTTCGTCTGCCCGCGCTAGTGGTGCTTCGATTGTCTCTGGAGCTGCCCTGCTTCTGCGACTGCCTCGTTTTAGGAGCCACTATCACCTCCGCATCTGGCGCAATCTTGACAAAGTTCTGTGTGCTTGCTGGCGTGGGGGTAAGAGATGTGACTGTGATGTTAGCAGTAGATGTGGGCGTAAGGTGCAGTGTCAGAGGGTGCATATGCCCAGCAGCTGGATTGGGGAGAGCTCGGACTTGGGAGAGAAAATTCATCTCGAGGAAAGACGAATGAAGCTCGATGACTATGGCGGGTGGTAAGTATAGCTGTTGCGGTGGCACTGAAAATCGTGGGTACAGCGTGCTTACTCTCCCAGTCGGTAGCAGTCAGAGGCTCGATATTGACAGTATGGGCTTGCGGCGGATCTACATGCAGCGATACGCTAGCCTACTGGCCTCCATCAGCCTATGCAATATCCCATGCCTGCTCGTTGTTGTCTTGTGCCCACCTTCGTGCCCGCGCTCAAGCCCAGTCGTCTTGCGAAAGTGGCATCGATCTCGACAGTCGCCAACTCTCTATCCTGCGAGCCACCTCGAACTCCATCGCGTCCGATCACGGGTGTTGGCTTCGACTGCGACTGCATACCAGTCCACCCCACAAACACCGACTGCGTTGTTGCTGGCCTCGGCTTCCCATCTGAACCGGTCGGCTGAGCCTGGCGGTACTGCAGCTCAACCACGACATTCTGCGCGACTGTGTTCGCGTTGAGCAGTAGAGCCACCAGAGAGGCCGGCAGATTGACCAAACAGCTCCTCAGACTGGGAAGCAATGCGAGCTCGACGCTCGTGGTCGTGGTCGACGACGCGCCGCCAGGTCTTCTGCCTGCCACCGACATTCTGTGCACAATCTCGTCAATGGGTCGGGTCAGTGTAGGGAGGAGAGGCCATCGGTGTGGTGGTAAGCGGACGCGTGCGGGACGCTCATCGAACATGCAGTTGCATGTGAGAGGAAATAATTCATGTGCTCGAAGGGCACTGCGAGGTGAAAGCTTGAGCTCCACCTTTTACCTTTTTGAACCGAGGCATGGCATTGAACAGACAGGGATGATGAGCCGAATTATCATCAACTCCATCACCTCTGGACAGTACTCACAATCAAGCAACTCTTGACAGGACAGGATATCATTGATCGAGTCATAGGTACCGATAGCCAGGAGAGTGCCTGGTGATGAACAAATACGAGAGAACACGAGAAGATTTGGTTCAACCTTTTTGCTTTCAATTCACAAAGTATTTCCCATCAACTGTAGAGGTATCATTAAAACATAGAGAAAGCCAAAACCATCCAGCCTGTACTTCTGGCGTCAAAAAAAGCGATGAGAGTCGTGAGTAGCCGTTCCAACATTCTTGGTCTCGCCACCCCTCGCATAACCCAAACGCTCCACATTCAAGTCTTCATTCCACGCTGAACCCATCACCGAGGAAAGTCCATGTGTGCATGCTCCATTCCTGGTGAAAGCGGCGCTTCGTATGCACCCGGTATGGGTACAGCATCGTACACTTGCTCACCAGGTGCAGCAGCAAAGTGCTCTTGGACCATTTCCCGAGGTTGTTCAGACATCAGTGGCGATCTCTGGTCCGTGGGTGGTGAAGGCGTGCGGTCTCGGGGCCGAACTTCGGTGACTACAGGCGTAAAGCCCATTTGTTGCATCTTTGGTGTCGCGTTCGTCACCTTGATCGGTGGTGCTTGCAGGCGGAATGGTGCTGGCTGTGCTATTCGATCTGCATCGACATATCGCACCTCGCCTTCTTCGATGGATACCGCGTGCTTGTAGTTGTCTTGATTCGGTGCACGCCAGCCTCCATCGCGTGGAGAGAAAGGTGCGGGTGTGTTGGGCGCAGACTGTGATCGTAGCTGGGCAAGATAGAGGTCGCTTCGGGCACGGTCGCGGGCGGCCATGGACTTTCGTAGTTGTCGTTTGGAGTAGAAGCGGTAAAAGACGAAGCTGTACACCACGATGGCAATCACCTCCACAACGACCTCGATCAGGGCACAGACCAGTGACCAGTTCTGTAGGCGACAGATGAGATCGTACGACACGTCGTTCTCGAACAGCGACTTTCTCTCGTTGTTCACGCAAGACCATCCCCACATATCCTTGTTTTTGCTGTTATTCTTCTGTTGCTGAAGCACTGCTGCACCAATTGCCCACATGACAATGCTGAATACAAAGAATATCACGGATAGAGCGGTGTAATAGACGGCAGCCTTTTCTGCTCGTCTATGACCTCCTTTCCAGTAGCTGTAGAAAATGATGATACAGGCAACGAGAGAAATGACGGCTATGCTCAGGAGGAGAATTTGCGGCCACGTCTTCTGGTTTTTTGCCCAAGGCGGTAGTCCGTTTCGTGGAGGGAGTGCTTTCGTTGCATTGAATATGGCAAAGGTGGAAGCAAGCATGCCAATTACAATCAGTGAACACGAGAAGTTCACCCCTCGCAGGAGCACTTTTGCGATTCGTACTCGTGTCTTGACTTTCTGTGCTGTTGTCAGTCTTCGTTCGCGGACTACATGCACCGTAGTATACTCACAATGTCCTTGGCTTGCTCCTTTTCGGTGTAGTGCTCGTGCTTCTCCAGTATTTCTTCTTGCTTGAACGTTGGGCTCAGAATGTTGCCGAGGTCTCTGGGAGGCGCACCAGGAGTCTTCATGGCGCTCTTGAGAGGGCTCATAGGCATTGCTCGAGCCGTGACCGGCGGTTCGTAATCTGTGTTGGGCATTTCCACGGAGTCGTGCTTATTCACGTAGCCAAAACCAACGTCTGCGACCTGTGGTTGAGCCATTTGGTATGTCGTCGGTGGCTCCTTGAATGGGTTACGTCCAGCCTTGGAAGGTTCAATTGGGGAGTTGACAGCAGTAGCCTCCGCAAAGCGAGCCGTTCTCGGTGATTTTAGTGACGGTGTCTTGACTGATAGAGCTGATCGTGTTGTCGTTTGCGAATCTCCGGAGGCTGATCTTTCGCGTACTGCGAACTGTACTTCTGGCTTCTGACTATTGGACATGCTGTCAGATACAATGGTACAAGCAGTGCTGCTGCGTGTAAGACGGCTGGGATGAATCCTCTAAGATGATGGAAAGGAAACAAGAGGCCAGCTCTTTGGTCGCAAGCAACGCAAAAAGGTTGAACAAGGAGAGGTGTATCGATGTTTGGAGTCCAGCTACGAAGAAAAGAAGAAGTGGCCGACGGGTTTGGGCAGGTCTGGATAGATGAATACGCTGGCGGTTCGCACGGACGTATGCACGTGTGAGAGTATGCCGGGCGCCTGCGGGTTCTGCAGTGGCTGGTCGCTTCTCGTGGAGGATCCAGCAAGAGGCAAAGAGGGAGGAGACATGGAACAAGGCGTTCGGCTACTCACCTCTGCTGCTCTTTGAATAATAGCGTGGTCTGGCCCCAGCGGGCGTCGCTTTAGGTGTGCTGGCGGAGCTGATAGGTCGTGTTGCGATGCGGGTGTGGGAGGCAAACCGTCTCTCGACTGAAAATAGCCGCTGTGAAGCTCTCTGCACACTGCACAGGTGAAGTGCATGCGGTAGCTCGGTTGCTCTCGGAGGCACTGGAGGGAATTACTCGTGCCGGGACGCCTGTGTTCTTGTGGTAAGTAGGTAGTGTAGCATATAGACAACGGATTTCTCTGGTGTTGACAGGCAGCGGACAGAACGAATTCGCAAAGAGAATCTCTTCTTCTTCATGAAGGTTCCCAAACACCCTCGACCTCACCAGGCTTCCGGCTCTGGGGGCCATGATCGGTTGTGATGGCGGTCCCAAATGGGCCGTCCATCTGTGTAAGCGCCGCGAACATCACACGAAGGGACACGATTGGTGATGAAGTGTTGGAGGTGCAGATGTCGAGCTGGGATAGTGTCGAGGTGATGTCCAATCAATATTCGAGTACCAAGTCTTGGCGAGCAGTTCTAGTGGAGTCACGAATCGGACGGGCGCTTAAGGTATCCCTTAGGGTTACACTTCACTTCACTCGTCTCCAGCTTCCTCTGCTTCCTCTCTCACCAGTCACGTGGCTCTGCTCTCTCTGCCGTTTTTAAGTTGATATGTACGACGTCGGGGTCCAACATGAACTCGTCGACCGACGCAGGACTACGCGTGGCGTGGCTGAGATCGCCACCAAGTGAAATTAGCGTACAGCACTGTATTCAGAACTAGGTAGCTAACTAGGTACAGTACATGTAATCAGCCACTCTGCGGTGACATGTCATCCTTTGGGGCTATTCTTGCAATCTGCTTTGTTGTATGCTTACTTCTAGTCGTCATACTGTACGAATCGTACGCCATCGCGCATCTCAAACCGAACAAATTTCTGAAGCGAGGTGTTCAAGAAGGCAAAGAGCATATTCTTACACCAACAAGACCTGCGACAAATGAGATGCTCGTTCTCATGGCGGTGCAACATCCATCTTCAAAGCCGGCGTAATCTGTTTCTCCAATCCAACTCGATATTCCTCCAAGACCCCATCATAGAAGCCATAGAATTTAGTATCTCTCCTCACATCATTCACGTGGCCCGTCGCCTCCAAAAGGTTATTCGAAGGAAGACTTCTGCGCCACAACGATCGAGGCGGAATATAGACGTCGTCAGCCTCGGGAGCCGACACCACTGTTGTATCTACCAGAGCCTCCTGCAGAGAGTGTGCTCGGACCAGAGCAGGAGTTCCCGGCCTACGTGCTTTGAGTGCGTGGAGAGGTAAGTCGCCTTTGCCGCTGAAACGCTCCATGCCGACATCTGGACTGCCGCGCCGATGGAGGACGCTGTCGGAGGAGGAATAGCTAGATGAGCCGGGGCTGTGGTGGTCGGGACTGTCCTCGGATTCAAAGATGAAATCGCTGGAGTCTGTTTCTGCGACAGGACTACTGCTTTGCCAGACACTTCTCCTGAGCTCGGGGTTGAAGCCGCTAGAATCGGTGAATGCCGGAGACGCCCCATTCGACCTTGGTAACATGTCGAAATCTGCCTCTGATCCTTCGAGCTCGAAAGGATTACCAGGATCGCAATATACGGTTTGTCGCACACGACGCATCTTGTGACTGCCGGCTATTTTGATGTAATCATCTTCGTCAACATCACGACTTTTCCCAGGTGAACTACTTCCACTGGATCGACGGTCGAGGTTCGTGAAGTCGGGCTGTTCGGGGGAACTTTCGTGCTCTCGCCTGCCTTTGAACACATTAGCCACTTTCTTATGACAACAAGAACAACATAACGCCGAAATGAGAACGAGATGAACAGCAATAACAGAAAAAAGCAACAAATAAAAATAGCAAAACGCTCAAGAGATTTTTCGGGGCCAGCCACCGCGCCATGAGACCCGCTCATCGTGCTCAGAAAAAACAAAAGCAACACTGGCCAAAACGCAACACAAAGGGAAAAGAAACACTCGCTCAACTAAATCCAATTCCCCTCCCTCGGCGCCTTCACAAACCTGACATTCCAACAACTCTCACACAAACCATACTTCAACGGCCTCGCCACGGAAAAATTCATCACCATTTTACATCCATCGCAGCGAGCGTACTCGTCCGAAGTATCATCAACAACAACAACAGCATCTAAACAAGTAAGAGAATCACTCGAATCTTTCCGACTTCTTCCTTGATTCTTTTTCTTCTTCAAAGGATCCACAGCGCGAGAAATAAAAATCGCAAAATCCTCACCTCGTGTCAAACCCTTCGATCGGGGCGGCGGAGTCGGTCGTGCAGGAGGAGGAGGTGTAGTACTAGGACCTGTAATTCCCGCAGCTCGAGGATGGCGATGATGGCGCGGTTCAGCAGCGTTACGTTTCACTTTCAACGGCAAAGGTGGCGGTGGCGGAAGAACCACCAGACGTGCTTTTTCTTTCTCTTTCTCCAACTGCGTCTGAAATTCCTTCTCGAGTCGAGCATTTTCTTCTGCAATCCACGCCTCCCGGTCGCGTTTCGGCGCAACAATAATATCTGCCGCGTGAACAAGTTCTTGCGAACCTCGACGGAAAAACTCTTTGAGGGACCCTCGACGGGAACCGCTAGGGCGAGAATGGGAGCGATGGTGGTACTCATCAACATCAACATCGTCATAATTGTCATCAACAGCAACATGATGATCTTCCTCGAGACGCTGGTCATCATCCGAGCCATATCTCAATCCATCCTTCCCAAACAAAGGCCTCCTCAACGAAGCCGCTAGCATCATCGGAGTCTTCTTCCCCATCATCTCATATTGTCTTGACAAAAAAGAATTTCCTCCAGGACTACTCGGGCGCGAAACATTCGATGCAGGAGGAGTCTGCGGTCTCCTGCTCCTGCTCACACCACGAACTTTGGAATTTGAAGCTTTTGATCGACTATTGTCGTCGTCGTGGGTTCGATGCGTTGATTTCCAGTTTGGGGGGCTGTGGTATTGATGATTCATTTTGAGGTCGGAATTGATATCGAAGCGAGAATCAAAAGCTGCTTCGAGAGAGAAAGAATTCTCGGAGGAAGAATTGGATTTATCTGCTGCTGTTGCTTTTCGCTCGGGATGGCGCGATGAGAATTCTGCCGAGGTTGATGTTGAGGGTGAGGAGGGTGAGGTTGAGGGTGATGTTGTTGAATAATCCAATCTATCTTTGAAAATCAGCCCGTCGGTGAGGGGACAGAGAGTGAGTGAATTGATGTGCATCACTTACCTACTTACGCTGGTAGGTAGGTTGTTTGTTTTTGTATGTGTGTAAGGGGAATCAGGGGGAAGGGGGGATTTGTGAATGGAGTTTTAGGGAGAATAAAGATCTATAGGTAGTGGTAAAAGTAGGTAGGGTGAGGTAAGGTAGGTAGGTAGGTAGGTAGGTAGGTCAGGTTATCAGAGGTGTCGTGTATCGTGTGTGTTTGTGTATCCCAGGACCAGCTGGCTTTGCACCGGAAGCGGTAGAGTACCTTGGGTTTTTTTGATGTTTGAGAACAAAGAATTTCTGAGTGTTTCCAGGTTGCTGTTGCTTTGCTTTTCTTGACGAGAAAATGTGGAGTTGAGGAAAGTGAGATGAATGAACAAGGGGATTATATTCTCTCTATCTAAGGTACTTTTTTTTTTGCTTGCGTGGAAGTCGATACAAAGGGCATGTGTGTTTCTTTCGTGAACCAAGAAAAGAACATGGATCATCACAAAGAGAGAGACTTGTTTCTGTTTGTCTGATTGACTGACTGAACTTTCTGACTGACTTGCAAACAAAAGAAGTAAGACCACAGGTAGTAGAACACCGTCATCGTTGCCACCATCACTCCAAAATAGTAAAAGATGAAGTGTCTTGTGAATTGTGTAACAAAAATGCCATTTCTTTGCTATTCTACCAACCATGAACGAGTCCTACAGATCAACCCAACCATCCTCCCCACTAGACTTTCTCTCTCCCCCTACTCCCTGCCTCCATCTGCATTGTGCAAAAGACCTCGCCTCAGCAGGGACTTCAAAAGCATAGAGAGAGAAAGGAAGACCAGTACAAAGTCTCGGGGGAGACCACCAACCAATTGTCCACCACCGTCCAAGTACACAACCAAAAAAAGGAGGCATTAAAAACATGTTGAGAGCGTCATTACAGCCTATTGAGAAAACAGCCAACAGTCAATTCACTATCCAATTAACCTTGAATGTATATCCTGCTAAAAAAGGTAGAACTCACCCATTATCCCCCGATTTCTTTTCAGCCCCCCTTCCAGAACAAAGACTCAAAACAACTATAATGCAAAAGCCAAAGTACCAATCACCATCGCCAGAGTAGCGAAGCCGAATGCAGCGTGAGAAGAAGAAGAGGCTGAGCCAGTGTATGCTGGTGGGGTGATAGCGCTCGTCCCAGCTGGGGGAGTGGTGCCGTCCACTGGGGTGCTGGCACCTCCTGCTGGAGAGGAGGTGGAATCCGCTGGGACAGGGACCGCTCCGGTGCCGGTGGGCATGGTCGAGGCAATGCAAGCTGGACCGGGGCACTTGACGGTGGTGGTGGTTGGGTAGGGGGCCACAGTGGGGTTGGTGGCACCTGGTCCGGTGGGAGTGTTGCCTGGGGAGCCGGGGGTGGGTGCTGGGTTTTGGACTGGAAGGAAGAATGTTAGTGACTGCTTTTTCATTCATTCATTCAAAAGGGAGAGGTGTGGCTTACTCTGCCCGTCGGGAATTTGCTGCACTGGCGTTCCTGTTGGTGCTGGGTTCTGGACTGGTTCAAATGTTAGTGACTGAAGGTGCGAGATGGGTGGGAGGTATGGCTTACTTTGCCCATCGGGGATTTGCTGGACTGGCGTTCCAGTTGGTAGAGGTCCGAGCGAGGTGCCACTGGTGGCCTCACAGTCGCATGGCTCGGTGATGGTGACTGACACTGGTTTCGTGGGGTGAGCACCTGAGCAGACGGTGCAGTCCTTCACAGTGACAGTGAAGCCTGGAGGAAGATGGCTTGGTCCGGGAGTCCAGGTAGGCGTCGCTTCTGTGCAGCTCTCGGTGATGGTATGCGTGACTGGGACCAGACCCGTCGAGCACAGCGACAAGTATTCTGTGGTGTAGACAGTGGTATGTCCTGGCGGAGTTGGCACTGCTGAAGGTGTCTTGGAGCACTCTGGGCAGTAGGTGACGGTATAGCCATTGGTGACTGTGATCATCGTCTCGATGGGAACACTCGAGCAGAAGTCGTATGTAACAGTAACATATGAGACTGGTGATTCAGAGGCGTACGGGTATGCGCTCAAACTCTGCGCATTCGCGCTGGCGACAGCCATGGCGGCAGCGGAAGCCTGTCGCACCTTCATCGTGAGGATTGCACGTGTAGAGTTCTCGTGGAAGGGCGCGTCGTAGACTGGTATACTGCGATCGGTAAGGTGTTGTAGCGAACGACTGTCGGGTTAGAAACGAAGCGAGTGTGAAAAGCAGGACGAGTGCTTTTGGTGACCAGAACGAGTGATGATCTACCGGAAGCAGTAATTAGTAGGTGACAGACGAAAGCAACCTGGTCAACCGCGAGGTATGCGGCCTTATACTACAGCGACCGTTCGCGGACGCTCTGTTGATACGCGATGCATTCCTGACGAAATTGCCGCCGCCATTCCGCAAGCACAACGACAAACAGCCGTTTCTGGCCAGTCCTCGCCACGACCACATGGCAAACAAGATGGCATGCATTGAGAGTGCAACTGATTGGTGCTTTCTTTGCGGCTGGGCTGGTAATGTGCAGTGCAGTGGTCATGGCTGGGAGTATAAGCCAAGCAGCACCAAAATGTTCGTTATTGGCACGACTTGGTGAAGGCGAGCTTACAGCAGTGCCGGAAGGTCTTTCACAACTGCATGGCATATCAAACCGCTAGGTACTGTTTTGTTCTCGTTCTCGTTCTTGTTCCTCGGTAGGTAGATGTTCTTGTTCTCATCCTCAATGACACTTTGATATCGGCAAAAATGGTGAAGACGGTTGCCACCCTCTTTCAATCAATAGCTGACCTTACGTTCCCGAAACCACGGCTCGCCGAGATGATCGCGCGTGAGACAGCAGAAGGAACCCGACTTCTCGCGCAGAGTGACTATAGACTTCCATGTGCACTGAAAAAAGAGCAGCTGGAAACGGCCCGCAAGAGCAGGTCCATTGGTGCCATCGCAAAAGCCCTATCCGAGTACACGGGAGAGTGAGTCGGCCAGCTTTTTGAATTCACATGCCGCATATCTCGGCCCAAATGAGACTCGACGTTCGTGAGAGCGTGTCAGAAAGTTCCAGGTTGTGGCATGTATACAGTCAAAAACACGCTAGCAGGTACAAGATCCGAGTCCGAACGTTAGCGCGGCCCTGAACCTACGAGTTTCTCCTTTCTCCTCCTTTCTCCTCCTCCTCCTCCCCCGGAAGAGCTCCACGCATATTGCTTCTGAATCCTGATCAATCAACGCTCCTGTGTGATGCTGACAGCAGGTGCCCCGCGTTGCTGGCATTATCCCCCCTGACGATTTCACGAAGCCAAATTATCGGAGCATTACGAGACTGGTCATTTGACGTGGCACTCATTGGAAAGCGAGAGAAGCAAAAGATGGTACCATGGGGAAAAGAGCTGAGCAATCATGACTTTTTTGTTTTCATACGGTCATTTCTCTACTTCATACGCTGAGAATTCAAGGTCTTGCATAAGACTCTAGGGTGCTTAGACGTTGACAGCAGTGCGGAAGTTCTCTCCCGCGTAGATGGCATTGCTGCCGAGCTCCTCCTCAATGCGGAGGATCTGGTTCAGCTTGGCCAGACGCTCAGACCGTGCTGGGGCACCAGTCTTGATCTGGCCGGAACGGAGACCGACGGCGATATCAGCAATTGTCACATCCTCAGTCTCACCGGAGCGGTGAGAAACCATGACACCCCATCCGGCACCGTAGGCGTCCTTGGCGGCCTGGATGGCCTCGGTGATGGTACCGATCTGGTTGACCTTCAGGAGCAGGGCGTTGCAAGCCTTGGTCTCGATGGCCTTCTTGATGAACTCGGGGTTGGTGACAGTCAAGTCGTCTCCAACCAGCTGGAAGTCGGTGTTCTTGTAGAAGTAGCTCCAAGCCTCCCAGTCATCCTCGGCGAATGGATCCTCAATGGAGACGATTGGGTACTTCTTCGCGAGCGAGCGGTACTGGTCTGCGAGCTGCTCGTATGTGACCCACTTGCTCTTGTCGCTGTCGGGGTTCTTGAAGTCCAGGTCGTACTTCTTCTCCTCCGTCTTGTAGAACTCTGATGATGCCACGTCCATGGCGATCTTGATCTGACCAGTGTAGCCCGCAGCCTCGATCGACTCGGTAATCAGGTCGAGTGCCTCCTCGGCGGTCTGAATGTCTGGTGCAACACCACCCTCGTCACCAACGTTGCCAGCAGACTGGCCGTACTTCTTCTTGGCAAGCGTCTTGAGCTTCTGGTAGACTTCGGAGCCCTGGCGCATGGCCTCCGAGAAGGTAGGTGCTTGACTGTAGAAGGTTGAAATTAGCTACAAGACTCAACACACAGTTATTCGCGGATCTCACTCACGATGGAACAATCATGAATTCCTGGAAAGCAAGACGGCCACCGGCGTGCGAGCCACCGTTGAGGACGTTCATGAATGGGACTGGGAGGACGTATGGCTTCTTGGTGCCAGCAAGATCGCTGATGTGGGCGTAAAGTGGAACACGCTTCTCAGCAGCGGCAGCCTTGGCAACGGCCATTGACACACCGAGAATGGCATTGGCACCGAGGGTGGTCTTGTTCTGTGTGCCATCGAGCTTGTTGAGGAAAGCATCAACGGCGGATTGGTCCTTGACGTCGAGGTTCTCCTTGATGAGAGCCGGAGCAATCTTCTCGTTCACGTTGGCAACAGCCTTCGTGACGCCCTTACCGCTCCACTTGCTCTTGTCTCCATCACGGAGCTCGCATGCCTCGTGTGAACCGGTGGAAGCACCCGATGGGACGATGGCGCGGTGAAGGCCAGTCTCGGTGACAATGTCAACCTCGACCGTTGGGTTGCCTCGAGAGTCGTAAACGGAACGTGCGTGAATCTTGGAAATACCCATCTTGACTGCTTCTTCTTGCGGTCAGCTCTGCCATGGAAGTTGGTGGCCTGGTTGTGACGAGCCCTCAGGGTGTTGTGAAGGGGGGACAGTACTGACCTTGGTTCTGTGTAATCTGTGTGGCTTCTGTGTGGATGAAGTGCAGTTGGAGAAGGGGAGAAGATTGGTGTTGCCTGGTGGTGAAGTGATAACAAAAGAACAAAATACTCGAAGCTTTGCTGGAACATCCCACCAAGTTCTTAACCCACCGAGAGTCCGAGACACCCCGCCAACGACGGTGTGAGCAGGGATGATTTCGGAAGACCTCGATGATGCACCTCCGAACTCGCCCTATAGGCTGGGCTGGGCCGGGCTGGGCTGGCGCTGTTCTCTTCCGAACAGGAAAGGTCATTTACCGAATAAAGTTTAGCTGGCTTAGCATCTCGTGGGTGAGGTACAGCCTATAATCGTGCTGTATGGTATAGCTCCAGTCGTCCATAGAATTCACGTCTTTCGGGTGGTATATGAAGTACAGCCTCAGCCATCGTTCTCATCTGCCGTAGAAAAGTAGATGCCTGAACTGGCTCCTGAGTTAGGCAGTGTAGGGGAGAACTATCGCTCTCCATCATCTAAGATATCACGTGACGCGGACCAAGCCGTCCCAAGCACTGATGATGGCAGGCGCGTTCGCCGTAGCCTACAACAGCTTGCGAACATGAGCTTCACACATCTCAATCACTCTCCCATCCAAACTCCCATCACCACAACCTCCATCGCTTCGCCGTCTCACACCCTGGATCTCTACCCAGTCCAACCAGCCGCTGCGGGAATCGTTTTCGTCTAGCCCTCTTCCTGCCATAACCGCCACATCACCATCGCCATGTCGGATCCGGAAAGAGACCAAGCACTGGAGGAGTACAAGAAGAAGTTGTTGGAGTCGCGAGAGTGGGAGGCAAAATTGAAGGCTCTGCGGTTAGAGATCAAGGGCTTGCAGCATGACTTTGACGTATCCGAGGACAACATCAAGGCGCTGCAAAGTGTCGGTCAGATCATCGGCGAGGTGCTCAAACAACTGGACGAGGAGCGATTCATCGTCAAGGCATCATCAGGGCCGCGATACGTGGTGGGATGCAGATCAAAGGTCGATAAATTGAAGCTGAAGCAGGGCACACGTGTTGCCTTAGACATGACCACACTCACAATCATGCGCATGCTGCCCAGAGAGGTCGACCCACTAGTATACAACATGTCGTTGGAGGATCCGGGACAGGTGTCGTTTGCGGGTATTGGTGGACTGAATGAGCAGATCAGAGAGCTACGAGAGGTGATTGAGCTGCCGCTGAAGAATCCCGAGTTGTTCTTGCGAGTTGGTATCAAGCCGCCAAAGGGTGTGCTTTTGTACGGTCCTCCTGGTACGGGAAAGACGCTTCTCGCGCGAGCAGTAGCTAGCTCGCTCGAGACGAATTTCTTGAAGGGTGAGTTCCATTCTTCATCATACCGATGCTGCCTCTGCTGACATTTGTGTAGTCGTCTCGTCTGCCATCGTCGACAAGTATATCGGAGAATCTGCCCGCCTTATTCGCGAAATGTTCGGCTATGCCAAAGAACACGAACCCTGCATCATCTTCATGGACGAAATCGATGCCATTGGTGGTCGCCGCTTCAGCGAGGGCACGAGTGCCGATCGTGAGATTCAACGCACACTTATGGAATTGCTCAACCAGCTTGATGGTTTCGACTACCTCGGGAAGACTAAGATTATCATGGCTACAAACCGACCCGATACACTCGACCCTGCTCTCCTACGTGCTGGTCGTCTCGACAGAAAGATTGAGATTCCTCTGCCAAACGAGGCAGGGCGATTGGAAGTGCTCAAAATCCATGCCATGAGCGTGCAGAAAGAAGGAGAGATTGATTTCGAGTCCGTGGTCAAAATGAGCGATGGGCTGAATGGTGCAGATTTGAGAAACGTGGTCACAGAAGCCGGGCTGTTCGCGATCAAGGACTACAGAGAGAGCGTGAGCCAGGATGATTTCAACAAGGCAGTGCGGAAGGTTGCAGAAAGCAAGAAGCTGGAAGGTAAGATGATGCTCTTCACATATGTCATTCCTTTCGAGTTATTTGCTAACGTCGCGTGTAGGCAAGCTGGAGTACCAGAAGTTGTAAAGAATCTGAGGAGTATGATGATGACTCTGCATGATCTGGCATTGAGCATGGCGTTACCAGGACATGGCCGAGCGAGAAGCAAGCGCTTTGCGTGGCCCATTGTACTATACTTGACAGGTAGCAGAAATGCCATCCTATATTGTACTCACAGCGATAATGTCCTTGTTTGTTCCGCAAATCGGTGCTGAAAGTGATAGTCTTCACTCGAAGGGCACGACCATCACCCTTGTCGTCGAAAGGCAATGCCACTTGATCGAGACTCATTTCATTACAACGATGACCGCTTTGCAAAGCAATCTCGTCTGCAAGCTACATGTAGGTGTCAGACGCTTAGGCACAACGAGGTGACATTCTGAGAAAGACGAAAGACTGGACGTAAAATCAGCTATGTACCTAACAACCAACCACCTCTGAGTCTCAACCCGACAGGTCGTTTGTACTGGGACACATCTTGGTCTAGGTAGGTCCCTTCAACCCGTTTTCTTCTTGCCATCCCCGGGCACTGTATCAGCGCGAGAACTGCGTAGGTACATGTACGCTGCCTATGTACCTTACTTGTCATGATGATACGAGTCTGCTTTTTCCCTTAGGGTTATATAAATACGACCCTGAATTTCATCTCAAAAATGCAGCTTCTTTTTTCTCTGTACCTGGTTCTAGGTGGGATGGTAGCATCTCACTTACGGCGAAAAGTGAATGGATTTTTTGTTGGGAGGAAGGGAGCTGAATTCAATCCGAGACGTGGTCAAGTAAAGTAGGTAGGTTATGGTATTGTGGATAGGGATGGAGCTGGGATGGGTAGATTTGTAGGCGAGACGAGCTTTTGTGGTTTTATTCTAAGTGACGGATGTAGTCTAATTAGGTACATGTACAGTAGGTCTTTGCTGAATCCTTTGGTAGATGAGCTGTTGATTAGACTTAGGGTCATTTGTACCTACCTGGTACCTTAGGTACCTTAGGTATACAATGGTTCAAGGACGACGCACTTTTTGCGGATTTGTCGGCTGTGCGTGCAAGGCAAGGCTCAAATGTAGAAAGTATCCATGAATACAGTGAATTCTCGACCTGATGAATGTCATCCCATCCGCGCTATTTAAGTCCAAGGCCAACTATATCACACGCGCTTTGCTGAGTTGTACGACCATGGGATGTCGCTTGCGTGACCTACTGTCCGTAAGTATGCTTCGTGCAATCTAGACATCGGATAAGCCACCGCTCTGTCCTCTGCGTGAGGACAGGACTCCCAGTCGTGTGACTTGGTATATCTTGAGGGCGCGATCAAGCCCGCTTCCATTCCAGGTTCGGTGCACGCATGAGATTTTGAGCAATGCTTTCGCTGTTTCGGAGGTAGACGGGTTTCGTGGGTAAGAGGTCGCTCAATAGATCAACGCGTACCCAGCCTGTTTCGTACTGGCTGCATGTTGCTTTCGTCCAAGGAATAGAACCTTCGTGGCGAGCTGCGAGTTGGCCAGTCCAGAGAGCGTGGAGCTCATTTCGCAGAAGAAAAACGGTAAATTATGCACCAGTATTTGCGAGGCATCTTCGAGGCATGGAACCGCACTTGAACAGGTCAGTAGAACGAACAGGCATGACCGCCCGGCACAATTGGAAAGCAGGTGGAGAAGACTGGACTTTCAATGCATTTTCATTCAGTATGAGCGCCATCGAACCGGTAGCCGCATGCCTGTAGTGTGATGTGACCTAGCGCTGGTCGCGGCCAAGCATCGCGGCATCATGTGTCAAACCCTGCCGTGTTGCGCCTTCATGCCTCTGCACCTTATTCCCATTTCATCGAAGTAGCAGCAGTGAATCGTTTAGTGGCCAACTCTCCTGCTCTCAGCGATGACCTTGGTCATCTCGTCGACCTTTCTCTTCGCACGGCCGAAAGTACCGAGTCTCTTCTTTGCAAGCTTGCGGGCACGCTTGTCCTTGCTGTTGCGGAGAAGTTCGATGACGCGGCGCTCGTATGGTGCGAGGCTATTGGTATGAAATTAGTGTCCTGTCCTGCGATGTCCTGCTCTTGGGCCAAACGTACCCAGCGACCTCCTTGACGATGTCCCGAACGAAAGCAGTTCTCTTGCTGAGGTGTCCCTTCATGCGCGACACACGTGGCTTTGGTTGGCGGGGAGTGACTTTCTGTGCGGGAAGGTCATGTTAGCCTGCTGTCCTCTGTTCCCAATTATATTCCGCCATTGTCGTTTCTCTCGCTCGTTCGGTGCAGACAAGTGGGGGGTGGTGGCAACGACGGTGGTGGGAGCAGAACGTACGTGGCCAGCATTAAGGCCAACGGCAATGCCGGACCTCTGCTTGACTTCCTTGGGCATCCTCGCGGTGTTGTCGATGGGCGGTGGTCAAGATCAAAGTGTCTGCGAGAAAGCGGAAGAGGTTGTGTGCGTAGCCTTGGCAGAATTTTGCAGAACGAGCCATCGTCCAATCAGTGCGCTGTGGCCGTGGAAGTCCTGAGGCACGAACCTCAGCTGTCACAAGCACACGCGCCATCCTGGTTGGGAGCTTGCTTTGCTTTTTCAAAGTTAGCCCAGCCCAGCCATTTGTCGTTTCTTGATCTATACACCACTACCTGATCGCTTGTCCGCTGCCACAGTGGTGTCCATCTCGTTGTGATGTGCAGCTGAAATGAACTGCCATGCGGTGGTGATTGGGCGACGAGGACTGCAACTCACTAACGCCACTTCACAACCAGTGACAACGAGACGACTTTTCGCGACATCTCTGGGGCATACTTCACCGCTATCACGGCCGGTAGCCCTACAGACCAGAGCTAGCAGCGCGAGGTCATCACACCATGCTTCAGCCACGAATACACTCAACAGATGGCCTCGATCGCTGACTGTATGCGCAACGGAGAGATTTGGACTGAGACTGTCCGAACGGACGCCATCAAAAGGATGGCTGGACTCGAGGGAACAGACTGCAACCAGGATGCTGCAAAGGAGATGGAACAGTGGCAGTAGTAAGAAGCTGGAAGGGAGGAGCCCTGCGGATGGAGATGCACAGAAAGAGGTCTCGACTGAGAGCAAAGACAGCCAGTCGCAGGTCACAGGCGCAGGCGCAGGCGGTCCTGGCAAATACATATACGATCATCTGCCGCACTTCCATCGCCCCACGAAGGATGAGCTACTGGCAGCAGCGACTGGATTCTGGCATCGATTGCAGATCCGCTTCAAGTGGTTCTCCATCAGGAGTGTGAGGCCCTTTAATCACGAAGAAATATTTGCCTTCTTGAGCTGGATATTCTGGGGCCATCTCCTCTGGTTGGTAATTGGAACCACCACGTTTGTCAGCTTGGGTATCTATGCCCTCAACACTGTATTTGCACAAGAGACCTTGGCAAGCTGGGTCGGCAACTACCTCACACGGAGCACAGGCATTCAAGTGGTTTTCGAAAGTGCCATTGTACCGAAATGGGGCGAGGGCACGATACGGTTGAACAAGGTCTTTGTGAGCAGGCGTCCAGCTGCCGACAAAAGTCGAAGGACCGTGACCAAGGGCTCTTCGGTTATTGCAGCGGCAGCGGCAGCAGCAACTGCGCAAAGTGGCCGAGACCATGCAACGCTGCCTGATGAGGGCAGTGAAACACCTGCCGATGATGGCAATTACTCCCAATCCGATGTCACTATTGACAATGTTGACCTGACGCTGTCGTTCCGCAAGTGGTTCAACGGAAAAGGATTGCTGCAAGACGTTGGTGTTCGTGGCGTTCGAGGTGTCATCGACCGAACACATGTCAAACCACGGCCAGAAGATGTCGGTCGTGACCCGAAGAGCTATCGTCACGAACACAACATTGGTGACTTTGAGATTGAACATTTCAAAATGGAAGACGTGCTTATAACAGTGTATCAACCCAACAACTTTCGGCCGTTCACAGTCAGTGTGTACAACTGCGAACTTCCTCGACTTCGGAAGCAGTGGCTATTTTACGATTTCCTGTGCGCCAACAATATGAGTGGCAGCTTTGACGGCTCTCTGTTTACTATACATCCCAGGCAGGTACATAGTACTACTGGTGCACTGCTTGTAGGCGGCCATGAGGAGTTTGCATCAACCTGGAAAAAGCATAGCAGGATCCGTATTGATGGGCTCAAGATCGATCACCTGAATCGTGGCGTTGAAGGACCTTTCTCTTGGATCGTGGATGGAAACGTGGACATCGTTTCCGATATCATGATTCCGAACGACGCAGATGGCAGTATAGCGAAGGTCATGAGCGACATTTACGATCGCATGGAAGCGACTGTCACGAACCAAATCGCGCACAATGGCCATGCATCGGCATCGGCATCGCATGGTCATCACGACGAGAGCATCGACAATAGTGGTACGTCTGAGGATGCGCAAGAAGTAATGAACGAGGACGACAACCGCTTCCTTGTCATGGACATTCAAATCCACCTCAACGACGTACGCGCTAGCGTTCCAATCTTCACTAAAGACATATCGTACGTCAACAACGCTGTAGTCCGGCCTATCGTCGCCTACATCAACTCCCACTCTCGAAGCGGGAGTAACTTCATCCCCATCACCTGTCGCATTGTAAAGCGGCAGAGTGAATTCGATGGATCTTGGACTGTCTTCGATTCTGGCTTGCTCGCAGACTTGAGCAAAGAGACGTACGATGCGTTCGTGCGCGATATCACTGATCGCAAGGCAAGACAACGTCGAATGAAGAAGGTCGGCCTGTGGGCAGCTCAAGTTGCGGCTCAGGCGCTTTTCATTGGCCTTGCCGGACAATTGGCGTGAGCAGGATGGCCAGTGAGGTGTACTAGAACATTCATGGCCAGATTAAGGGCAGTACAGACCCTTGTCCTGCTCTCGTGTCCTAAAATCGCAACGGCCTGTCACGAGTCAGGGTGAGCAGATATTTTGTCATACTGCTGGGTGTTTCAAATCGACTCGAACACGTTTGACGCGATGCTTGTGTTATATTGCTTTCGGGAGCGAGGCGTTTGTCGGGCATATTTGGCTGTAGAAACATACAATTGAGCCGTCCATGGCTAACAGAGGCGGCATCCTACACTGGACGGAAATATGGAAACGACGGGACAGTCGGGACGGCGTTTTTTGTATGCTTTTGACTTTACAATTATGAGCAATACGACCTAATGTACAGATACTTCTCACTCTCATTCTCGTGCAAATTGAAGATTGCAAGTCCGCCGCAGAGTCGTGCCAGTAGGCTGTGATGGAGTGATGTAGTAGAGTGATATGTTACCTCTTGTAGCCTGCGGATGCCTCCCGGTGAACATTGAGCGGCAAGCACCGTAATCATCGTCGTCGTCGTCGCTGTGCCGAGAACGAGGGCAGAGCTCACGGAAAGGCACGAAACCTTCTTCCGGATTGACTTTCTCTTGCACGTCACGCCGTAGAGTCACAAGTGAAGTCTCGAGAGCAACAAACGAAGTCGGCTGATACAAGTATCTTGTGCGACGCTGCTTTGGACTACTTATTGCCTCCTACCTACAACGTTGTGCTGTGCTTCTCGATCGACCGGGGGCTACCGAACGTCTCTTATCTGGCGGGCCTGCATCAGCTGCACGCGTTGTGAAACGTACATCCCAGCAGCGATATCTGCAAACACAACATCATAACACGAACACGGCATATATCATATTTCCCCCTCGTCTACACCGAGAAAGCCAGTTGGGCGTGTGTCGTCGAAGAGTTGCAATAGCATGTCCGAGTCCTCCAAGGCGCGGTCCATACCGTCTGGCAGCTTTCGGGATGCCGATGCCCAGAGCTTCGCCGGCGGCTCACCGTCTCGAGCAACGAGGACAGCGAGGCTGGCTGCCACGCCCATAGTTGGCTCCTCTCCCACTGCTGGCCCCTCGACATCGCACAGCCAAGGCCAGCAGGATGTCCAGTCGAGCGGTGAGCCTCTGGCAGGCGCTTCGGGCAGCTCAGTGCCCGGACCAGGGCCTAGCTCGCTCTCCCAGGCACTGAGAGGCTCCAAGGGCTCGTCACCTTCGACCACGCCACCGCAGCAGATGAGGGAGCCCAGAGGGACGATGAGATATGAAAGCCCCAAGGGCGATGATAGAAGTGGGTCCTACACGCCTGCCAGCTACACAACACAGCTCGGGAGAAGTCCTACGCCAAAGGAGGATCTCGATGTGCTGAAGAGACATCTCGTGGGTCCACAAACGGGCTCGGAGGTGGGATCACCCAGGCAAGGGAACGCTTTCCCCGGAGATTCGAGCTCTGCTGCCCCAGAGGGAGAATTTTCCAGTCTCCAGCTACAGGGTGGTGATACAACACGGCACATCTACCGCTATGCGGAGAAGAAAGAGCGCGAGGAGCAGGAAACTGGTAGACTGCGGAGAAGCATGAGCTACAGCGCACCGAAGACAAACAACAACGACGACGATGATGACGATATCTCCTTCATACAAAAGCCGGGCGGTTTCAGGCGGGACCATATACGTCGACGAGACGAGTCAGCTGCACCAAGTGCCAGTGGTGGACGATCGCAATACGGTACTCTACCTCGTGGTCAACGTGCTACAGATCCCGAGCCTCCACGCCGCCAATTCGTAACCTCAAACTTCATCGAGTTCTTGACGCTCTACGGTCACTTCGCTGGTGAAGAGCTGGAAGAAGATGACGAAGTACTAGACGCGGACGAATACTTCTCCTCGGACTATTTCGAAGATGCTACTACCGAGGGCGATCGGAATGAAGACCGCGATGACTGGGGAGAAGACTCTGCTCTGCTTCCCGAAACACCTGGCAAACGACGTCGAAAACGCAAGGTTCGCGAGCAAGGCAAAGGTACACCTTTTGGCGCTGCCATGTTGCTGCTCAAATCCTTCGTCGGCACAGGTGTCTTATTTTTACCCAGGGCTTACCTAAACGGCGGCTTTGCCTTTTCGAACGTTGTATTGTTTGTTCTGGCAGCTCTGTCTTACTACTGCTTCATCCTGCTGGTGTCGATTCGTCTCAAGGTCCGCGCATCGTTCGGCGACATGGGTGGAAAGATCTTTGGGCCCTACTTCCGGAACCTCATCAACTTCTCCCTTGTGATCAGCCAGATTGGGTTCTCCTCGGCATACATAGTATTCGTGGCTGAGAATCTCCGAGCATTCGTCTTGGCCGTCACGCGTTGCAAAACAGACATCGGGGTAGGCCTCATGATCCTGATGCAGATGTTCATATTCCTGCCCTTGAGCTTGTATCGCAACATCAACCACATCCAGAAGCTAGCCTTGCTTGCGGATGCCTTCATTCTGCTCGGATTGTGCTATGTGTATTACTACGACGTCAAGACCATTGTTGACCAAGGCGGCGTTGGACCTGGTATCAAGCAGTTCAACCCGGAACATTGGACGCTCCTCATTGGAACGGCCATCTTCACATTCGAAGGCGTTGGTCTCGTCATTCCTATCCAGAGTGGGATGGCAGATCCAAGCAAATTCCCCAAGGTCATGGGCACAGTCATGCTCATTGTCACAGTCGTCTTCATATCGGCTGGCGCCCTCTCTTACGTCGCATACGGCGAGAACACCAAGACCGTCATACTCCTCAATATGCCTCAGACCAGCAAGATGGTCAATGCCGTACAGTTCGTGTATAGTCTGGCAATCCTGCTCAGTACTCCCCTACAAATATATCCGGCCATCGAAATCACAAGCCAGCAACTCTTTTCGAGAACCGGAAAGTACAATCCATGGATCAAATGGAAGAAGAACATCTTCCGCTTTTTCATGGTCGCTCTGTGTGCTCTTATCGCTTGGGCGGGAGCGGGAGATTTGGATAAGTTTGTTTCGCTTGTTGGAAGCTTCGCGTGCATTCCGCTTGTCTACATTTATCCGGTAAGTACAAGCCCTCTCAGGGAGAGAGAGAGAGAGCATGCTAACAAGACTTACTAGCCACTAATGCACTACCGAGCCGTTGCGACGAAGAGTTGGCATCGAATTGCCGATGTCTTGTTGGTGATCTTTGGTGTCGCCATGATGAGTTACACGACTGCTCTGACAATCATTGCATGGGCGAGTGGAGAAAACGAGTCGGCCCCGGGATACTGTGATCCTGTAAACAAGGCCGACGCTTTCTTCCTGCCAAGGTTTTGATGCAATTACTTGAGGGATAGAAGTTGAAAGAAATGGAAAGTGAAAGCCAATCGTCATTGGCGGCACAATTGCATCGGATAGGTCGTGCTATTTGAGAATCTAGCGATGGCGCTGCAAGGAGATGCATGCGTGTGAAAGTTGTGTAAGCATCATACATATAGAAAAGCTACCTAGATATCAGATAGCGACGATCGAAATGCAATGCATTAACTGCGCAGTCGCCTTTCCGGAGACAACAACCGCGCAAGAGGCATGCGATCGAGAGAGCTATGGGGCACGCCCTGCAATGTCACCGCTACTTGATGGTAGTATTCAGTTGGAGAGTTGCTTCAAGATGCGCCACCAACTCTAGGATACGGTATGTTGGCACTTGCGACTCTGTCAATGACCTTGGCGACGTTCCCATCAAACCCGTCAACCCATCATCCGACCCTTTCGACGTCGCTTAATGGGCAAGTCGATAGCCTTCGCTTTGACAGCCCAATCCGGCGCGAGGTGCCCAAAGAGAATGGACTGCCGGAAACGGTGTTCTTGATGCACTCTTTGTTTTTTCGCTAGGCTTCATCTACGATTTATACCTGGCGCGAGCCTGCGATCCGACCATGACACATTCCAGCACAGCAGTTGCGCACCATAGAGCTACACGGCCTCAGACGACGTGACCAATGGCAGAATCCCTACAAGCGCCCCAGTGTGGCGTCTGCCTTGATGAAATAGATGCGGTGGACCGTATTTACATCGGCCGGGACAACGATAATATCTGCACCGATTGCTTCAATCAGACAATTGTTCCCAAATTCCGTAACGCCCTCGAAACCGAATCCCAGTACGACAATGCGAGGTGGAGCGACGGGGATGAGCATCTCAAAGCTCGCGACTTTATCAATTTCCTTGGCGAAGAGTTCGTGAAGAAGTACGAACAGAAGGAGAAAGAATATAGGGTCAGAGTCTCCGATCGAGTTTATTGCCGTCGGACGCTGGAGAACGAAGATCCCACGAAAGTTCGCGAGTGCGGCACATTCGTGGGCAGCAAAACAGAACTAGCCGAGCTGTCTGAAGTTGTTTGTCCTGAGTGTCATGGGGTTGTTGTTAATGAAGGCGGTGATGAAGGCGAAGAAGAGGACCCGTTCGCGGGTCTGGAGCGAGGCAAGGATTACCAGAGGTGTCCAGATTGTGATTGGGGAGCGATTTTACATTCCGGCTGCAACTATATGCGGTGCCGCGGTTCAGGTTGCAACGGTGGCTTTTGCATGCTCTGTGGTGGGAAGACCAACCATAGTGACCGCCAGCATTGGCAACGGGGTAACCCGACAGGATGTACCCTATTCGGGCCTGCTGAGAAGGGACTTTATGCTGACCCAGTTGATGAGGAAAACAAGACTGAGTATGCAGTCCTTGAATTGGCAATTCTGAAGCGGACCTTGCTAAAAGTTCTGAGTCGTGAAGATGCCACTCTTCCAACTCCAGGATGGTTTACCGATCCTTCGCTCACGGACGAATGGGTGATACTGTGCGGATACTCAACTGGTCCTGCATTCCCTGGTTACACAACAGCTAGAATCCTGGATGCCGTGCCAAAAGAGGGTTATGAGCCATCATTAGCAGGCTACGATGCGACTTGGGGGTTCAGATATTACTTTGAAACTCACCCGAGGCGTTTCAGCAATGTGCTCGTCGAGTATGCTGCCCATGAGGACTTTAATCGCGTCCAGCAAGACGAAGCAGAGAATCTTGTTCCCGTCGACAGAGCGCACACAATTCAAAAGCTTCTGTTGGCCAGGAAGCGAGATACGACTTGGACAAATCCTTATCACTCCGCTCCTTTTTCGGAATTCTTAGGAGCAATCCAGACGGTGCTTAGAACTGGGGGTAACACTTCGTTGCAGGCCGCTGAACATTCCTGGACAGCACAGCTTCCTCCCAGTGGGAAAGTAATATACCGCCATCGGGACGATCCCAAGACATTTAAGAAAGGCCACCGAGCGATTCTGCAGACTCTATGGGTTCAGCCAAAGAATCAAAGACATGACAACCTGATTGAAAAATTTGAGAAGTGGCTGTCAGATTCCAGCTTCTTCGATGCATGCGTCCTGGAGTATCTGAGGCAGAGCGACCTGAAGGAGCCCGAGGCTAATTGGGAGAAGGCCTTGCAGTATTCTCGGTGAGTCTTCCGTCTTACTACCCCCACTTCACACTGGACATGATGCCAGCATGTATATCTATCTCGTCGGACTTGAGTCGCATGCTAAATAAATTTTTCTTGTCAACAGCTTCACCGCTGATATGTTTCGCTGCGCCATGCAGAAGCAACACAAGTATGTACTGGATTCCATCGAGAAGCAACAGGGGAGTGGACATGAGATGAGCAACTTTGATAAAATTATCCAGCCGCTTGTGTTTCTTCCTCCCGTATGGCTGACAGAACTGCCCGACAACATCGACCTCGTCTTCGAGCACCTTCAGCACGGCTGCAAGCGTGAGGTCTACGCCAACAGCCGCCTCGTCGGTGTCGTCGGCCCACCAGAGGACATTCAGGCCCACCAACACGTCCTCCGCGGCCTCGTGAGACTCGTGTCTAGCGACCTGTCCTTCCGACTCCAAGAAAATTTTCTCAGACAGCTTGTCCGCTTGTACATCGAACCAGCTGGCAAATGCTTCTTTGTGGGCTTGGAAATGCCCTCCCATCCTTCCCTCGAAAACTTCATACCCAGCCCAAAATTCATCCAGCTGGGCGTCGCAGGCAGAATCATCAACGGCTTCCCACATCGAGAACAATATGCGCAACTTCAGAAATCTCTCACGATGCTCTCAAACCAAAACAAAGAAAATGACGCGACAACGGCTGAAGCGCAGGAAGCAAACCAAACTCTAAACGAATCATACTCTGCACAGGGCTTCGATACGAAACCCATGGAGGATCTTTTGGAAATGGAGGTGGTGCGCAAGCTGGATTTGGAACAGAGGATTACTCATTTCAGACAAGAGCTGGAGGTCGCTCGCCACCAGTCGATAATCAATTTGAAAATTCATAATGACCTGCTCGAGAATATTGTTGAATGCGAAAAATCGGAGAAGCGGTTTTCGATGGGTCTTAGTCTTGAATCGGACGAGGATGACGACGACGATGACGACGACGACGACGACGACGACGACGATGAGAATATGGACGACGACGACGACGACGAGAATATGGACGACGACGACGACGACGAGAATATGGACGACGACGACGACGACGACAATATGGACGACGACATTGGGGATAATCCAATGGAAGAGTAAGGCTGAATTGTTGTCTCTCGCTGGGAAAAAAAGGGGGACCAGGTCAATGTCATTTATTTTTTTCATTTTTAGGCATCTTATTTCTGTCTCGGGATTCGCTTTTTTGCTTCTACGCATCTTTTGAATACCTAGGTGCGCGATGCGGCAGAATCTTATATCATCTACATGACCCTCTTTCACTTCCTTCCTGGAAGATCATTCATGACGATGAGGAGAAGAGCAGTGTGCTGCTGCTGCTGCTGCTGCTTTACCTAGTCCTGCACACTCTTACCCGCAGCATCTCCATCCTTTGCACTCTGCTCCTGCGTCTTCGTGACAAGAAGTGTGACGCCCCTCTTCTCAAACTGCGCTTTGACGTTTTGATAGACCTGTTCCGGCGCAGGCGTCGCGTCCACCTTGACCACCTTGCCCTCCTTTTCAAAGTGCTCCACTACAGGCATACTCGTCTCCACAAACGTCCGGAATCTCTTCTTGATCGACTCTTCATTGTCATCGGCCCGGCCACTCGTCTCTCCGCGATGCAGGAGTCGCTTCCTCATCGTCTCCTCGGGGCAATCGAAAAAGAGCGTAAAAGCAGAAGGTACCACAATCTCCTGAAACTTGATCGCCTGGTCCATCTTCCTGGGGAAACCATCGATCAAAAACTTCCTATTCCCGCTCTCGTCAATCGTCTGCTTGATCGCGTTCTCGAGCAGTTGAATCGTCACTTCTTGGGGCACAATTTGTCCTTCTTTGATATATGTCTTGATCATGTCTCCAAAGTCAGAGCCAGGGCGATCCTGCTCTGCTCGCAGCAGATCGCCCGCGGAGAGGTGTTTGAAGCCAAAATCACGAACGAGGTTCGCGCATTGCGTTCCTTTGCCTGCTCCCGGCCCGCCCAGAACAAAAACTACCAGGGCTTCATCGGCGCGGGAGGGGCTGATGGAGGATCGATAGAGGGGTGAAGTGCGCTTGAAGGACTCGAGCTGGTCAATGGCAGGCATGTTTGCTTGCTGCTGTTGTTTACTGTCCCTTCTGGGCTCGGGACGGATGTGGCCACTGGTCTTTGCTGGGCGGAGCTCTGTCGGGCAATTCGTAGGTGTTTGCGGGAGTTTGACCGGCGCGCTGGTGGAGGAGGAGGTTGAAGGCGACGGTGCCCAAGGCGAAGATGGCTAGGAGCGAGTACACGGGCAGTTGATTGCGGCGAGTCTTTTTGGGCGGAGCGGCTCGCGGGGCGATGGGCGCTGGTGGCGGCGTGGATCGGGCGTCTTCGAGGCTGCGGGGGTGGCAGGTGAATGGACGACGAGGATGTAGCGGAAGACGAGCAGTGCGGAGCGGGAGGCGTAGGAGTGGTCGTGGGGACAATAATGGGAATGAGGATGGGGATGGCATGGTTGAGAGTCGAGAGCATGTCTTCCTGAGGTGTCATTCCTATTTGCCTAGCCTACCTCCTAGCCCAGCTTCTACTAGTTCTTCTGGCTGTAGTTATTCCATCACGTGCTTCTACCGCCAAACCTCCGCCTCTCGCTATCCAGTATCAAGCGTGACACGACACAAAGTTGGAATTGCGACAAGCCTCTGTTCAGAATGTGGGCCTTCGTGTCAGGGAGCGGCAAAAGATGCACGCGGAAAAGACAATCTCTATGATGGATCCAGGCGAACACGCCACTTCCGACGCGCCGCGAGGAATATGCTATACAGGCCTCGACGCAGACCTGAATGTTCCTCAGCCTTCCAAGCTACAGAGACACCTTTTGCTCTTGCTCATACGTCTCGTTGGGCACTTCCGAGGCCGCACCGGTAGTGTGCTGATGCTAAGCAAACATCTCTGCATCAAATATGGACAACGTACCAATCTTGTCGAGGCGCAAACTATGCTTTTCGTCGCCCGAAACACAACATTACCTGTTCCGAAAGTACATTGTGCTTTTGTCCACAAAGGATGCACCTACATTCTCATGGAGAGGATACACGGCCAACCATTAGGGAAATCTTGGGTGCAGAGATCTCCTGCGTCAAAACTTATGATACTCGAATGCCTGAAAAAATTGGTCTCTCAAATGCGCTGTTTACACACGGACAACAATCGTATAAGAAGCGTAACTGGTGGTTCTCTTTACGACCCCAGAATGCCTACTACAGCTGGACGATTTGGCCCATTCGAGAATGTTCAGCAGTTTCACTGTCATCTTCGACATGGCATACAAGCTCACAGCAACCATGATGCAGACGTCACAAAACTTATCATCTTACACAGTAGGGACTGGAACGCTCCAACTTTTACTCATGGCGATTTGAGCAGCCTTAATATTCTCGTGCGTGGAGATGACGTTGTTGGTATAATTGACTGGGAGACGGCAGGCTGGTACCCGTCATATTGGGAATATACTACCGCATGCCAGGTGAATCCACAAAATTCGTTCTGGAGGGATGAGATTGACAAATTCTTAGTGGCAATGCCGGAAGCACTTGCGATGGAACACCTCCGACAGAAATATTTTGGTGATTTCTGATTGTCATAAGTCGGCACTTGCGAGGTGTCGAATTTTCCTTTTCCATCAAACCGATGTTGATCCTTCTTCTTCTGGCAATATGATAAAGCTGCGTAGGCTGCCTCTCGAACAGACTCCCAATCAAGCACACAAGTACCTATGACGTCTTTCGACCTTTCAAGGTTGTCGAGTGCCTCTTTAACCTACAATACACAATTCCAACCCTCCTCTCCCTGCCTGATAGGGATCTGTCGTATACTTATTAGCTTAGAATTTTCTTAATAATAGAAATAATTCTAGAATTATTCTAAGAATCGGTTTCTAAATCGATTACTTACTGTTAGCTTAGAATTTTCTTAATTCTTTAAAATAATTCTAGAATTGTATAGCGAATCAATTACTTATAATTAGTTATAAGGCTATTAGGGGTTTTTATATATAGCGGGAGTATAAATTTTATATAGCGGGAGGCATTTTAGGGTTAACCCTAAAGTCTAGGCCTTAGGTATACTTCTTAGCTATATACGCTAATAGTACTTCCTCTATAAAGTTAATAGAGCTAGCGCGCGGATTTAGGCTACTACTAGAGCAATAGACGCGACGACGCGACGACGCGACAATACGACGATATTATAAGATATATACGAGATTAGCTAATAGAGAGATAGAGAGATACTATCGATTAATCGATTATAGTAGATAATATAGCTAAAGATAATAGCAATCGCGTTTTAGGCTTAGAACTAGACGTAACGATACGACGACGTAACGACGTAACGATATAACGATATAATAATATAACGATATAACAATATAACAATATAACAATATAACGATATATATATAAGATTAGCTAATAGAGAGACAGAGAAATACTATCGATTATAGTAGGTAATATAGCTAAAGATAGTAGCAATCGCGTTTTTGGCTTAGAACTAATTTAGCTACCTCTAATAGACTATAAGTGCCTAAGGGTATTAGGGTTAACCCTAAGAGGCCTCCTACTATATAAAAAAAGCCTTCCGCTATATATAAAAACCCGCTATTAGTTAATATTAATTTCACAGATATTTAAATTAATTATTAAATCAATTCTAGCTAAGTGTACCATTAGTCACGTGTAAAACTAGCGTAAAGTCAAAGTATAGTGCAGCGAGGGTAACTTGGCGAAGTAGAACGTGCCCCTCGCACCTGAACCCGTAAACACCAGTACCTGACTTTGGGTACTGCTCGTTTGCTCGGGAAGAGGGTCCATATCCCCGCTCCATTCACGGACTATACCAAGACGACGACGTTGTATATGCCCCTATAATGCCACTCTTCGCCTACGGGTGCATGCAGTAGTGCAGACACGACAACAACCACATTGGCAGGCATGCGAGCTAATCAGGATCTGCTGTCCACCGACTCTGATTTTACGTAGCTACACGAACTAGGCATGTATCTCGACATCCGCGGACCATACTCGAGTGTCCATATCCGCACGATGAGCTGGCGAACATATAACCACTCTCAGCGATACGAAGGTATTTCTCCCTCTGCGCCTTTTACGAGGCCAACAGAACATCAACCATGGCATTGACCGTGTCCCTTGCCATTACGGCCGGCGTGGCCTACATCTTCTACCAAATTTACCTCCTCTACACCGACCCTCTCCAAGACATCCCGGGTCCGCCTCTGGCTCGCATCACCTCTTTGCAAACCTTTTACCGCTTCTACAGCAACAACTGGCACGAAGACGTTCGACACCTTCACCAGAGATACGGCCCCATTGTGCGGATCGCCCCTGGACACTATAGCTTCGCTACGGTGGACGCCATCAAGCCCATCCACGGCTGGAATGGAGGCTTCGACAAGTCAGACTTTTACGAGCCCTGGAGCCCGCCGGGCACGACCAGTCTGTTCAAGGAACGATCCAACAAGTTTCATGGAGACTTACGCAAGAGGTTCAGTGCCATGTACAGCATGACTTCAGTCTTTGCGTATGAGTCCGGAGTGGCGGAATGTGCGAGCCTCCTCATGCAGAGACTGGAGAAAAGTGCCGGGGAGGTGGTCGATCTGTCATGGGAGATCACCTGTATGGCATTCGACTCCATCGGCGTCGTGACCTATGGTAAACGCTTCGGCTTCCTCGATCATGGCGAAGACGTCGGCAAGCTGTCCCAGTCCGTCTACGCCGCGTTCACCTATGGAGGACTCATGGGCTTTTATCCATACTTCCACGCGCCCTTCATTGCCGTGAAACGCTTCATCGCAAAACAAACCAAATCCAAAGGAAGCGGCAAAATGTACCTCGACAACTTCACCTCGGAAACCACCTTCAAACGACGACAAGACCGCGCTTCTTCCGATTCCGACGACAACAACACTCTAGCCCAACAACCCACAGACCCCAACTCCCCCACCAGCATCCTCGACAAATTCCTCGACGTCAACGAACGCAACCCGACCTACTTCACCGACGCCCACATCACCATGGGTCTCGGCGCCAACGTCACCGCGGGCTCCGACACAACCAGCACCACTCTCACCTGGGCCTACTACAACCTGACCCGCAACCCATCCACTCTCGCCCGCCTCCGCGCAGAACTCGCCTCGACAGGCGTCCCCGCTTCCAAACTCTCCTTCCGCACCGCCCAATCTCTCCCCTATCTCAACGCCGTCATCGACGAAACTCTCCGCCTCTTCCCTCAAACCGGCTTCGGTCTCCCTCGCGTCGTACCCCTCGGCGGAGCCACCATTTGCGGCTATCATTTCCCCGCCGGAGCGACCGTCAGTATGAATGCATGGGCGATGCATTACGACGCAGCGAATTTTCCTGACCCGGAGAAATTTCAACCTGAAAGATGGTTATTTAATGTTAGTGCTGACGAAGACGAAGAACAAGTCAAAACTCGCAAAGAAAGAATGCAAGCGGCGTATTTTCCATTTGGATTAGGTTCGAGGACGTGTATTGGGAAGAATATTGCTAGTTTGGTGATTTTGAAGGCGTTGCCGCAGTTGGTGGAGAAATTCGATGTGGAGCTTGTGGGGGAGTATGGGAAGAGTCATGATGATGATGGGAGGAAGAAAGATTTGCCGGTGCAGAATATCTTTTTGGTGAGGGCGACGGAGTTTCCTGCTGTGGTCAAGGTGAGAGAGGAGGGTGGTGGTGGTGATGGTGGTGCGGCTTAAGGGAGTGGAGGAGAGACTGTGTGAGTGGGGCGAGAGAGAGAGGTGGAAGAGAGAGAGGAGAAGAGAAGAATGGAAGAAAATGTGACAGCGTTCTGCCTTATCGAGTCCTTTACATGTTTTCCTCTTTCTTAGTTCTTTCTTAGTTAGCAATCTGGCTTTATTAACGACAGTTATGATGAATGAACGAATGATTAGCCTGCAATCCACATTCATTTTAACCCCCTCCACAGCCTCAACTCTCAGTCTATCTCTCAAGCAGAAAACTCCATTGCGCGCTTCTTCTGACCAAATCGACTTTCCCAATCTCTCAGTGCCGCCTCGCTTTCAGGAGTGAGAGATCCATCTGGGTTTGCCGCGACCATGAAAGCATCCCGGGTTGTCAGCTGTGCCTTTCCTTGGTTTCGGAGCTCCCAGTCGAGGAGAGCGGCGATACTCTCGTCATCGAGGGTTCCATCTGGGTTTGCCGCGACCGTGAAAGCATCCCGGGTTGTCAGCTGTGCTTTTCCTTGGTTTCGGAGCTCCCAGTCGAGGAGAGCGGCGATACTCTCGTCATCGAGGGTTCCATCTTCGTTCGCAGCCACCATAAATGGGTCCCGTCGTCCCAGCGTGGCGCCTCCTTGGTTTCGGAGCTCCCAGTCAAGGAGAGCGGCTGTACTCTTCTCATCGAGAGTTCCATCTGGGTTTGCGAGGACCATGAATGGGTCTCGGCGTCCCAGAGTGGCGCCTCCTTGGTTTCGGAGCTCCCAGTCGAGGAGAGCGGCCGTACTCTTCTCATCGAGAGTTCCATCTGGGTTTGCGAGGACCATGAATGGGTCTCGGCGTCCCAGCGTGGCGCCTCCTTGATTGCGGAGCTCCCAGTCGAGGAGAGCGGCCGTACTCTTCTCATCGAGAGTTCCGTCTGGGTTTGCGAGGACCATGAAAGGTTCTGCGTTGCGTTTGGCGGCTGAAGCTTCACTGGCAACTGCGTTGGTGGCACATAGCGCCAAGAGGGAGGCGATGGTGCAGGCCTTCATCGTCACGTGATTTCTGAAGAGTGTTTGATGCGATGTGGAGTTGAGAATGTCTTTTGCGCGTTGTTGATGATGTTTCTCCGACCTGGCCTGTGGTCGACGCGAGGATTCTTATCATGGTCTCGCAACTTGCCATCGTGCTTGTGATTCAGATTCGGGCGATTCAGCCTCGAAGTGCCATGCCAAGAGTTGAGGACTATTTCGAAATTGCCGAATGAAGCCCTTTCGTCGGTCAATTCATTGCCCGCAATGGGCGTATCCGAGCCTCCCCAGGGTACTATTTGCACTGTTCGCAGGTGAGAGAACGCCGCAGAGCTCTACCAGAGTACATTTGTAAGAGCCGGCGCTGCGGAGAAAGAAGAAGCTGCTATCGCCACATCGATGTCGCTCGTGACTCTAACTAGATCTCTACCCGGGAGCGTCAGTCAACAGCGCACGATGCTCGTGATCTGAAAAATGTATAGCGAGTTGAGATCATGCCATCGCAGCAAGTCCTTGTCCGGGGTATTCTTCAGCCTAGCAGAGTCGAGATATTGCAGCTCTCGACGATAGAGGACGGCTTGTAGGTAAGAGGAATCTGCAGCAGCACAGAGATCATGCTACACTCTCGGTTTTCTCACAGCCAATCACCTTGTGCCCATACTGTGGCTTCTCGGGGGCATACACGCAGCCTATGTGTCATCGTTAGCATCGTTAGCATCAGCCTGCATTTCCGGCCCTCCGAAGACAAGACGTCCAAAGAATGGTATTGCAACGAGCATCCAAGGTCCTGGTGAAGCCTCTGGAACAGGGCTACACTGATGAGTTTGTGAGACACATGACTGTTACAGGCGTAGTGACTGATGGATGATGACTCTGGAGGGATGAGACGGAAAGGGAACAGGAAGTGGAGGAAGGATACATACTCGGACGCAGATGCCGTGAGTTACCGAAGAACATGCCTACCTCTTTTAGATTAGCCGAAGTGGCCCTATTCTATGCGTCTTCAACTCCTATATACTACCTACTTCCAGAGAATACAACATTCATTCATAGAGATAATAACTCGTCTTCTCCAAGAACTCCGGGCGCTACCATGTATACTGAGGAACTCTGGGGTATCATCAGAGGAAGCGTCGTCGGCAGCCTCTTTGGCATTTACCTACTGTATGTAAAGATTACTATCACTACATACCACTGCTTCTGCCACCACCACCACCAAGAGTGAACAAAGGGTACTGCATCGGTCATCTCATCCCATTACTTCATACTCATCTAATCATAATCAAAAACAGAAACGCCATTCCGCTATGCACACAGATACACACACGGAGAGAGTCAGAGAGACAAGAACGCTCCACTATGCTTAGTTGCTTGCAATGCTCGCCAACCGTACCACTATTTCATCGCACCACCACCACCAAAGTATGTACGTGAGATTTCATCAAGGCGTGAGGACACCGATCTCTTCACCCCCGGTGGCTTCACCACTTTCACCGGCGACGTCGAGATGGAGTCCGCTGATTGTCAGTATTTCGACCGGCGACCACTACTCCTCGAAGCCGTCTTCTCCCTTCTCGTGCGTTCTTGCTGTTCTTCAAATACGCTCTCGTCTTCTTCGGGCACCATCTCGGGCGCTGGAGTTCGCTTGCGATCGCGATGCCGACGCATGCGGTTATTGCTGATCTGTGAAGCGCTATCATCCGGTGCCAGACTTTCCATGTCGTCTGGCATACCATCGTCTTCTCCTTCTTCGATATCGGTAATGCCACTCGCTGGTGTGTCCAAGCGCACACCGACTGGATCGAAGCCGCTGCCACGACGAGCTTGTGCTTGCGCTGAAAGGCCCGCAGAGCGCTCTCGCAGCATCTGTCGCACAAGCTCAGCACGACCATGCAGAATTTCAAACGCATCTTCCAGACGTTCCATGTCCATGAACAGATTGCGCTCGAGCTCGGCCGCTACTGCAATCTCTGTGTCTTCGTCCAGTTGCACTGGCGCGGGTGGTGCCACACCCATGCCGGGTCCTGGCGTTGGGCCGCGCGTGGGGAACATGGATGGGACTTGTTCGCCGCCCACCTCAAATGGCGTTGTGCCACGTGATGGAACAGCACTGAACCCGCTAAAAGGCGTGCCGTTCCGCGAGAAAGGCGTGTGGTTTTGGCCGCGTGAAGGACCGCGTGAAGCTGCTGACGCGGCATATGCAGATGCAGAGGGAGGGAAGCCCGACTCCGCCCCAGACCATAGGAAGCCATCGAACCTGCCTGACGTGAGTATGTCCCACTCTGCTTCATTAACCTCTGCAAGCGTGGCCAGCATGCTGTGCAGAGGTGGGTTATTCAACAGATACATGGCAGCCTCGCAGTCACGCGGTGGCCTTTCGAGCCTGTAGAGCCTTTGCAAGGCAGTTCGAGCTCTGCGTAACGCGGTAGACGCGGTAGCTGGCCGTTCGGCGGGCGTGGGGGCTCTCGACGCTGGCACAGTGCTTTGGCCGTGCATGAGAGCGATGAATAGATTCCGTTGACGGTTGCTGAGCTTCGTCATCATGGCGAACATGAGCGTATCTTCATCTGCTTCCTCTGGTGGGCTGCTTGGAAACTCTGGTTGTTGTGAGAGCCAGCTTTGCACTGCTCGCTTCGTCTTCTGGTTTTGTCGGATATAGTGATCCTTGTATTCTTCTGGGACGTCAATGTCCAGTTTTTGCATAGGCGCCAGAGTTGCTCCGGATATTCCCAGCCCACTGTCGTCTGGCTCGATCGAGAACGGTGGCCACGGTGGCAGCTCACGACGACCTGCTACGAATTCTAGAATCTCTCCCCAGCTTATACCCGTGTCCTCTTCATCAGAGAGACTGGGTTGTGGAGTGACCTTGCAAACCACGCAGTCGCAACGCTGCGAAGAGATGTCTCGAGCGAAGACTTGCGACAACTTGTCAAGCAACCTTCTCGCGACAGACTTGTAACCAGTAGCCACAGCCACAGAGCCATTCCCTTGTAAAACGTGGAGATAATCGTCCAGCCTCTTATGTATGGAACCAAACACTTTTGCGTACTCCTCCATGGGTGCGGTTTGCCCAAGAGCGGGAGATTGATACACGCTGAATGGCTGTACGGTCGGACCAGTCTGCACTAGCCGCCGAGGAACTGGTACAGGCAGGCCACCATTCTTGAGCAGATAGTCTACGCGCGGAGCCTCCCTCGGACCTGTCACTGGAGGAGGCGGAGGTGGTGGAGGCATTTGTCTGGCTGTCAATGGCGTGGGAAGTGATCTGCCGTGACTGTTCCCCGTTCCTACGTCGATGATTGGTGTTGCTCGCACGTTTGGAGGTAAAGAGTACTCTTGAATAGGCGTCCTTGGCTGCGAATCTGTCACAGACGGAGGAGAATACTCCTCTGTATTCACCACGTTGACTGGCCGCCTGCTCTGTCTGCTTGGTTTCCTGTCGGGAGCGATTGATGTCGCATCGGAATCGGTAGTCCCTTCAGTCAATATTGACGGATCACGCGAAGCCGTAGATTCTGTCCTACGGTAGTTGCTGACTGGCGTCGACTTGCGCTCATCGTCCGTATAGGTTCCTGGCATACTTGAAATCTCAGAGTCAAAGCGATGCTCTTTCCGTAGACTGCCACCCGACTTTGCACTCTTGACCCCATTCACGCCGCGTTTGGATGAACGATGCCCACCATCCGCGCTCTTTCTCGGGCTGTCCATGTTCAGCCTGACATCCTCCACGCTTGACCTCTTACTTCTGCTGCTGTCAGGTCTTCTAGGCTCCGGGTCGTCTGCAGTCAGCGGTGGACTGGGCGGTGCTCGTGTTGGTTGCGCAGACATGGGCCTCCTCCGCTTGTCCTCCTCCTTGCCCAGATCTGTAGCATCCGGCGTGACCGGATCTGCTTTGGGCTTGCCAACATCCTCCCTACTGCCCACCGCTTCCCGACTATGGGCCTTGCTGAAGGTGGGATATGAGGGGTGAGCCTCGCCGCTGCTCGACCGACGATCCAGCTCCGGCACCGTCATGGACACCGCCTTCTTCGCCGCTGTTGGGGTCTGATCGAGCGGAGTCTGGTCGCGTGCTCGTTCGCGGCTGGCAGCAGGCTTCCGCTTGGCAGAAGAAGAAGAGAGCTTGGTGGAGGAAGAGGACTTATGCGATGATCGAGTCGACCTCTCCTTGTCCCGCTCGTCGTGGTGCTTTCGTCGGCGCCGCTTGTCGCCGTCGAGAGAGGAAGGCATGCCGTTGTCCGGCAGTGAGGGTGGGCATATGGGTTTGTGGTTGTCGAGGGCGGGATCTTGGGCGTCAGGCCATCTCAACTCGGGCATGACAGCGAGCTTTCCATTCGCGAGCGTGAGCGAGCGCGCTTATTCGAGGCGGAGAGGTGATGAAGCGCAGCAGCCAATGGGAGTAATTCGCCGACGTTCTCGCTGATGCGGGCAACGATGGGTCTGATGCAGCAATGCGGTGTACAAGCAGCCAGCGCAGAGCGTCGGCCTACTAGTTCAACAAGGTCGTCGATATACTGCAATTAATCAATATTCCTGGAGCGACGCGCCGAGCAAGTGGGTTTCTTTCACTGCAAAGCAACGCGCGCGTAGGAGGCTTCGCTTTTGATGACGCTCATTCAATTGTTGTTTAGACTGCCGCTGGACCCAACCCAGCCCAGCCACGTTCTCTCACTCTCACTTACCTGCCTCTCGTCAGCCGCCCACGACATCACACGAGCACACGCCCACGCGACGCGACTCATGTCCATGTTTGGGGAGGAGAAGAAGGAAGTAAACAATCAGCTGTAAACAGTAACCAGGCAGGGAGACGGCAGCTTCATGTGAGCCCAATTTAATGGCCGTGCGTGCGATAGGTACCTCCTAGAACTATCGTAGCGTCCGATGGGCTCGCCGATGGTTCGTTCAGACGGTTCAGTAACGGCTGGTCTGTACCAATAACTTTATCCACCAACAACAATATCTCCTACTCTTACCTCCTACCCACAAGAAGCGCTCCAGACTGATGAGTGCTCCAATTTCCATTCCGCAGGAGGAAGGGTTGTAACAGCTCAGTTACACCTTCGGATACAATAGCCGCCGGATGTCATCTTCTAGGTACATACAGGTACTCCACCTCAATTGAGCACAGATCCCGCTTCATTTCCTCAAAGGACACACATCTGTCATTGTCGAAGAACTCCTTCGCGTTGCCACTACCTACACATCATCTGCCAATTGCATCCGGTAACCCTCCGACAACTCAGTATATCCCAGCACTAAAGTCCGAGGTAAGCCAAGGATTGTTGCAGGGTCAGACTGACTGGTCGGGTTGACAAGTCTATTGATGCTCAGGTGAATTGTCTGCGTCGTTGTCGTCGTCGTCGTGACAACTTTGTTGTAGCATTCAATTCGTGGAAAGATTTTTTTTTTGCAATAATTCCATTCATTCGTACCTGTACCTTAAAATGTGTGCATGTTGTGCGCCCCAAACGCCACGCTAAGCCATGATAAACAAGAGGTACCTTAGGTAAGAACACACCCGATGTCACGATGGTGTGCGCACCATACATTCCAACACTCACTTCATAGAACGTCTCACTCCTCCTCAAAAGCCTCAAATTTGATAATCTCCACCTTCAAATCCTCCAAATCCAATAGTACAACCTCTCCCGTCTTCGAAAAACTCGGAACAGTCACCATTCTCACCTTCTGACCCTGCGGTCCCTCAATGACACTCGTCTCGAATCGCGGCTGATTCCCCACAAAGTACACGTGAGGACATTCTTTCATCACAAATCGATCGCCGTCTTGGAAAGGATAGCAGGGTAATGTATCTGGTGCAGTGGGAGCAGATAACCTCCATCGCAACATCGACTCCATCATCTCCAATCTGTCCTCTCCGTCGAGGTACTTGTACACGTCATCGAGTGTCTGACCTCCGCCGCCTAAGAAGCGGAAACCGTCCAGGTCGAACTCTGCAGGATTAGTGACTGAGTCGAACCAGCCGGCTGTGGAATCTTGGGCTTGGGGCATGTAAGGTCTGCAATGTGGGAACATGGCTGCGTGGATAGGTTGTTGTGGAAGACTTGTCGAGGTTGGATCTGTTGCACCTGGGAGGAGGGTGATGGGTATCGAAGGGAGGAGAGATGCCAGATAGGAGTCCAAGCGATCTGTAGGCGCAGCGTTGTATGCTGAAGCATCGTAGCCATATGTGCGTTTCCCAGTCTTCTTTGCTGCAATGACATCCTCGCGGGAAGGGATAGGTTGGCCATGTGCGAGGGAATTGCCTGCTATGACGAGGCGGGAGATTTGACTTGCTTGTTCTTGATCAGAAGGCGATGTTGCTTCGCCTAAGAGATACTCGGCAAGCAGATCGAGAAGCAGAGTATCGCCTGCATCACCACTGATCGAGAGACCAGACACAATAGCCACTTTGCCAGCCTTCTCACGCTTCTGAGTGACTTTCTTGCCCTGTAATGCTGCATCGCCCTCGTCTCGTTCCCATCGTGCTGGCTGTCGAGGCAAATCGGGCACTTGGACATCAATGACCTCAAAATCACCATCTGAGTTTTCTGTCCCCAGCACAGCGACGATAGCGCCCGTCACGAGCACCACACTTCCCAGAAAGCCACCTGTTAATCGCAGTCGTCCAGACTCATCCTCTAGCATGACCTGTCCCTCACCGCCATTGTACTTCTCTCGCGCTGGCGGAGCAGCGATCCAATGCTCTTTCCCAATGTCATCCAGCACATTCGGCTTCAGTGGCATCTCCATATATATCGTGCCCACGACCCAGCATAGATTGCCCTGCCGCACGTCCAGCACTCGGTCCACTCTCTTGGCCTGTTCGCCGCCAATTTCGTAGTCTTGAAAAGCTTCAGTGGCGAGACGGACGAGGGATGGCTTGAGCTGAGCCAGCCTCGCAAAGTACATGTCGGCATATTGCTGCTGATAATGTCTCCCTTCGCCGCGGGGCAGCGTGTATGTCGCGAGCGGGTTGTAGACACATGGCGTGCGTGTGAGTGACTCGTAGGGAGTATCGGTGGGCTTTTGAAGCAGCGCAGAGTCGCTGATATCGTTTGTGACGGCCATTGGTGCTGATGTGAAGAGAGACACGCGCGTCAAAAGGTTGGACGACGCGAAGTGGTGTTCTTCACGCGAATAAAGTTGGCGCTAGTTCTGCTTACTTAGGTACCTTAAGGCTTAAGGTACCCTATGGACTGAGACGATTTCATATTGCTCCTTTACGGAGACTACCCCAGAACTGGTGGTGGTAGCTGCAGGGCATAAGAGGAGAGAGAATAATTCAGATCTACAGGTAGTTTCCAGTCTATCAGTCTATGTGCAAAAAGATACTCCCGACCCTGCTGGAAACTCATTTATTCCCTGTCACCCCAGAAAGGCTGATGTCGTATACACTTATACAGTGGGAAGAACACAAGGCCTACTTCCTCAACGCGTTCAATTTCCCCCGTTAATTTCCTCTCCAAAACAATCGATCAGGCGCTCCTGCGCTGCTCTGAGTTCTTGATGTCAGGTACTGTGCCGCTTGTCACCTGTGGCGCGCTTACAGCCATGTCCGCCATAACGCTGCTATGAGGGTCCATCGCAAAGACCCTGCTCGAGGAGATGCAATATCGCCTGGTCTCTTGAAAATTTCTTTGCATTGACAAGCAGCGTGCCCCTCGACCAGCAGATTACGCAGCTCAGGTTGAGCTCTCGGTCTTCTTGATCTCAAGGTGAGCTTTCATGGTGACTGGCGTCGCGCTCGTCATCTGCTAGTGGGTTTTGAGTTTTTAAGTCAGCTGCTCACATTATCCTCCTGAAACAAAGAGCGGGTTCTGGCTTTGAGCGGAGTCTGGCTTTGCGTCAGGAAGAATGCTCTACGAGGGCGTTAATCCGCCCAGCCTGATATCTCATGTGCCACGTTGCGCAAGCTTGATGCAGGCCGTGTCTCTTTCATGACATTCTTTCCTTCTCGATCATCATCTCCGCCAGAACCAGCCCTTCTTTCCCGTATGTGGCCGTCTCAGAGGATGCGCCTCTGTATTGAATACGTACTCGTCCAAGCTGATATGACTGGGGTCGCTGAACAACAAGTAGAAATATTTTAGCGTCTCGGCAGTCCAGAAGCTCTCCATATTGTCCATTTTTGGGGCCTCGGGGTCCGTGACATCCTCAATGGCAGCATTTGCATATTCCGTTCTCGTATGCGCGTAAATGCTTCGAAACATGGTCCAGCCTTTCTCCTGCCAAGCACTGTTCCCTGTGATTCTGTACATGATGAATACGCTCTCGATAGCTTCTGGTCGGAGATGGTACTTTGCATCACGAATCGCGGAGAATCCTGATGGCAGATGCAATTCTTCGATGAGCGCCGTAGCATTCTTTCCCATATTGTCGAACACAGCAGAGTCTTTGCCTATGGCGGTGTGCCATGCGTCTGGAGACCATTCGCAGGCATCCTGAGCCGGGCAAGGGACGAGTTGCGAATTCTCAGGCATGATACCACATGGGAACTTGGAATATGCCCAAACGCAGCCATTAGTAAGGCGAGCACCAATGTCAATGTGTGAAGGCTCATTGAACAGACGGCCGCCAAGAGCTAGCATTCCTCCAGTATAGCAAACTAGATGTTGATACTCAGCTTCGAGTGTGATTTCGCCTGCTTCTTTCACGTGTGTGGTGCCAGAGGCGAGGATATTGAGGTCCCCCTCCTCGATCATAGGTCTGTATATGATGTGCTTGAGAGCAGTTTCCATTGCTACCAAATACATCTTGGCATACTGTGTTGAACCACCCAGGAGGGCATACATCTTGGGAAGATATTCGTACATTGAGTCGGAGAAGGCTCCAAGGGAGTAGACATCACCAGAAGCAAAGTCCGCTGCGGCGCCATTGACCTGGAGAGGCCACATTCCTGGGAGCGATGATTTGTTCTGCTGCTCATCAAAGAGGTTCGTAATGCGTGCAACAGCATCGTACCACTTCGGGTTGCCAGTAATTTGAGACAGCCGGGTAAACTCTAGAGATAGAGAACCAATTTCTGCTAAGATAATGCTGTCTGGCGACACTTGTTTTTGTCCATTACGAGCTGCATGGAAGTCCCACCGCAGTATTGGCATGCGGTTTGGCGTGTCAAAAGCAGCATAGATCATATCTGCAAGCTCAATACACTTTTCCAGCAACCTTTGATCGCCAGACAGGTCGTACGCAGACAAGAAGCCGCCCATATATCGAATCGTCGTCTCGAAGAGGTTAATAGTGTCCATAGTCGTGGCCGTAAAATCGATTTGTGCAATTGCATCCACAGCCTCGTTGAACTCTCTCTTCATTCCCATGATCCACAGAGTGTCAAGAGAGTCGCAGAGAGTGGCAGCCCAGCCGCCGTAAGTGGTCTTGTTGGCTCCAGTAAGAGGTGTCAGCTCGTCCATTAGCCATGCTCTGCGTTGATACGCAGACCACGAGCGCTCCATAGCTAGCTTGACTTGAGCTAGGCGCTGTCTATTGGTGGCACGTTGTTCCCGCGACATGGTGCTCCCCCCAAAATGGTGTTGCACATTTGGGATCTGGTTGAACAATGGTGCAGGAGCAGGAATGGCATATTGGTCCTGGACTGGATAGTGTTCTCTCCTTGCGCTCCAGCTGAAGCTATCTGGATCCACCACTCCCGATGATGTTGTAAGGTAGCGTTCTCCGGTGGAGCCATTTCCGAATGGTTTGAGATGGAGAATGAATACAATACAGAGAAGTGCGAAGGCGACTGCCGCCACCCGTCCGTATGATCGAAGCATATTTCAAGATCGCATTACAGTGAATGGTTAGTAAGAGAAATATCATACAATTGCCATGGCCATCGGAAGTGGAGGGCGGTGCGTGATGAAGAAGATGTCGTTTGTCGTGTGAGAGCAGTAGATCGCCTCCTGATGCGTGTCGAAATGGAGGCACGATGGATTTACAAGGGTTGATTGGACGGGACCGCCGCCGAGCTCCCGGGACGACCCTGGAATAGATTGGATTCCGGGGAAACCGAAAGCGACGGGAAAAAATAATGTTTGCAATTTGGGACACACATTAGCGTTGACAACATGAAGGCCACAATCAACCATCTGTCAAAATTTGTCCAGGGCCTCGTCCACGTCCATTCTATCCACCTTTCATCAATGGACAACTGAATTGCTGAAAAGGGCGGCTGGAACGTATGCATCTGTGAAAAAATTTGGAATAGCGGGGGGTCCTGGACGGTGAAGATAACGGCTTTTTCCTGCAAGTTACAAGGCCCTGGTCACGGTTGGCGTTGATCAGATGCCAATCCTCTCTGTTAATGGCCGTCTCGAAGACTGCATCGATTCTGTAGTTCTGCTTGGACTCGGACGAATTGCTCCACGGAACACTGCTAAAGTACAACTCCCAGCATCTTGGGCATTCGGAACGTCTTCTGGGCGGGGCTCACGTATTGACTCATGGTGGAACTATCCATTGTGAGTATCGGCGAGCATAATGCATACGTAAAACCGTAAAACCGTTTGTGATAGTCGGGGATTGTGTCGAGGTTATGAGTGTTGTGGCAAATTTGGCAGCGGGCAGAACCGCCGTTGAGCTTGGCACTGGCCAAAACCACATACTCCATCGATACAGAACCTAAGGCATGCCTACAGTATCATCAGCGAAGTACCTCTTCCACACCAGTGATGTTCGGACAGGAGCCATTAGGAGGATGTGCAAAAGAATCTCGTCTTGTCGTGGCTGCAGAAGGGCGAGCCAAGCACGTTGAATATCTGCTGGGGATTGGTGCTGATCACGGTCGTCTGTACGGCACAACGAGACAGACTTGACAGATGGCCGCATCAACCGGTCGCGTGAACTTTACGCCGCAGCTTTGTCTCAATGCCGCGTACAGTCGGGTGTTCTTTGGTCACGAGAGGTTGCGATGACAATTCGTGCTACGGTGGACATGAGCCCCCACGCTCCTCGGCAGTAATCAAGAACCTCGAGCTTCACGCAAGAAGCTGCAACGATAGAAGAAGGATCTATATACTTCCAGTCACCACGAACGGCATTGGCGACTGCTGCTACATGGAGTGCGTGAATAGGGGACATTGAGTACTTTTCGGTGCTCAGTATTCGACTGGGACACGGCTTACTTGCGTGACCACAGACGTACCTCTTCAGAACGCAGTGCCGGATGTAAGTCAATCCTTCGGACATCGTCATTGAACGGCACGACTACAGGTTCATTGGCTCAGCTTGTTCAGAGGGCACTACTTGCCTGCCACATGAGGCATCTTAGGTCTGCAGTATTGCAGCACACGAATTTCTTGGCGAATAAGAAGCCCGCCCTTCGCCATGTGCCTGCCGATCACTCCACGAGATCCGCCACACATACAGCGTTGTGCACAGCTTCTTCGCAACAAGCGTCGACGATCAATGCTTGTCTCGCTCAAGCGGCCGAAAGAGCTTGGACCGATGGTCAGACAGGCGGTGACTTGTCCAACTTCAGCTTACTGTGTTCTCAGCCCAGCTTACACACATAATGGCCTCGGTATGACTTCAGTTCGCATATATAGCAGTAGGTGGGAATCTTCGACCCCAAACCATTCTCCTTCAACGAAGCATCGAAAACCGCCAAGGATGAAGTCCTTCCTCTCCCTGCTGGCGATCCTGCCCTTGGCACTTGCCAAACCAACAGTCTATCTAATCCGCCACGGCGAAAAGCCCTCGAGCGGCAACGGTCTCAGCACACAAGGAATGCAAAGAGCCCAATGCCTCCGCAACGTCTTTGGCGCGTCATCAAGCTATAACATCGAATACATCCTCACCCAAGACTACAAGAAGGGTAAAAAGCCCCCCACTACCCCATTTGTCACACCCACAGGCACTAACATTGTTACTCCGTGATGACTTCAAAGATGGCTCTCGCAAACGTCCTTACGATACTGTCTACCCCCTCTCTCAAGACCTCGGCCTCACAATCGACCACAAATGCGACCGAGACGATCCCGACTGCGTGCGAGACAAAGTCAACGGCTACTCTGGCTCAGGCAACATTCTGATCTGTTGGGAGCATGACGCCTTGACTGATATTGTTGATGCTTTGGGTGATGACAATGCGCCTGATTATCCGGGTGATCATTTCGATATCATATGGGTGGATCCACCGAGTTATGGAGCGATCACGCAGATGTATAGTGAGATGTGTCCTGGGCTGGATAGTTAGAGTGTCATCATGAGAGAGGGAAGGTGCTCTCTTGAGCAAAGCTGTTACCTGCAATATGCTCAACATAGCCACAATGGCCACCTTGTCTTCTAAGGTATGCTACGCAGCGTGTGGAACCTACGACACTGTGTTGACATCAACAATCTATTCCTTTCATCACAACGTGGCGGGCCATGGATGAAATTGAAATCGCTTCATTGTTCCAGATCGCACTATCTAGTATCAAAAGGCCAAAAAGGCGCAGCAGGTTGAACTACTGCTACCCAACAATCACCGACTCAACCTAAGGTATCCTTTCAATCGCTGAGTTCGCCTATCACCTCCCCTCCCCTCCCCCTCCAACTCCATTCTGGCCCATTCGATAACACTCTTGACAGATATCACTTGTCGTCGACCTCCTTCAGCTGGATTTTCGGCCAGGTGGAATCCCTTCTCGTAATTCAAGAATCGCCGTCGAACTCCACATTAACCTCTTTGACCTGGGACTTCGGGGTGTATCTCTTCATGAGATCAGCCTCCTTCCTTACTTCGGCCTCCTTGACCTCGTACGCTGGGCTGTATCTCTTCATGAGATCAGCCTCCTTCCTTACTTCGGGCTCTTTGACCTGGGACTTCGGGGTGTATCTCTTCGTGTTTGCAGCCCGAGCTTCGACCTCCTTCACTTCGGCCTCTGTGACCTGGACCTTCGGGCGGTATGCAGATGGCATTCCAGGATTGCTGACGGGGTCACGGCGTTCGTTGGGGTACGGGGCTGCTGCAACAGCCGCAAAGAGAGTACATGCTTGGAGGAAGATCTGAGCCTTCATTTTGAACTTTGTTTGACTTTTTGGGATGTGTGAATTTGTGCGAGGCAAATTGGCCTGTTGGTATGATGAATGCAGGGAAAGAGAGAGAAAAAGAGAAAGAGATGTTATCAGGACTGGTATTATATCTCTTTTCTTCACTCATCACACGATAACATAGCCTAGATACCTCCTACCGAATATCTACTCACAGTCCAGGTGGACTGCCGATACTCATGATGCGTTGTCCTCTTCGGGCAACTCCATAGACACACTCACCGCAATCAACACACCTCTTCTACCAATAACATGTGTATAGCAGGGCAGACAAAAGCGATGTTACATTGTATGATTGTAACTACCTTATCACATATACCGGGGGGCATGGGTGTCGTTCCCATATCAGTAGTAATGCTAGCTACATAGCCTAAGCCAGGTAGGTAGGCAAAAAGAAAAGACACAAAGGAAGCTCTCTCGTATCCGCGTCTAGCACTCTGGCTAGTAAGTTGTAACGTCACACAGATTAGTCCTCCTACTAGCAACCCAACTAACTTGTAACGTACAAGTCTCTCTCTCTCCCTCCCTCTCCCTCTCCCTCTTTCTCTTGGGACAACCTGGAATTGGGGTAGAAAGCAGGTACATAGGTAAGGCATGTATTCAACCGATCACACTACAATTCTCCTCGTGTATATATGTAGAAGTCACTCTAATACGAGGATAAGAGTCGGTATGTAGTGTAGTGTAGTGTGGTGAAGTGATGTAAAGCATAAAGTTCGGGTAGTCTGTGCGGGAGGGATACTATGGTTCTCTCTCTCTCCCTCTCTCCAATATACTGTACCCTTTTTTGACCTATGTACATACAAGTTGATTCAGTGTGTTGATTTCGTAGAGGTTAGGTAGGAATAGCTGTGTAGTGTATCAAGTAAGAAAGTCTTTGTACAATACTTTTTCGCGACTTACTCTACTTCTTTCTTCTTCATTAAAGACTCAGAATCCCCGAATGAAAATACGACCCTTCCTACTCTCTTATCTCTCGCCAAAAACCAAAAACCTCGCTCCCCAAACCACGGGTTGTGGAGGAGGAACTAGAACATTAGAGTACCGTAAGGTACCTTAAGAAATCCATACTTTCTCGATCCCTTAGCCCACCCTCCATTTTCCAGCACAGACCATTCCTCATCCAGTGCTTATCTCGACTAGGTAGGTATTAAAACAATGTTTCATCGAAACCATATCTCACCGTAACTTTTTGTTTGTCCTTCTTTTGCCCTACCCGCTCTTATCTTCTAGGGGGAATTTATAGTCTTGGTCTAATGGGATTCGCCTCGAGTACGAGAGTTTTTACCCCTTCCTGGTCTACCTAGACTTCAGACAGGGGGGTTTTACGATTCGGTTTCACGATGGGTTCGATTGTTCGATGGGGATTATAAGATCTAGGCTTAAAAGGGATAAAAATCGAATATCGATCGAAGTGCCGGCAAGACAACTGTTGCCCTGTGGAAGCGACTGATCAACGCTCTAATACTGTGATTTCTACATTGCAGCTATCTGATATTCATTCTGTCATTTCAACGGTTCTCGTCGTCGTCGGGGAAGATCAAAGGTTCACCTCCGAGCGTACAGGTGACGTTCGGCCTCGCGCAAACATCCCTCAAAGCCTCCTTCTCCTCTTCTAGCCCACCAGGCGCAGGCCACTGCTTGACGCCCTCGGGCTTGACCCAGATCCGATCAACCTGTTCGTCCGTCATCTGCTTCTCACGCCACCACTGCGTCATACCCTCCCAGTCCGCACACTGCGAGGTGACGTTGAAATTCGGCGTTGGCTGAGACTCTCCGTCCATCCAAATCAGGGGGTAGACATCCATCGGTGCTCGACACATCAGATCTTGTCGGAGGAGATCTACGCAATGCGTTTGATGGTTGCGATGGCCCGGGTTCAAGTTGCCGTTGGGCCAGTAATGATCTGTCCAGACTGCTTTGCGGAGCACGTCGAGACAGTGGAGCAGATGATGTGCTTGGGAGCCCACCATGGCGAGGCTGGGGTCGTCGAGCCAGGGAGCGACGTATGAGGGATCTTGGCCGAGTTTGGGCATGTCCTTCATGGGAATCAGAATCGGGTGCGTATCCCAATTTTGACTCCAGAGTTTGTCTCCCTCGACACTGGGATCGGCTCGCCAAAGGCTTGGATTACTACTCCAGGTCGTCGCGTTCAGGCTGTCTTGATGGAGCTTGTATGGCCAAGAGCCGTGAAGGGGCGCTAAAAGCAATCTTGAGGTCAGTTTCTGGACCAATGCTATTAGGGTAACTTCTCTTACACCAAGTCGTGAGTGCTTGTAAGTGCTGAAGCGGAGTTGATGGCCAGTATTTGCCTGTTAAGAAGGACGCCGTATTGGTAAGAAGCATTAAGAGGGAATAGAACAGCCATTTGGAATTCCATCTTCTCCCTTGCTGTTGGAATTCAATGTTCTCTTCTAGACTCTCATCATCGGTGTAATTCTTGCAGTCGTCGGAATACAACTTCTCGTAGGAACTCATTTCTCTGCCAATGCCGCTGAAGAGTTGGGAGTAGGAGGCTGGTCTGTTAGACACATCGAACAACCTATCGTCGGCTCTACTTATAGAGTATATACTATGAACATGGCTACTCGTGATAAGACCCCGGAGTGTGCATAGAAACGGAACGAGGTGCAAGGGGGAGGAGAGGCCAATCAATCTGGTTTAGTATGTCGTATGTATACCCTGAAAAAGTCGTCTCGAAAGCGCACTCTGTGCGCTAGCCAGCGCTGAGTGCTCTACACAATGTAACCGTGCGAAGTGAGGTGCGATTGGGTAGCACGGACCACGTTTCGCAGCGCGCGCTCATCCCTGCAGCGTTTGGCGCTGCCGTAGAATCGAGTGAACAAGCACGACAGGAGGGCTATGTACCGCACGTGATTGCGGCATATGTACGCCAATGCGAGCTAGGATGTCACATGCTAGTTGACAAGGGTGTTGACGGTACCTCCTAGGTGAATGAATTCGTACGGTCAGGTACGTAGCGACTAGCGAGCGTGTTAGCGTGAGAAAGTGTATGTACCTTACAGTACCTGTGAGGCTGTAAGGTAAGATGGGGAGGTGAGGTAAGTTAGCGAGAGATAAGCGTTTCCACGCACAGACCTCTTGAGCTTCAATTAGCGCGATTCTTGGCGGTAGGGCGCGCTACACCCAATAAGTCTGCTGCACGGCCAAGGTACCTCCTAGGCTACTTATATACCACCTAGGCTCCTACCACTCACCACTCAAGCAAGTATCAAGACAAGACTAAAGTAGCGCAGGAATCAAAAGCGAGCGTAGGTACAGGTAGGAGAGTTTGCGAATTCGTGATAGACATGGTTATAGAGATAGAGTTGGACATGGACATGGATATAGTGATAGGTAGACATGGAAACAGAGATAGACATAGAGAAGCCTGAGCAAGGTAACCAAGAGGAGGACATGAGAGATAGAGAGATGCCTGAGAAGGAGGCAGAATGCATATACCAACCTACATTAGGTATAAACATGCACGCGACACATACAGACACATACCACGCACGCACGCACGCGAACTATGAGGTACCCTAAGAATTCCACCGGCGAGATTGGTCAACATTCCGTGCCACCGACAGGCAAGCCTGAGGACATGATATATCCCGCTATTAAACATTGATACAGCTGCCTCCTCCCTGCTTTGACTATGTGTACCAGAGAGAGAAAAAGATGACAAGAAGCCAAGCGATACACACACGTATCCTCGCTTCCACTTTCCTTCTTTTCTTCCCAGAAGCACTCATGCATCCTTTTCTGACTTTAGGATTTCGATCTCTCCCTTGTTTACTTGGAAGGATGCACGTCAATTTTCTTTCGATCCCAACCACGATCCTGGCACCATCTCTCGACTTCCTTGTCGAGCTTCTCATAACTCTCATACACATTCTCCATCATCTCATTGACCACTTTCCCTTGCTCGGCCTTCTCACTCGCACTCACGCTCTCCCACACCTTTCGCATCAACTCCATGACGGCGAAGAGCTGGTTGGGTAACCACGTGACGATGGGAGAGCCTCCTGTGGCAGTCGGGTGCGGTGTCCTTTTCATGATGTACTCTCGGGCGAACAGCCAGTGTCGCCATCGGAAGCTGCGGACGTGCTCGAGGAGTCTGAGGTAGAGAATTTTGGTCTGGAGGTCTTGGAGACAGTAGTCTTTGACGGCGAGTTCCTCGGATCGGGAGCGGACGTAAGCGAGGAAGTCTCGGTGAGGCTTGGGTCGGTAGCCGCGAAAGTCTTTCAAGATTTCTGTGAGCGGATTCTGAGGCATGGGGATCTGAAGGAGGCTGTCCAGGAGGGGAATGATGGCGTCGTTGGCACCGGACTCGCCACGGAAGTATTGTGGTTGGTTGTCGGCGTAGCCGTCGTAGATGACACCATTGGGGAAGAAAGGCTGGTTCTGTGTATAGATTAGTCATGTGATCTGGTGTCTCAACAAACTACAACTCACAGTGATGCCAAAGATGAAAGTCCTGTAGCGGTTGTAATCTTTTGGTTTGCTCTGATTCCACATGCCCTCCATGGAGTCTTCAATGACACGCATGGTGCTGAGGAGATGCTCGAAAGCATCCACTACAGGCGTGACACCGGTATCTGCCGCCACGGAGTCAAGCAGCTGTACGGCACCTTGCACGAGCGGTCCAGTATGCTTGACCATGTCGACGTGTGTCAAGATGAAACCAGCTTCAGAAGATGAAGCATCCAGTCCATTCTCAAAGGCACGAATAAGGCGAAGGTTGCTGTACTCAGAGGCACCAATGGAGGCATCGGCGAAGCGGTAGTTGAAGAGAGCATATCCAGCGGCGTATGCAAGGAAAGCAGGAACATCAAGCCTAGATGGAGCATTAGCATAGACGCTTTGCACACGTCGACGTTGACTTACATTTTAGCACACTTGACAAGTGGCCCGGCAATCTCCCGTGGGAGGACTGGTCTTCCCAGGCCATAGGTACCATCCTTTTGCCATTGCTCCCAACACGGCTCGAGCAAGTAAGCCGAGGCGAGGAATGAATAGTCTCTGAACGCAGCAGAGACAGCCGCCATGTCAGGCTCGCCATCAGCGGCGATGAGGTTGTCAATCTCATGGTTGAGATCAGGCAAAGCCTTCTGCTCGTCAATGGTAGGACCGAGCTGGCAGGTGGCAAGAAGGCCAGGGGTGCCATCTAGCTTTTGAATTGGCATGTCATCGCAAAGCTTCTGCAGAGGAGCGAAGACCGAGGGTAGCTCAATTTGTGGTGTTTGAAGTGGCAGAAAGCCTGTTCTCTATTTAGAAGTGAGGTAGTGTGTGGAGCTCTGTGAACAATACTTACCATTTTGCGTGGTAATGGTGAATGGATCAAGGGAAGATGGCAGTGCGGCCGGATCATCGTGAATATGGGGAAACACAGCACGCGTATCCGACATTCTGACCTTTTCTTGGTCGGCGGTGTTGCTAAGGTAAGGACTCATGATGGATGATGTTTGTGTGGTGCAATGGGAACGAGGTGCAAGGGAGCTTGGCAGAATTGGCCGAGACAAAGAAGTCGGCGGAGTTAACTGCGAATTGGAAGGTGAAAGAAGAGAAGAAAGTGAGATCTGGGGCCGCGAAGAGCTTATGTATTCTGAGGCCGGAATTGATTCAGCTGTTTGGCATTATCATGAGATTGCTATCTCCTTGTGTGCTATTGGCCTGGCCGGAAAGCGTCCGGCCTTCTAGAGCGTGGAGAAGGGGAGCGAGCAGGCCGCCTCATCCACACGCAAGGGGGCCTGCTGGCGAGGACCGGAGTAACGGTGGAAGGCTGCGACTGAGACACCTAGCTTTCATAGCAAGTGAATTTGTGCTGGGGAGGTAGTCCGAGATGAGTCGAGGCCGGTGAAGTGATACGGCTCGCATGCGCAAGACGCACGGCCGAATGACCCCATACCACAGTTGGCTGACTTGGCCAGCCGGCAATGGTACGTCGGGACAGAGCTGCCATCGAGAAGCCAGCGAAAGATTCCATAGAATCCAGCATGTCCCATATTGAGCATATCCGCCGATCAAGGTGCGACTTGCGGTCACGTGACCCACAGAGTTTTGCGCAGCGGTCAAGGAGGTAGGAGATACCACGGAGCGAGAGTGTTCGGATATACCCTTGAATGCAGTCAAAAAGACAGACCTGGTGCTTTTAAATCCATTCCAGACTGCAGTTTTCCAGCCAAAGGCGACAAGAGCGTGCTAATCTTCAAGGGAAAGCGAACGCGAGGTGGTATGATGCTTGCAACGATGAACACTTCCGGACATCGATGCTGATGATTGTGACGGGTCGGGTTTGTCGTACGTGTTTTGACGACGAGTGGCAGAAAAAGAGCTGGGTGAGGCACTCCAGGGTGAATCACAGCTTGACTCTCAGCTACAATGTGTCTTTGGTCGAGGCCTTCAGCCAGACAACTCTTCCGGAGTCTGGCATGAAACGGCGTATGAGGAGATGATTTCGCGAAGCATCTTCGACGTGCGAACTCTTCCGGACGCAGTCGATATGATGGATGTTCGTACAGTATCCTCAAGAAACTCTTCCGGATCTTGAGTCGTCGTACAGCGTCACACAATGAACATGAAACCCTGGATGGCCAACTCTTCCGGAGGCCCCAGGTCACATTGCATTGCAGCTGAACAGCAAGCACTTCCGAATGCTGTCAGGAGGATGTTTCGCGGCGTAGTCTTTTGCGGTTGCAACAAGATAAGTCTATAGAATGTGCAGTGCTGTCTGCGCCATTATGGTCATCATCCGAGCCACGCCGCCTTCTTTGCTTTGTTCTTCCCGATTCATAGCTCTTCACCCTTCCCTAGCCACCGCTCTATCTTGTAAGCCGGATAGGCTCTATGGTTCCTAGCTACGCCATATCTGGACAAACTGGCGATAGTGGTCGATATATGTCGTCGGCGGTCGAGGGCGTGGTTGTTGGTGCTACACAGCGATTTCCTCCGGCCTTCACGGGTTGCCCTCGGGGGCGCAAGTCGACAGGTTCGGTATGCACATCCAGGACGCCCGTCTCTCGATGAGTGAAATTTCCAGTCGACGGGGATGGCTTGTGCGTGGTGGTGATGGAGTGGAAGAGGGAGAAAGTGGGGAGGGGAGCAACCCAGCAGGATGGAGAGCTAAGTCCGCCTAGAAGTACCTACATTCTCCATCTTCACTTTGACTTCATCTTTGACTTCATCTTCGACTCCATCCGCCTCATCACATCAGCATTGTTACAAGACATAGCACAGCACGCCGCGCCACACTCAGCGCAGACATGGACAATCTGACGTATACCGAGATGGCGATACTGGCAGGCAGCCGCGCGTGACGGCGATCTTGAAGTGGTGGACGACGCGCAAATGCGCGCCCACGCGTGCGCGATATGACAGCACCAGTATTGAGTGCGCTACAGTCCTTGGAAGAGTTGAACTCGATGCTCGGGCAGACAAGCACTGTCCTTGTTCATGACCTCCGCTGCTATGGACTGCATTCGGACGTCTCGCCGGGGGCTATTCACCAACATGTCCCCCAGCTTCGTGATCAGAAAAAGGGACACCACTTCGAAGCCTGAGCTCAGCGTCCACGCTCATCACATCTGCATCATACATGTCTGCGGCCAATTTCGTGGACCAGACAGGCGACAGAGAATTCTTGAGCGAACCTACAAAGAAGAACACATATTGCGCCAAGCCATCGCTTCGGCTACAAGATCTTATTGACACCCATATCCAGACCTCAGGTCTTGATCGTGCCCAGCCACGTGGCAAACGGGTCCGAAACTCTTGTCTTGCTTCATAATGAGCCTCATTGATCACCTATATTGCGTTCAGCCAGAGCTGCAGCTAGTCCCAAGAACATGGTCCATCGGGCCCTGAATGCGCGCGTTCCCCGAGTATGCTGCCATCGAGCATGACGCTCCTACGATGTATGCGGTCTCTGCTCGAGACTCTGTTGTAGATCCTCACGGCCTTGTACATACTGGTCGGGTCTGATTGAACTCTGAGCCTGTACTGGTCACTCAGGAGCCCGGATGATTCACTTTCCACAGAACCTTTTACGACTATAGTTTCGCGTTCAGTCAATTAAACTTCTCTATTGACAGAAGCCGCACGGGCATGCTCCTCCATTGAGAGTTCCTTTCTTTCTCCTGCCACAAGCCAATGGAGGCTGAAGGAACGGCTCGGACTGGCTATACTCATATGTGTTTCCTTTGTGGCAGAATGCTATTGACCTACTGTTTAGGACCTACAACACTCTCTTACCAGCGATAATCGACTATATCTTCATTGCCCGAGTCCCTGTTTACATATTTCTTCTTCACCCACCCACAAGTCATTCTTTACTCCATTCGACTACGAATACAACAGTGTCTGTCATAAGACTACCAACTATTTCCATTCACAACAACAACATCCCACCACCACCAAAGCATTCAATATGAAGGCCGCTCTTACCACTCTCCTCCTCTGCGTTGGTGCAGTCAGCGCCATCGCTGTTGCCGAGCCAGTTGCCAATGCCGACCCAAAGAAGAAGAAGAAGGCTCAGTCCGGCCGCAAGGCTTACCAGGGCCGATTCGGCTTCTGCGGTGTTGCTGGCTCCAACTGCGCCCGCATGAAGCGTTCCGCTGAGGCCATCGCCGATGCTTTCGCCGAGGCTGACCCAGATGCACGTTACCAGGGACGCTTCGGCTTCTGTGGTGTTGCCGGCTCCAACTGCCACAAGGCCCGCCGTGCCATTGAGCACATTGGTGAGCTCGCCGAGCGCAGCTACAGCGAGATTGAGACCCGCTCTGGCCGCAAGGCTTACCAGGGCCGATTCGGATTCTGCGGTGTTGCAGGCTCTAACTGCAAGCGTGATGCCGAGGCTGAGGCTGACCCAAAGAAGAAGAAGAAGGCTCAGTCTGGCCGCACGGCTTACCAGGGTCGCTTCGGCTTCTGTGGTGTTGCTGGCTCCAACTGCGCCATGGTCAAGCGTGATGCTCGTTACCAGGGACGTTTCGGATTCTGCGGTGTTGCAGGCTCCAACTGCAAGCGTGATGCCGATGTTGAGGCTGTTGCCAACATTGCCCGCGCCATTGAGGAGTGGGACCCAACCTACCTCGCTGAGGTCTGCCACTCTGAGGGTGGTGAGTGCTCTGCTCTCGTCAAGGCACACCGTGCATTCAAGCAGATCAAGCGTGACACCGAAGATGTTCAGTACAAGCGCGCCGCTGAGGACGTCAACGCTGAGGCCAAGCGCTCCGAGGAGGAGGCTGACATCGCCGATGACCTTGATGAGCTCGAGGAGGCTCTTGATGAGGCCGTTGCTCGCATCTAAGCTCATCAGTCCACAACACCGCCAAAAAAAAAACTACAACATGATCGGCTCTTGGTCGTAGCTGATTCACCCTTTTGACAAACTTTTCTTGGCTGAGGGTTCTTTTTCCCCGATTATCTCTTTTCGCGGAGCATATATAAATAAACACCTATGCGCAGACTTTTGCGCGAGCCGGCTGAGATTCCGATTCATCATCTTTGGTGAATGAATGGGAGGAGATGCAAGGCTGGGATTATACATTGTATCTACCTGTACAGCAGAAGTATGCACTTAGATAGCTCGAGACATCAAACGAGTTGACTTCTGAATATTTTCACTTTCACTTGCACTTTCACTTGCACTTTCACTTTCACTTGCACTTTCACACACACACACACACTCTCTCTCTCTCTCTTTCTTTCTTACCCTTCGCTCTTGTCTCCATATTTCTCCAAATTCTTCTATCCAAGTCCTTCCTTGATCAATATTCATCAGCCCTGCATTATTTAATCATCATCATCATCATCATCATCACTCCCGATAATACTCTCGCCTTTCTTGCATAGATACTCAGTCTGGAGTTGTTGTGACTGTGAGAAGAAAGGCAGGGTTATTGTTTCTCGATAAAACATCTTCCTTTTTTCGCGTGTCTCCTCGCGAGCACTGTGTTTTGAACGACGGACACACTCATGACCTACCTGCAGGCGGCTGAGGTGTGTGATTGGAAATGGAATATGAAGTATGTAGGTAGGTACTCAACTACTACTTTACTTGTAGTCAATTTTTCTTTGTGGGAGGATTTCTGATTTTTGAGGATACATAGGTAGGTACCTGGTATCTAAGGTAGGTAGGTAGCTAGCTGTTTCTGTCGTATTCTCTTATGCAGTGAGAGTATCACCGCGGCTTTTCGTTCATTCTCTGTCTTGAGTCTGATACCAATTCTTCATCTTCTTCTCCTTCTTCTTCTCCTTCTTCACTCTCGATCGATCTCCGAGCTACTCCTTGAAAAAACAAGAACCGAAAACGATGGGTATCTTCCTCATGCGCCTTTCTCTTTTCCCTTTTTTGCCCATGTACTCCAAAAACAACCAATCTCTCATCTAGCCAGCCATCCCACTCATAGTCGGACATGCCTCCTCCTTATACTGCAATCGCACTCCCCGTTGTTGTGGTAGTAGTAGTAGAAGAAGAAGTACCGGGCAGTTCCAGCAGGCTCTTTCGATACTCCCAATAGTTCTTCCTGATAGGATCGTACCTCGTCGCCAATAAGTCCAAAGCCTCCTTCGCCTGCTGCTGACCATCCTTTTCCTCGGCTAGCACATCTGCGAGTAAGTCCAACGCATGACTGGATCTGATCCCTTCCGGCTTACTCAAATTCGCATACTCCTCTGCAAAACTTTTCAGGCTAGACAACTTCATCCCGTCACCACCACCACCACTCTTCCTCACGATACCCCTCAGATAATTCCACGGACTTTGATTCTGCGGTGCCTTGGCAATGGCATCTTGCGCAAATTTGATCTCTCGGGCTCTGATCGCCGCATCTGTAATGCCGGGGATACCTTCGTTCTCGCGTCCATTGACGACATACCAACGATGGTTCCAGGCGCTGTTGTTTCGAATATCTCTGGCCATCATGCGCTCGGTGAATCCGAGTTCGCCTTGTCCTTCCCACAGGTTGAAGCGCCTCACGAGCCATTGTCTATAACTCCACACGTGATAATTCTTCCCATCGGCTTCGAACATCTTTTCCACAAACTCTTGCTCGCCGTGTACAGAGTCCAGCTTGTCCACGATGAGGTTGCGATGATGCCAGATTTGGTAGTTCTTCTGATGTTGCAATGCCGTCTCGTTCAACCACTCTAGTTCTTTCTGGAGGTCGTAGTTGATGTGGAAGAGCACTTTGGCGCGGTAGAGCCAGACCGTGTAGTGGGCGGGGTTCATGTCGATCAAGTCTTCCGTCAGCTCAAGGACTCGTTCGCTGTATTCGCATTTGGCCATGATGGCTCGGAGGTATGACATGAGCTCGCCGTATTCTTCGGGATACGCAATGGCGGCAAGCGGGTTTGGGCCGCCCTCGTCGGTGGGAATGGGCGTAATGTCGGCCCACTGCGGGCTGTTGGAGTATTTGCCGACCTCCATGATGAGAGTTTGGAATTGGTAGATGTGGGTGTATGTGTGTGTTGTTGGGGGAGAGAAAGAGAGATGTCAATGATGTTGCGAGGTAGAAGTGCAAGGAGTGGAGCCGATGTGGGGCGAAAATGAAAGTGAAAGTCGAAGGAGTAATAACACGGACAATGGACGAACAATATCAAGCTTCCAACAAGAGACGGAACCGGCACCACTCACATTCTGGACATGAAATTCCGATACCGATAGTACAAACCGTATGGTCCAACTGATAGATGGAATATATCAGATGGTTTGTGTCGTTATAGGAGAGTTTTGTAGACATGATATCTTTACTGAGTCATATATAATGTTCGCGAGCCAAACGCGCACTTTGCCATGCTACACGTCGTGATTTCAGGACCTTCGCTTGTGATGTTGCTCACGCATCTCGTGTGTTGTAAAGCAAGCTGGTATCTCCAAGAGTTCATTGCCATAAGATTCATGACGTTTGTCCTCCTCCCCTTCGGCAACACATGTATATCGCGTTTCATGCCTTCCTCTAGTGGTGGAAAAGTCGGACATGCTGCTCAACAAATGTAATATCCAACTGCTCAGCAGTCGAAAAGCAAGCCTGGTCGTTCTGACTGCCAGTAGGCGCGGCAATATACTTGACCCCACTGCGACCTACACGGAAGATGTTGTCGGTGAAGGGAAAGAAGGCGTCGCTGCTCACAGCAACCTCACTGAGCTTGCTCAGCCATGATTTTCTCTCCTCCAGAGTGAAAGGTGTCGGGACTTCCTCAAAGTTCTTCTCCCATGCTTCGCGCTCAATGCCACTGTCGGGTACGATACCCGAAGTCAACAAGTCAATGGCGTTGGACTTGTCAGCACGTTTAGTGCCCTTCTTCCATTTGATAGCCAGCACACGCTCGTGGAATCGCATCCACCAGTTGTCGGCTTTGTCGCCGGCGAGACGTGTGCAGTGGATGCGGGACTGTTGTCCGGCACCGAGACCGATGACTTGGCCGTTGAGCGAGTAGCATACGGAGTTTGATTGCGTGAACTTCAACGCAATGGTTGCTACTGTAAGATCCCGAAGTGCTGATTCTGGCAGTGGCTTCGATTCCTTCGGCACAATGACGTTGTTGAACGTGTGCTGTGGTGAAATGAGAGCATCATTGCGGTGCTGAGTGAGATTGACGCCGTACAGAGTGCGTTGTTCTTGTGATGGTGGGACGTAGGTTGGATCCATCTGGAGCACGAGGTATTTGCCACCCTTCTTCTTGCTCAAGATCTCAAGTGCTTCGGGTTGGTAGCTTGGAGCAATGACTCCATCACTGACTTCCTTTCCAATTATCTTGGCTGTGGCTACGTCGACCTCGCGTGACAGAGCGATGACATCTCCGAAGCTGGACATGCGGTCTGCACCACGAGCACGAGCGTAGGCTTGTGCAAGGCCTGATGCGTCGATACCTTCAATGTCCTCAACCATGTATACCTTCTTCTCCACGTCGCTGAGTGGAACACCAATGGCAGCTCCAGCTGGTGAGACGTGCTTGAACGAGGCAGCAGCTGGGTAGCCGAGTGCCTCATCGAGCTCTTTGACAAGCGGCCATGCGTTCAGCGCATCGAGGAGGTTGATATAACCTGGCGAGCCAGACAGAACCTTGAACGGGAGAGGCGAGTTGGGCGTGAAGGCAGAAGCCGGCTTCTGGTGAGGGTTGGTACCGTAGCGTAGAGATAGTTGCTGGTGACCTTCTCCAGCATACTTCTTGCGGAAGAAATCTGAGATGGCAGTATCATAGTCTGCGGTATGCGTGAAGGCCTTGAGGGCGTAGAGTTGTCGTTGCTTCTCCGTAACTTCCCCATTGGAGAGCTCCTGGAGAAAGTCGTGATAGTCGGCAGGGTCGCTCAGAATAGTGACACGGCCGTGGTTCTTCGCGGCTGCTCGAATGAGGGTCACACCGCCAATGTCAATCTCCTCGACGGCCTCGGGGATGGTGACATTGATCTTGGCCACGGTGTCCTTGAACGGGTATAGATTGCAGATGACATAGTCGACCTTGTTGATGTTTTGCTCTGCGAGATCCTTTTCGTCTGAGGCGAGATCCCGAGCCAAGATACCGGCGTGGACAGCAGGATGGAGGGTCTTGACTCTGCCGGAGAGCATCTCGGGTGCCTTTGTAATTGCGGAGACATCTCTGAGGAATGGTGAGTGCCCACGTGTATGACGCCGCTGTGCTGTCGCCTGAATGGGACCTACTCGACTGGGAATCCTCCCTCGCGGATCAATTTGGCAGTGCCGCCAGAGGCCAGCAGTCGGATGTTCTGCTTGATCAGGCCTTTGGCGAGATCGAGGAGGCCGGTTTTGTCGTAGACCGACAGAATGGCTGAGAGAGAGAATCTTTTAGTGGGCGACGACATGGTCGAAACGTGGAGCACTCACCGATCTTCTGAGGCGTTTCGGAGGCCATGGTGGTGGTGGTTGCAGCAACCAGGAAGGGAAGGGTGAAGATTCGAAAAAATTATACAGCGCCCACCACACGACGTCAAATGCTAATAGCGGGCAGGGCAGCATTGGGAATTTTGGCGGGGCACTACCTCCACAAAATACACGGTGGGCTCTAGAAATACACTTGTGTCTTTAGTCCCAATTTTTTCATTCTCGCTCTCCATCACTTCTCAGGTAGTCATTACTACTCAGATTGATATACATCTCGAATCACCTGCATCCATAATAATCATAGCGACATTGGTCTTTGTACGAGTCTTTCCCCATCTTTCCCATCTTTCCCATCTTTCCCATGCTGTATCCTCGAAAACAGAGGTGACTTTCTAGGGTACCTTAGGGTCTGTTCTGGGAAAAAGAAAAATTCAAAAAAAAAAATTGCGCGACAATTCCTCAAATTTACCAGGTAGGTAGGTAGGGAGCTCTAAACCTGAATCAAGCGCTCAGAGCGACACTACTCAATGGCTTCTCCCGCAAAGCAGCATCCGTCTCCTCCTTGGCATCGTACCCGTACAACCACGGCTGCACCTGAGGACACTGCCATCGACTGGGGAATTTGACATCAATTTCTTTGCCGAGTTTCGACAACATCAATTCATCTCTCTTCTCTTGCTCCGGACCGTCGACCATGTGAAAATCATGTCTTTGCGCAAACGTCTCTCGGACAATCGCCTCGCCTCGCTTCTTTCGGAGCTGCTCGTACAGTTTCAATGCCGCCGGCAATTGATCTTTGGATTCGATTGCCGCTAAGATGTTGCCCAGTACGGCGCCGTCTTCGATGCTGGAATTCGCGCCTTGTGCGAGGTAGGGGAGCATAGGGTGACATGCGTCACCGACGAAGACAAAGTTCGATTTGGGGCTGATCCAGCTGTCGAGTTCGGGGCGGTGCATGAGTTTCCACTTGTCGATTGCGGTGACATGGTCGAGAAAGCGGTTGAGGATGGGATCCCAGTTTTTGAAAATCGCTCGCATTTCTTCGATGGAGCCCTCGGATCGCGAAACTCCTTCGGGGAGATCGTCGGGGACGAGGAGGACGATGTTCGACATGGTGCCGCCGCGGATCGAGTATGCGACGACATGTGCTTCCGGTCCGATCCAGAATTGCGCACTTGGCCGCGAGACGATGTCTTTGATTTCTTGATCCTGAACAGTGTTGATATCGAGAACGATTCGGTATGCCAGATCGCCCGTCGGCAGAGGCGCGTCCTCCGTCTTGCCTTGTGCGGCAAGGAACTTCTGCCTGCACCGCGACCATAGCCCATCAGCACCGACCAGCAGGTCCGCCTGCAGCACTTCGCCATCTTTCAATGTGACTTTGGCAGCATCGAAATCAATATCTTCCACGCGAGATCCGAGCCGGACTTCCACGCCCAGCTCTCGAGCACGATCAGCGAGAGCACGCTGCACATCTACACGATGCAAGTCCCAAAATGGAGCATCGTACTTCCTTCTCATTTCTTTGTCGAAGTTGTCTGTCCTGGACAAGATTTTCCCATCGGACCATCTTCGGACTTGCAAGAAGGTCGGTTCTGCAGCTTTGGGCTCTAATGCATCGAGAATGCCGATTTGCTTGAACACTTTCGCTCCGTTGGGTGTAATCTGGAAACCTGCGCCAATTTCTGCCAGCTCGCGGGCTCCCTCGAGCACCAGTACTTTATGACCTGCCAGGGCACAAGACACTGCGGTTGCCAGGCCGCTCATGCCGGCACCGACAATCTTGATATCGAGGGGACAACTGGTCTTTCGTGAGGCCATGGTGTGTATATGCTATGGTATGTGTGTCGAAGTGAGTAGGTAGTGCTGTTCGACCTTACAACGACGAGAGTGAGGGGAGGTATACCATCTATATAAACCATGTATACGTCACGGTGGTTAGCAGCCTTCTGAACCGACTTCCTGATCCGAGAGTACCGCGTAGTAGGAGGTAGTGCATCTGCGGTGCAATCACAGCAATACAGGTACTCACTCACAGCAGCGTGAGGCGTCCCGGTCTATGGAATTAGAATTGGGCTGCTGCCGCACACTGCCGACGTGGTCTCGACTGCTCGAGCTCCCATGATGGACCTCCCAAGCTCCGTTCTCGTACGCTGGTGCGGCGCTGCAAAAGGTCCACGTCGGCCGAGCTGTATCCCGAGGGCGAGTTGACGAGAACTACAATAGCCGTGACTCCGTGAGTTGTCCTCGTGGACATGGTTTTATTGTATATTTCTCCACGTCTTCCGCCCTGGCTCAAGATTGCCAGCCAGCCAGCCAGCCAGCCCAGCCCAGCCAGCGTGGCGGCTGTCGTAGAACTAGTTCCAGCCCTGGAGGGGTGATCATTGATCAGTAATGGCACACTCCCCCGTGATCACCACATTGCTAGGTGGTAGAACTGGAGACCGCTCTCACGTGCGATGCGTAGTGACGTCTCCAATACCCACCAAAAATTGGAACTCGCCGACCTCGACACCACCGCATGAAGTATTGGATGCCCATTGAAGTGAGCGCCACCACTGTAACAACCCTCATCGTTCTTCCCGTACTTCAATACTGTAACCATCATCCTCAAAGAACCTCAAGGACCCAAACATGGATCAACAGCGACTCCGACAAGCATTCTCGCCCGAAACGGCGGCCAGCAAGATGACTTTACCAGTCCCGAAACTGGAGCTCGATTTCCGAATTTCCGTCGCTCTCAACCCCATCATCCCCGTCGGCGAAGGGCCCTGGGGCAAAAGGAACTGGATCAGCTTCTCGGGGGGACAATGGGCTGCCAGTTGGGGTCGTGGCACTGTCGAGGTATGTTCAAGGAAAGCAGAAGAAAAAGACACCACTAGGAGAATCCCATTGAGAAATGAATCCCTACACATCCTTGCACCCAACAATCAAATCAACCCACCTTACGCTACACAAATAACAAACAATAATAATCCACCACGTCACACACGCAACTCCCCTCCCGAATCCAACAAAAAAAACTAGTCCTTCTAAAAATCCACTGAACCTCTTCAATTAACAAAAAACCCCCGTAAAAAACAAATCCAGCCCGGAGGTCAAGACTCCCAACTCGTCCTCCCAGACACCTTACAAACATACGTCACCACCAACTATCTCCTCAAGACGGCCGACGCCGAACCCGCGTACATCACCATCTCGACGACCGGTTGGCGGACCGGACCCAAGGAAGTTTTGGAGAAATTGTTTGACCCGGAGTTGGCGAATGAGGCGAAACCGTCGGATTATGTGTTTCGCTTGAGTATTAAATTGGAGACGGGCGATGAGCGGTATAAGGATAAGGTCAATACCGGGTTGTGGGTGGGGAGTGGGGCGAGGAGGGGGAGTGAAGGTGAGTTCTATTTTTCTTTATTCTTTTTTTTCGGATCTCTTTTATTTTTCATTCGTCTTCTTGTTGGATTGATATCTGAAGGAGTATGGGCTGACTTCAAGACTGTGATAGTGATTTACGATGCGTATCGTGTATTGTAATGGGCGAGGGCACGCAGCCGATATACAAGATACGATGATAATCGAAGTTCGACTTCAAAACGACTTATTTTTCTTTCTTTCCAAAGATATATGAATTTTGTGCAAAATTCAACTGCTTTTGGACCTCAATGTCTTCCTTCCTGTATGACCTGTGTATTGATGACATCTCGGAGGCAAATCCTCCCCCAAAAGTCTGCCGGTGCCTCGCTCTGTCGAAATCATGTCTGTCTCAAACAGTCTCTTACTCACCTCCACGCACTAAGCGTGCCCATTGGCCTGCGGCTTCTCCACAGGTCCAAGCTTCTCTCTTCGCTCGGCCACAGCCTCTGCCAGCTCTTTCAAAACACCTTCAGTGTCCTCCCAATTTATACATGCGTCTGTAATAGAGACACCGTACTTCAGCCCACTCTTGCCCTCCGCAGGAACCTTCTGGTTCCCCTCGTTGATGTTACTCTCAATCATAACTCCAGTAATCGCCGTCTCTCCGGCCCTGATCTGCTCCGCCAGCTCATGTGCCACCTTGGGCTGATTCTTATGATCCTTGTTCGAGTTTCCATGTGAACAGTCCACCATCAAGCTGGGTCTCAGGCCCTTCTTGACTAGCGCCTCTTTCGATTCTGCGATGCTCTTCTTATCGAAATTTGTTCCCTTCGTCCCACCACGCAGAATGACGAAACAATCATCATTCCCAACTGTACCCACGATAGCCACATTGCCCGGCTTCGTCACAGACAGGAAGTGATGAGGATGTTTCACCGCGCCAATGGCATCAATAGCCACGCCCAAAGTTCCATCCGTCCCGTTCTTGAATCCAATCGGGAAGGATAGACCTGATGCCAACTCGCGATGAACTTGGGACTCTGTCGTTCGAGCGCCCACAGCTCCGACGGAGAGCAAATCGGCGGTGTACTGAGGAGAAATGGTGTCAAGCATCTCACTCGCCAGAGGCATGCCTTTGGAAGTGAGATCTACAAACATCTGCCGAGCTATTCTCAAGCCCTTGTTGATGTTGAAAGAGTTGTCGATGTCGGGATCGTTAATCAAGCCTTTCCAGCCTATTGTCGTCCTCGGCTTTTCGAGGTATGCACGCATCACAATCAACAAATTCTCCTCGTACTTCTCTTTCAGCGCCATAAGGCGGTTGCAATATTCGAGAGCCATGGCAGGGTCGTGGATAGAGCATGGGCCGATTACGACCAAGAGGCGCCGTTTGGGGTCTTCGAGACGAATGACATCGACGGCTTGGTTGCGGCCTTGGATGACAGTCGTTTTCGACTTTTCGTTTTGGCGGATCTCGTGTTGGAGGAGGTCGGGAGGTGTAAGAGGTGTCATTCCGCGGATTCGCCAGTCCTCAACACTGTTCCGGTCGCCCACAGACGGGTTGGGGAGGTAGAACTGTTGCGCCGTCATGTTAGATGTGTCTTTTTCAGTCGATGCTGTACATGCCATCACTCACCTCGGAGTCCCCGGCCATGATTGTAGTATTGGAGTGGCTGTCACTGCGGTGAGGTGGTAGAGTCTTTGCTGGTGATGAAAGCGGACGATAAGTTGACTCAAAGTCTCAAAGTGCAGGTCAATAAATTGACTTTTTGAGGCTCGGGAACCAAGCCTTGCAGGGTTCAACTCTCGCTCCCTCCTGTGCCTCCACTTCTCGGTCTTCTCACATACCTTAATGGAGGTAACGACAACCTACAACCACCGTTTTCGACCAAATTCATGTATACCAGACCTTATAAGGGATCACCATTCCCTCAGCCTGGATGGGATAGGTCAGGTAACGATACATCTCCAGCGGCTCTCTTCCTTTTCATCATGCTGCCTTAGTGCTCGCATCAACTCGCATAACATCTCCGTTCATAGGAGGTACTGTAGTTGGAGACACGAATCGGGCTGTCGTGGTTCTCTGCGTGGATGCTTCAAAGCGATCATGTGGTAGCATGCCGGATCTGGAACGTCGTGCTCATATCTTGTCTGACCATACGCTTCCCGACGACACCATGCGGGCAATGTGCATTTCAGCGCGATAGACCGTGGCCGACTACGTCTCTGTCAGGACAGGCATCTATGTTCGGATCAAACGCAATCTCAGGATCCGCTGTGGTTTGGTACAGGTAACTGTGTAATCCTGACATCTGACAGCCTTGGTATTCCACGCTAACAAACATAGAGGAAGAAGGGGATAAGGTAACGACTACCTTGCTCGCAACGCTGCTTGGGAAGATAGGTAACTGGCCTCCGAAAGCACTCCGGTTTTCTTTCTGCGTTATGATTGTCCTTTATTACCTTGGGTAGGTCGCTGATGAATCATCAAGTCCTCTCCTACGGCGATGCTCTCACTGCCGGAAAATCCCTCTTCAGCAACGGACTGTATGACGCGAGTCTGCAACGCTAGTACATAGGTATGTGACCGGGCCCCGAGGGCCATCACGGTGATCACACATGGTATGCCATTTCTTCACGACCAATCCTAGTTCTATCACGCAGCTCAGTGTGTCGAAGGGCCACGACTTCACGCCAAGCATATCGCACTCAGTGCACCTATCGTCAAAAATCTCTGGTCTACACGACTGTGTCACCTGTATACACCTGATCATTCAGATGCCCACTGTTGTGGGGTAGTGTTATGTGGTTGCTTTTGGCGAAGTTTTGGCTTCAATTTGGGTCGATCGACAAGGTTTACAAGCATTTGCCTTCGCCACGTGGTTCGGCCTCGGTTTTCCCAGCGTTCCGGCTGTGCGGGCAAAGCATACTCCGTGTGCCCTTGAACCTCTTCGACTTCACCACCAGGCACCAGCATAGTAGCATCAGGGACGCGTCGATGCCTTCACCTGGGTACCTTGACGAATATTGATGGTGGCTAAGATTGGGCATGTGGTGCTCATACAGACGCATAACCGCGGCAACTTTCACAAAAGACGACGTGGATGCAGCTGGCCACTCATCGTTCACGAAGCTGCGCTGGCACAGCAGAAGCAATTCGACAATATGTACTGCTAAACATGCTGATCAGAATGAACCCCATCAACGTACTAGGGCTAGTCCCAGTCACAGTTCCAGTCACCTATGACACTTGAGCGACGACTCGTGCTCCAAGCAGCCTCTGCTGAGATTCGGCAAAGCTGATTCCAGTTCTCCAAGTGCGTGACAATACGACAGCAGTTGCAACGTGGACTTCGCGAAGCAGGCGTGTGCCAAGGGCGAACGGAATGGCCTCTTTGTTTCCAGCCGAAGCAAGACATGCTAAAGGAATTGCCCGAGAGAATACAAACGCTGAGCACGCGAGTAATGCGAGCAAGCAGGTATGCTTGAGAATGCTGTGATTCTTCTGCCAGCACGAGTCATTGACTTAGTGCAATTAGCAAGCCGATCGTCTGTGAAGCCCTAACAGGTGACAGGGCTGCGTGCTAGCTGACGCCGAGAGAATGATAGACAACAGGCCAAGACCTTAACGTCAGATTCCATTGATGCTAAAGTGATGCCGATTCGCTCGAGGCCCATGCAGCAGCCGTAGATTGTCCGCATGAGATGCGTGTCGCACGAACTCGTTTAGATTGGGGGCTAACGTTATTCGTACTATCGATGGAGTCGGATGAAGTGCCGCCGGATTCCGCCTGGCCTACAATATATATGATATGCACCACTATCGTCGTATCTGACGACTGGCGGTTGAAGACAATTCCACAGCTGATAATCACGAGCGAACATCAACAGACGCCATCCCAATTGCCATGGAAAATCCAATTACTATGGTCGAGCAAAAACCCGCGGCGGACACGAAGGCTACCCCGTACAAATGGATCGCGACCAGAATTGAATCCTTAGATCCTTACAAAGACTACGAAGAAATCGTCCGGCTATCCAGCTGTTATTACTCTAACGACTTTATCAACAATTTGATGTACGGCGTCATCTTACCTACACTGCTCAAGCCAGAGTGGGCAGCAAGAGCCATTTGGCGCGAGGATGGAGGCAAGATGCTGCACAGGGCCAATATTCGAGTCGAGGATACCGAACATTACAATATGACATGGCTGTAAGTGGTACCACAGAACTGGCTACAGACCTTGCATTGACACGAGCTAACCCATTGCGATAGATACTATGGTCCAAGCGACAAGAAATGTCAAGACGCCATTGAGTTCGTGAACAACTACCATGCCCGCTTGGAGAAAGTCACACCAAACTGCTACGGCCACAACGATGATTACGTTTATACCTTGGCGTCTGCTGCTCTCACAGGTGACAGGTTTGCAAAGCGTCTAGGTCTGCCCCGATACACCAGGAATCAGAGGATCGCGCACTACATATTCTACCGAGAAATGTCAAAGCAGTTTGTCTCACATCACCCAGGAGGTGAACGGAGGCCTTTGACTGGCTTTCCGGAAAGTTGGGAGCACGCTGAAAAGTGGTGCGAAGAGCATGAAAAGAAGCCAGTGCCCAAGGATCCCCGGAGTGAGTTGATCGCAGAATCTGCATTTGAGCAGTTCGGTACTAGGTGGTTTCCAAGGGGATTGCAATGGATGGGACGATCAATTCAGGTGTCCTTAATACAGCCGGATGACCTGAAGGCAATCGGAGTACAAGACGTCTATCCTTGGACAAGGGCTTTCGTCATCTTCTTCATGGGTTGGATGCTCTGGTTACTGGCTTTCGCACCTGATCCTTCGCCTAATGATAGCATTATTGAGAAGCATGAAAGGGTGCCGAAGGAGGAGAAGAAGGCCCGTCTGAAAGAGTTAAATCAGGCTGATAAGATGTTCTGTCCGTACTTTGCGGCAAAGTACAAGGATGTGCGGCCTGACTGTCCGCATTTTTCCAAGCTGGCTGAACAGGTGTGATAGCTCCTGTGGGAGATGAACGACTAAGTAGGACTGTATGTAGCACTCTACTATGGCGTTGTTGAAAGTGAGGTGGGTAGACTTCTCCCGAAGCCAATACCAAAGTCGTGTAGAGACCCGGGTGTTGTACTCATACCCATCTCCGGAGACTGTACGCTACACGTACATGGTGACGCAGGCTCGTAACAATTTCATTTCTCGACACCATATCATCCCAGATCTGCGTTCAATTGTAGGTACCTAAGGTAGCTCTCTTGTGAATTTGTCGTCGTGTTGTTTACAAGCAACCTAATAGTCCAATCACTCCAATCATCCAATGTTGAATGGATTTCATCATTTCAAGCTTTCTGTCGATTACAGCTGATATGAATGTGACAGCTTGGCACCGTAAGCATTTCAAAAGGAGGCAGTCCTGCAGCCCGTTTCTCCCCTCCGAAAGCAGCAACAACAACACCGCCAACTGGATGACCGAATGCAGCACGGTCTCAACGGCTGTACCGCAGTATGGAAATCTTGACGCACGCAGTGAGCCGCGTCTGCGTTGGACAAAGCAGCGGATGAACCACGTGCAGAACGTACCTGAGTTAGGTTTACTCGATTGACCGCCGAGCACCGGAACCACGCGACCGACGACAGCAGCTTCTTGAGCTGGGAATGGACCTGAGCAGAGAATATGTGCCTTGTGCGAGATGGCTGGCAATGGGCACAGGAATGCAGCAAGAGCATTGAAACAATCTGAAATAGAGAGTGCGGTGGGATATACATTGTCGATGCAGACCGACAGCACGTCCTTACCCACGCGGGAGTGTGTTTCGTACTTTGTACACCGCTGGTATGCGAGGGTGTGAAGATATGTGGTCGCGAAGCCTCATTTATGTCGGTATTCGGCCAACCACAATCTCACTTCTGTGCGCATGAGGTACGAACTTCATTCTACCGCGCCCGATCGAGTGGAAGGCAGTTACTTCGACACAGGTCTCCATGGGCAGTAGTGTGGGATTGTGTGAGCACTCGATCGCAGCAACAGATGTTCCCCTGACCGGATCTGAGGAGTGACGGATCCGATGCAGGTACACTATTTGACCCGAAATACCACAACTTACACAAGGTATAGATCCTGTCGGCGCCAGGAGCCGAAATTTCGGTGGCCATCCGGTCTGCCAAACTCACGACGATTCTGCCTGGTACCGTTACGCAAATGCATGTAATTCAGACGTTAGCAATTCTCTCGGAGCAACGCACGCGTACCGCAAGATTGCATATGCTCTCAACAGCTTTCCACGGGGAAGCGACACATGCCGGCGTCTGTTCCGATCGTTTTCTATGACTTTTTGATACGAGCGTCGACATTGTCACTTGTTGGATTCGTGCTTGGCAATCATCAATCCAGCTGGACGGACTGGTTGGGCCAATCCGAGGCAGGACTCATCCTGCAGGACTTGTCCTGTAATAAGTTCTTGCTTGTGCACTCAGCAGACTAGTGCAATTGCTTTACGAAGCTTACCACCGGTCGCTTCTGGCACGTTGTAAACTTTGTAGGTGGAAACACATGAACATCACCCGTTACTATCGGACCCATCAGCTTTGGCGTTTCAGGGTACATGTGATAGGGCATCGGGGCTTACCCTCACAGACGATCATTCCCGAATTGACGTTCTCCATTCAATAACGCATTCGAAGAGGTCCATCCTGCTCGCTTGCGCGACGCAAGGGCAATAATAAACTTGCTTTTGCTGCATCTGCATCTGCGGCTGAGGGGGAGACTACGGCACGCTCCGTAGCCTGACAACCACACCAGGAATTCAAAGCGGAGCACAGACATCTTGTACACATCGAGATCAGCCTTCATACCTACGCCATCTTTGCCACCATCGAAGACGGCCATGCAATGCAGTGCAGGAAGAAAGACCTTTCGACACACTGAAGCATCCTCATTGCAGTGCAGTGGATAACCTGGCTGTCATACGGCCACTCATCACTCAATTTTTCTCGCGGCCGGACGTGAAGGATTTGTTTCTATCCAAACCACGCTCGCGCTACCACCACGATCATTCGATCCTGTAATGCTAGCACATTCAATCCCCAAATGCTCGGCGTGGGGCAGGCTGCACTCCACTGAGCTACGGTTTCGGATCACAACATCTCCTCACAGCGCCGTGGCGCGCTCGAGATCGCTCCAACGTCGCGCCTCTTGTTGACAGTCATAGAAGTACCAAGACGCCACAAATGCTCCGCGACTGTTGGTCACGTTGCACAAGGTATCAACGGGCACTCCGGGTACTAACTCGATGTAGCATGATAGTGGCTTTGTGCGAACCACAGCGAGAGATCTGCAAGGCGCCAATTGTTACATGCGTTGATCGGCTACTAATCCCAATCCAATTCGGACCACTGTTATCTGTCTCACTTGGTCCACTCCCACGCTTATCCAGCTCCTTTGATCAAGGCCACAGCACAACGTTACCACGGCACAAAACGCTCTAGCTGGCGAGCTTAGAATAGCTATGTCATAAGATATAGTGTGCATCGGAGCCTGAAGGCATGATGGATATACCTCCTGGCAACCTGGTGAAACTTTCCCTGCTCTTATGTTCTCACGCTACTTCTCGACCCACAGCGTCTAACCACTGATGAAGTATTGTTTACAAGCCGCGCATGGCATATAAGGCCGTTTG